AATATCGATATGTTAGTTGATGATGAAAAAAGCTGCAGATTTAGAACGCTATTATTGTCCTTTGGTTATAAAATAATTTTTAATGAGCCCACCAGAAAAACGCCCACAACAGCAACCTGTATTGACAACATCATAACCAATAATTATTTAACTTTTGATGAAAGTATGTGTAAAACAGTAGATTTTGGAATTTCTGATCATTTAGGTCAAATAATTTGCCACAAGGCTGAGATTGTAAATAGTAATGTAAAAAAGTATTCCTCAAAACGTATAATAAGTCAAGAAAATATCAGATCCCTATACAACTGCTTATCAGCTGAGAATTGGAATAATTGTATGTCACAGCTTACATGTAATGAGAGTTTTAATGTTTTTTTCAATACTGTATATAGCTCCTTTGTAAATAATTGTCCTATCACCACAAAAGTTGTTAATAATAATAAAGGGAAAAGTGCTTGGGTAACAAGGGGAATTAAAGTGTCGAGTAGGAGGAAATGGGAACTGTATAAAATCTCTAGATATAATTCGAATCCTGCTTTTATGGAGTACTTTAAGAATTATAAACGGGTGTTTAGAAAAGTAGTTTCTGAAGCAAAAAAGTTGTATAATGTTAATTTGATAAAAGAAAGTGACAATGTAACTAGAACAACTTGGAATATTGTTAAAAAAGAGTTAGGGCAATGTGTAGAAGATCAGTCGTGTCCAGAGATTAGAATTAATGGGGAGGTGGTAGTAAAACCAATATCAGTAGCTAACAGTATGAACAATTTTTTTACAAGCGTAGCAAAAGATTTTCATTCTCATGTTTCTGTTGCAGAATCTGTTAAGAGCGCAAAAAAGGCATCTTTAAAAGTTCCTAATTCTTTCAAGTTTCAACCGGTATCAGAATCTTTTGTCTTTTCATGTATAAAAAAACTCAAAAACAAACCATCCACAGGATGGGACGAAATTCCAGCACATCTTATAAAATCTTTAGCTCCTTGCATCTTAAAACCTTTAACTCATTGTATCAATATATCACTGTTAACAGGCTCTTTTCCAGACAAATTAAAATATGCACAAATCAAACCAGTATTTAAAAAAGGTGACTCCCATGAAATATCTAACTATCGACCAATCGCTCTTTTGCCAGTCATCTCAAAGTTGTTCGAAGAGGCTGCTCTATCACAGCTAGTTCCATTCCTTGAAACAAACGAATTACTCAACAAAGATCAGTTTGGTTTTAGACAAAATAGGAGTACCTCAGATGCAGTAGTTGAGCTTATTTCTGATACTGTGGAGGCCCTGGATAGATCCCAGAAGGCAATTAATTGGTGTTTTCTGTGATCTTTCCAAGGCCTTCGACTGTGTGAGGCATGACATCCTTCTGGAAAAACTTAAACTATATGGAATTGTTGGTTCTTCCTTGGCCTGGTTCAAATGCTATCTTCAGGGACGTTATCAACGAGTTGTCATCAAAGATAAATCTAACATTAAAAATTTCTCAAACTGGTGTCCGGTTCTTCATGGCGTTCCTCAAGGGTCTAAAGTTGGACCTCTTCTTTTTATTCTTTACATAAATGATCTAGCTGCTACATTGGATTCCAGAATCATACAATTTGCCGATGACACTACTGTGTTGGTCAAAGCCCCATCTGTTGCCCTAGCGTCTATCAAAGCATCGGAAAATTTGAACAAAATAGAACTTTGGTTAAAACAAAATGGTCTTCATCTCAACTGTTCAAAAACACACTTACTTCATTTTCACAATCCACAGTTAAATACAGAAAAGGTAACCATCAGCTTGGATTCTGGGAAACAAATCAAGGCTTCAGAAAACATAAAATTTCTGGGTTTGTATATGAATGAACATTTAAAATGGACAGAACATCAATTTCAGGTGACTAAATCGTTAGCCAAAGCTTTGTTTGGATTAAGGGTCATCTTCAAAACAACGGGACTAAATGCTGCTTTGACTGTTTACCATTCCTATTTTATGTCCAGGGCTTGCTATGGCATTATATCTTGGGGCAGCTCTTCGATCATAGATGCGTTTTTTATTCTTCAAAAAAAGGCCATAAGAGTTTTAACTGACACTGCACCTCGTACTTCTTGTCGTCCTCTGTTTGTACATTTGAAACTATTAACAATTCATGCTGTGTATATATATCAACTTTGTATATTTGTTAAAAAACACTTGACCTCATTCTCATCACAAAATCACCAACATCCATATAACACTCGACATAGAAACACTCTTCAGTTCCCTATCCATAGAACAGTTATTTATGAGAAAGCACCTTTGTATATGGGTAGAAAGCTATTCAACCACCTCCCTAACCAAATCAAATTGACAGAAAAGATGGATATTTTTAAAAAACTACTTAGGGAACATTTGGAACGACTTTGTCCTTATTCAGTTGATGATTTTTTTTTTGTAACTAACTCTTTTTGTTATATTTTAATCTTTCGACCTTATTTTTTAACATATTACTATGGTAACTACAATGAAATAAAATAAACAATATCATGTTTTTTGTTTGAAAAACTGACGTGTCATATGTTTACTGGTGATGTATCACAATTATGTAAATTCTATGTGACAAATAAATATTTCATTTCATTTCATTTCATTTTTCATTTCCTATACAACACTGATTCTAAAGTCTTCTTTCTGGTTATCAAAACTCAAGAACAATTTAATACACAAAGAATCTCTGGTTCCTGACCTGGATGGTGCCTAGTTATTTAATTTTATTTGCGGTTACACTTTAATATTGCACCTGCGATTAATTAAATCCGTTATGTAAGAAAACACGTTTTTAATCTCACTTGGTTAGGATTTGCTTTCAAAACGTGATCGGAAATGGTTGCGGTATTTGTAAACAACATTTGTAAACATATCAGTGACAGCTAGAAAAAATAATTTTAATCAGAACAGCTGTTCGTTATTTCATAGATGATTATGTGATAAAAATTGGGTGAAAACTTGACAAAAATCGCACAAAACTGCATTTTTGAACTACGTAATTTTATTTACTAAGTAGTGAGGCCATATTTTAATGGCTAAAGACACTCTTGCCAATCCAGTGAATACATTAAAATGACTTGGATCGTGATAGGTACTCGCGTTTTCCTGGAGAAGATAGCGTAAAATGCCATGTTGAGTGTTACAGACGGACAGACAGACAGACAGACAGAAATCGAGATAAGACTTGTTTCTGCTTCTTTAATGTATAAAACGTAAAAATAACCTAAAAATATATAATTCTGAGCAATGTACAGACAAAACTCTTAATTTTATTTATATAGATATTATGTGGACTGATCACCACAAAATATTAGCCCTTCTCCTAAATTATACAGACCAAGTCTGTAGATATATCAACTAACTCCATTGGGGTTTTCTTTTACAGTACAATGTCAGACTTCAAGTCAAAACTGACCAACTCAGAAGTCAGCAGGGGTCCACCGAGGGAAGCTGTATCGGATTTAATCGACCCAGCTGGATATCCAATCACTGGAGCGAGGCTACATTCTCACTGGGAGTACGGTGCGAGTTTAATTCTGGATATAATATTTGACAAGACACCACATATAGTCTTTCTACCGAAGCGGTTCGCTTTAAACCTAACACAAGCTGAGATCGACTCCATTGCGGCTGACGGGTACAGGGTTAAATGTACTGGCAAGACCGGAAGGTCACCTAATGTTAAAATATTTCAATAAATACTCTGAATTGTAATTTTTACTTATTTACTAACCTGGAGTATCGAACACAACATGAGTGATATTGTGGTCACCACCTCGGTGTTCTCGTAAGATCTCGACTCCTTCACAGTGTAGCGGGCTTGAAGATGCCTCAAAGCTGCACTCGCCTCCTCCTCCTCTTCGAATTTAAACAATACCACGAACTGTGACATGATGTGACTGCATATCCGTATACACATATTTTTACTACATGCATTTATACCCAATCCACACTAAGGAGTTTACCCTGACTTTGCAAGTCGGTCACCTAATTCAATCAATCAATCAAATATTCTTTATTCAAGTTAAGACAATATGTCTTGAATAGCGTCATTAAACTAACATAAACAAAAATTATAAACTAAATAATTAAAATCATTCATTACAAAGGATCTATATAGTAAAACTAAAAATGAGTGCTATAACTTTAAAAAATCACAAAATCTTAGAAGGGTACGTCAGAGTAAAACTAGGTAGTATCCGGAATTCAAGTGAACGTTTTTGATAGAATAAAATGGGTTTCTTATCAATAAGTCTTTTAAGTCTTTTATCAATAATTCTCCCTGGTTGCATTTAGTGCAGTTGGTCACCTACATGTTGTAACAAAATATACACTGGTTTAATTTAGTGACCCCTATAGTCGGTCACGGCAAATACACAAGGACAGCCAGGCGGCACCAATTCAATCAACCCAGACAAGGCCGTCTTGACAGCACCAATATGTACAAGTCTCCAAATATCACATTATCAAAGCTGAGGAGACCCCTGTAGTCGGGCACGGCGAGTACAACCGCCTGTCGGCGGCAACAAATCAATCAACCCAGACAAGGTTGTCACGGCAGCGCACCTCAACACCAATATGTAGTAGTCTTCATATATCGCGCTTTCAAAGTTGAGGATTATATATCTACTCAGACCTAAATGATAGTTTCGTCAGTGCAGTTCCTTAAAAAATTGATCTACAATGCCACTATCGGCCGAACTATAAACACACGTCAATTCTAGCGCTCCCAGGCTCAGTTATTGAAAGCCTAATGGTCAAGAACAGCTAGGTCCAGTTTCAAACCATCAAAAACTGTAGAATTTACCCAGGACTAAACCTAAGTTCAGATTAATTAGTGAGCATTACAATGCAACACTATTTTAAGCTATCCAACTATTTTAGATCAATTGTTTTTCAATACTTAGATTGAGTTTCCAGAAAATAAATAATACATCTTTACAAAGAACAGTTTCAACTTTTGCAAGGAATAACTACAAGTTTGACATACTGGTTCATATTTTCCAATGTGGACGAAAGGTTCTTAGATTCAAACTTGCAGCTGGTGCGAAGTTCAAAGAAAATGTGTTTCCTGATGAGTTGAAGCTGTCCGACCTTGAGTACTGTTTCCAACACCTGAGGCCACACTTTGCCTGCTCTGCTCGTCCATTGAGTATACACCTTGCCTGGGTTGGCTGGGGAAACAGACAATATTGTTAAAGCATATATCTTACAGCTATTTGTCACAAATAATTCATACATTTATTTATGAGTCTGTTAACATGACAGCTCTAGCAAAAATGATCCTATTTTGATGATTGGTATGAATGTGTAAACCTACAATTATACTAACAAGTTCGCGAACTAGCATGACCCCGACAGGGGTTTAAGGGTTAAAAATTCCATTTATTTTCTTAAAAACATAATAATTTGGCAATTTTGCATAATAATTTCCAAACCATTTTGTAGAGGTTAACGAAACAAATAATTTTATATATTGAAGCTTGTTATACACTTAATGGTCAGAGATAAAATTCTAAACAACTGCAAATTTTGAATTCCCATGTTTTGCTGTTGTAGTTTATCTTTATATTTAATACACTAGGCATATTTTTTTCATAATTGTTTTGGAGCGGTGGTGCTACCAACCACCATGTCCAAGGTGTCGTTAGAAAAGTTCTTAGCATGTAGTTTTGCCATCAAACAAAAAACCTTTGGAATTTCATCAGGGCTCTGCCCCAGTGGCTTTCAAAGTTCCCATGCTATTCTTAGGGAGAAAATGTATGTTTGTTTACATTTTGAACATATGAATACTTTGAAATTGACACTAATGTTTGAAACAACTGGTTAACTTATACTAAAATTGGAGACATGTGCTATAAGGATTTATTAGATTAGTTGAAAAGATTGGTGTTTCACTGTTTTAAACCAGTTTTTATTTGCACAAAACCAAAACATAACCAAAAAACTTTTGACATAATGGAGACTATAAGACGTCGTTCAGGACGGGCAATAGGAGGAGGCTGACGAACTTAAACTGGTAGACGCGAACGAAATACAAATAATACTATTGTGGTTGATAGCCAAATACAGCAAGCACCCTTCCGTGTTGGGTTTAAGTGTGCTCTCCAACAGCCGCCTGAATATTTCACATTCAATTTAGGACTGTTGGATAATCGCTGCATAAGCTGTTGATTTTGGAAGACAAGGAGGCGGGTAGGACTACAACGGAAACAGAAGAGAGGAGGTATTAGATGAGTGGCAAATGCGTTGGGAGCAGTGTTTTATGTTAATGTTTTAAAGGTTAACGATTCGGATATATACCTAACATCAGAAAGAGACAGGAACAAGATTGGGAGATGGGCCATTATGAAACGAAGTTTGTCACAGGACATGGAAAATTTCAAGGCAAATTTGTGGATATTTCACCTGGTGGAAGAGGAAGTATGTAGATGTGGAGAAATAAAAACTACGAATCACGTATTTGTAAATTGTTCACTTCAGTAGACAAATAGGAGAGAACAGGAATAAGTCTTGAATAAAAGAGGTCTAGAGATGAGAAAATAAAACATGATGAGTGGCAAAAAACAATTGAGACGTTTAGAAAAGTAACTAGGGAAATATTAAAAACCAGGAATACATAGGCTACAGGCTTTTAAATTTAAAAAAAGAAACAAACAAAAACTAAGAAAGAAAAGGAATGAAAACTTGCCCATGAAGGGGAGAGGAAAGGTTAGAGCGAATATCAATGGTCCCTACCGCTCAGGGCGGTATGGGGAAGGGAGTAGTTCTGTTAGGCTTTTGGACACATAATGTGTCTGGACGAGGATTGAAAGTGGCTGAAGCCTAAAAAGAAAGAAGATTTTCACGGGAAATTGGCCTGGCAAATAAGTCCCAGACTTAAGCCAGGGTGGTGGGAACGAGGAGTTTGCTACAAACATTTACTGACTTGTTTGAAATTAAATATTTATCTGAGTATTTCCATAATCTTTGAGTTGAATCTTTTAAAGTCATCAGAAATTATGACTGTTATTCGTTTAAAAAAAACGCATGTAATACTTAGCAATTGCTCGTTCCTAGCAGTTGATAGCACACAAACAGTACGCAACACATCAAATTTCTTCCTTAACTTATTTGGTCTGTAATCGACCAAATAAGCTGAAAACAACATAAAGATGCTTTACCTGTCAGTAGATGAAATTTGAGAACAATTTATTGGTATCTAACACTAAAAATATTCTCATGATTTACTTACCAACATTTTGATCATTAGGGCTGAGTCCTTTTGCTACTGAACCGAACAGTTCAAGCCAATTCTTATCTTTCAAAACACCTCTTTGAAGCACAGACAGGAAATTCTGAAATAATTATTGAAGTGTCAAAAATATTTTTTAAGATTTATTTATAACAGTAAAAACAAACGTACAAACTAGTATAAAAAGAATCATATTATGATTAAATGTGGTAGGGTAGAAATGGTATGTTTTGTTGTCACACTGGTACCGCAATATGCATTATCTGAAATCCTTGGCCTATTTTACGGCGTTTTAGTTACAGGAACAACAAGTTCCAGATGAGAGGCAAAGCAAGTAATAATATTATAATGTGGGAATAATTAAGTGTGGAGGATTATATAACATAGAAATGATACTTTTTATCACAAATGCCAAAATACATTGAGAAGAAAGATTAGAGAGTGAAGAAAAAATATCACTGAGAACAACAGAGGATAAATTGAGCATGATAAATCAGCTGATTGTTTCCCATTACTCAAAATTAGAGCTTGGGAAAACTGTCATTTTTGACATCAGCTGCCATAAACGGTTTTTTTTTGTATGCAGGGTGATGGAAAATTATATTTTAAAATTGACATTAACAGTTGGCACACCTGCAGCTCAGTGACAATCATGAAGGAGATGAGACGGTCCAATCCTGTGATACCTGAGATGCCAACAGCAGAGGAGATGTTGGTGAACAAGTTAAGACCTGCCACCTGCTTCTGTGTCTTGGTGTCAAACCAGGACGTTGCTGACATCACGTACAAGGTCGTTCTGTAAATAGTTAAAAAATAATGTTATGAGAGTGACCAAGTTGGAGGCAAAACTTTATTATTACTTGGTTGTTATGCATTGTTAAAAATCAGCTTCTTCAGGGTGTCCAAGTAGGAGGTAAGAAAGAGTCACAGTACTTTCAGGTGGATGTAATTTAAATAATCTGGAATTCTTTAACTGCAATAGACTCTCTTCTATTCAAATTTGTTTGGTTCCGAAGCCACATGAACATGAATCAAGCTCTTGTCTCGTATGATGTGTGGTTTGAAACAAAATCATTCATTTTTATAGTAATTTTTATCAAGTTCTTATTTAATTTTGGGCAAAGGTCTGGTCCCAACATGTCCTAAGGGAGGTAACCCACAGCAATTTGAACCCTAGTATGGAAATATAAAGCAAATATAAATATCAATTAAATTTCCACAAGAGAACAGGCAAATGAGTCATGGAAGCTTTCAATTGTATTACATTCCACATTTGGAGTTACAGGTAATTAATTTCTGGGGAATGTGACTTGACAGCAAAAAGTGTGAAAGTTTCAAATTGCTCACCTTGGGTCTGTGATACGGATGAGTTCATGAGCTAGTCGCCCGACAAAGGTAATAGACTGAGTATCGGTTGGGGAGAAGAGTGGCACGGGGATAGCTTTGTTCTGGTGTACACTTTGCCAAGACATAACCTTCACTCGCAGGAAACTGTTACACTCCATGTCTACATTGAAGCCAATCACTCTGCACAGCTCCTCCTGTCAAACAAAAATCAATTAATGAAGATGTACATTGAAACTTTTGTTGAAGAAGAGTTTTAATATTGAGCTACCAACCCCAGTAGCTTTTAGTGACGGTGCCTAAAGCTAATAAGCCAGGCATTGCTAATTAAGACTGAACAAATTGGCTTTCAAGAGTACTTATGGGATAGTTGACTTCAGATCACTCAACAGAGTAGGAAGTTATTAATTATAGGTATTTTCTTTTTCTCTCTTTTTAAAGAGAAAAGTATAAAAAGTTTTGTAAAGCTGGAATTTATTTAGTCTAGTTGATGAATCCGTTTAAAGTGAATATAATTCTTCCAAAGTTTATAACATTTGAAAAAATATACAATTTCCCTTCAAAAACAATAATAATAGGATTCAGTTGACTGGTTGTTCAACACCAATACTAACCTGCCAAATCTTGAGACCGTAGATGCCAACATAGTCTTGGATATATTCAAAGGAACGCCGATGGCCGTCCATAATGGCTCCCAGAGCTGTCAACTTGTCACTGAGTTCACTCACCTACGAGGCAAACAGCAATAGTACATTTGGAAAACCAAAGAATTTGAAAAATTAATGAAAGCCTTCCCAAAAACAGATTAGGCCTATTTAATAATTGAATAAATCTCATTATGATTAAATTGAAGGATGGCACAAATATACAAAGATTCTACTTCCTTTAGATATATGTTGACTTTGACAATGATATTTTGCAACTGTATTCGTTTAGAAAGATCATACATTGTCATAAGAGTTTTAATATTTTCTTGCACGAATCATTTCCACGACAAACCTCGAAGATTTGAAGCAAATGTTTACCTTCCAGCAATGATTTCCTTAACAAAGAAGAAATCAATTTTCTGGATTCAAGTATAAATTAGTGACAAGTTGGTTCCATTTTTTTTTTTTTTTTTTTTACGGTTCAGTTCTTGGCCAAAAACGGTTTTCGGATCCTGGTTCCGGTAAAAAAGCTGCATTTTTTTTAGTTTTATATTTTATTATTGTAGCTATTAGAGGGTAGTAATTAAAATTTTAATAACAAAATACAACTAATCTTTTTAAGGACTAAATACGTAAAGTAGTTGACCGAACCGTCAAACTGAAGAACCAAAGTTTTGAAACGGTTCTCAGTCCTGGTTATTTACCCAAAATCCGTTGGAAACGAGAAACGTCTTTTGGAACTGACACATCACTAGTATAAAAAATGTAAATTATTAAAAACACATTTTAAGTTAACTCAATTAATAACATTCATTTACAAAAACATAATAATGTAAGCAAACCAAATAGCAGATGATTCATAACTTGACATATATCATCTGATAACAATAAGCCTACAATACCTATGTGATACCAAACCAAACAAAAAACACTCAATGAGCAATTATGAATAAACTAAACATGAATAAACACACAAAACAACAATGCAACCAACCTTGAATCATAATAATAATAATCATAAAACCAACCTTAAGTGGCTTTAAAATCCCAAATTAACAAAACTACCTTGGCCTTAGGATTGAAAGTGAGGCCGGTGTGTAGAGCGAGTGCGATGTGGTGTACCAACTCCTTGCGGATGCCGTCCTCCAACAGCTGTTTAGGGTCGATCCTCACAATCCCCACCAAGGTGCTCTTCATACGCAGCACTCCCTCGGTAAACACAGACACTCGGTGGGTCAGTTTAGCAACCTGAGAACAAAACAATGTCAGCAAACAAATATTGGAATGAAAAATAGTTTATATCGCTAAAATGACTAGTAAAATAGAGCCAAGATTATCTGGAGTTAATGATTAGAGACAGAAAAACATTGTGTCCTGCAAGTGAATATCTGATTTTGCAGCAGTTAGCTTCACCACTGTGGAGTAGAGAAATTACCTCCATCCTATGGTCCAGTTGAGCATATTCCCGCAGCTTGTCTTTGTCCAGCCTAGTCGGCAGCTCCTTGATAACAGAAGTCTGAAGGTAGACTATCCTCGCCATCAGACTAAACATGGACTCTGGTATGATGTGCAAAACCTGAAAAATAATAAACACATTTAACACCAGCAGACAAATTATCTGCCTTGTGCGTCGAGAAATTTGAGCGAGCAGGCCATAAGGAATGGTAGTAGCATGACAGTCAAGCAGGTAATCAAAACTATAGGGATGGCGATGGATAGAGCAAAAAGAAGACAAGATGATTAGAGAAGTGGAAAATGGAAGTGTAAATGAATGGCACAAGAAGGATATAGAATGTGATGTAACTAAAAGCACCAGGCTTCTGTAAGTCAGTGTAACAAGTTATGTTTTACAACTCTTTTAGCTTCTAGAGGTGCTATTTCCAATCAATGTCCAGTTAATTAAAATTGATCCAGGTGCAATGATGATAGTGCCTTGGCAGCTTATTGGTTTTTAAACCAATGTACTTAGTTATTTGTTAGGTTTTAAAGGTAACCTGCATTAGTTTACAAAATAAGGTAATTTCCCTAAACAAAAGAGTGTTTAAAATATTTGAAGAAGAACTATGAAGAGTCTACTTGTATGCGTTTTATAGAAATAAAATACTGATTTTTGATTCTACGGTCAGTAACACAGTCAACAGTCTACAAGTGGGATTACAAGTCACCTAACTAATGATTTTAAGCAAAAAAGCAACTACATCTCTTACAAAACTGTCACACTTACTCACTCACTCCTATGGCCATTTATGACCAAGGCAGGATTTGGCCGCACCAACAACTGCTCTCCATCTCTTTTTTATTTATCTGTCACACTTACAGTTAGTAATTTATTTTACATATTTTGAATATTTGTCATGCGAGTATTCCAAAAAAACATATGAAACACACACTAGTGAGTGACTTACCTTGCGTACATAGCTGACCAGCTCATGACTGTAGTACTGAGACACAGACACCAAGTCTGATGAACCAGCTTGGTTGATCCGCAGCAGAGGAATCTCCATTGCAGACGACAACTGGAACAAACAGGGAGGTATAGCCTACAGTAGTCCGTGAAGTCTGACTGTGATATTTAGACAGTTGATGCTATTACTAATCATTTATACGTAGGGATGTGTCGATTCTTTACAGCACGATACTTTGACATTGATTGGTATTGGTATTGAGAATCAATTTTAAAAAGTCAATGCTGATAACGGAAAATTTCCGATGTTGATGTCTACACGACAGATGAGGTTAGACATGAGGTATATTATATTTCATGTTTTTAGAAGGGTTTGAACTTAAATTGGCTAATTTGTATTTTTCATTGCTGCATTAATTGTTTCTTTAACTACCGGTACTTGAAAAATGCCCCATTACCCAAAAATTATTTTATGGAAAGACAAAAGGACTGGGGTTGGTGTAGTGTAACCAATCCATGCGGAAAAATTTGTAAACAAAATTGTGTCAGTACGGTATTGAGAATTGAGGATCAATTTTTCAAGGTTTCAGTATCAAGAGTTGTGATAAATGTGGTTATCGACACATCACTATTTATAAGAAAGGTGTTGGCAGGCTCACCCGTTGCTTTGTTTGATTTTCATACAAGTACTATGTCAGCAGGCAAATGCAAAATGAAAAGATGACACTAACCTTTTAGCAAATTTTCCCATAGGGAAGAATATATGAAAATCTGAATGAATAGTGCTTTCAAAATGAAAAAGTATATCAGTACAGGGTCTAGGTTTTTCCATGCCGCCATGTATAATAGCTTCTTTAGTGATAGGGAAATTCACTAAAAATAAGGAAAAAGCAAATCATACCTTGAGGAAGGTAGCTCTAAGCTTGGTAACCATCCCTGGATCTGTTTTGATGCCATCTTGCATCAGTGCAGTGTAGCTGTCTATGAGCTCCCATCCATAACTGATGTCCCCCACTATCTGCAGATTGATCAACACAGCCTCCTTCACGTTCACTCCTCGCACCATCTGGTGAAGGTAGTTGCGACTGTCCACCAGGAACTGGCGCACTTGCAAGTTGTGGTTCAATTGATGGAATTCTATAACCATGTACAATTTTGGAAGATCCATATGCTATATTTTTTGTATTATACTAGGATATTTTGTTTCATTTTGACTTGTTTGCGTCTCATGTGGAACATCGGCAATTCAAAGGCTAACAAAGGATTTTCGGTAGAAGAAGAGGAAAATGAATTAAAGAGGAAGGAATGGATACAGGAGGAAATTATACTAGGGAAAAAGTTCTAGGCAGGACACAGGACAGAAAAAGTTTGCACAATTAATTTTATATTTTCTCTTACAATAAAAATTGTAAATACCGTACCTATGACTTTTTACAAATGCCTACGCCAAAATATTACTACGAATATTACTGAGAAATATTACTAATTGAAAATTAATAGCTTAAACAACATTCCTTATTCACTTCAATTTGTATACAATGTATAATATTTATATAAATACAATCTAAATATGACATACCTTGTACTTCATCCAAAGCTTGTATCAGTTGAACTATTTTTCTGCCAGAAATAGTTGGTTCTTCAATGTTCAAGGAGCTGATCTGCTTGTTGATGTCCAAGAACCATTTTTGCAGGTTGTCTAAAACATAAATTTTATAACTTGACATAATTGCAGGAACCTCATTACATGTTAAGTTACAATTTTTGTATGTGTTTAACGGTTACCTAAGTGGCCTGTGCCTTAAGTATATAGAATCCACATTCAAACAACTAAAAGAACTTATACAAGAAACATGATTGGTAAGTGTAACACCAAGGTGTACAACTCACCATTCTTGTCCACCCTGGTTAGTGGTTTTGTTCCTGAGAACACTTCAGCCAATTCAGCCATTCTCTCCCCAGCCTCCTGCTTACACTTGGACCACTTCTCTTCTCTCTCCGTCAACAGCTGTGGACAAGACAAATAAACACAATGAAGCAAACATATTCTCTCATGCACCGTATACCTATTATACCTCTCATATACCTATTACACGCAGAAACGCTGCAACTTCCAGTAATCGACCTTTAACACACCAAACCATTTCAGTTGAGTTCAAAACAAAGAAATAGAATGCTTTGAATTTTAAGTTTCCAATTGAAAGTTTTGCAATAAAATTTTAAAGTTGTAGCAGAACCAAAACGTAATGGGAATACTGCAGAATCTCGATGACTGTAAATGAGTTTTCAAGATCATCAACAATGATCAGTATTTCAAAAGTGTTACAGGTCCACCTTAGAAATAAAATGGAGGCATCTCAAATTAAGAAAGGTTTAAGATGATCTTTGTCTACAAAACGTCACTTAGTGAAAACATAATTTTAAGGTGCAGTAAACTTTACTAACTACTGTCTTGTTTCAAACTGTATTACACTTTCTTACTCACTTGATTTATTGGGTTGAATTCAGTAAGTAACCATAATTATGAATATGAGTAATAGTATTATGAATTCCTTTCAGTTTAACAGGGTAGTTACTTACCGTTTTAAACAAGTCCTTAACCTTGAGTTCTAGTTCGGCTGTGTTGAGCAACAATTTAAACACAGTCAGTGACGAGTGCTTCACATCGGCCATCACTTGATCCCTCACTTGTCGACACTTCTTGCCCACTTCGGCCACTACAACAGAAAGAATAATCTTAAGCGAGCAGTAGGCCCCGTCTTCATCTTTGATCTTCATCGGGTAGTAGACCTACCAAGCTATTAGATAGGCTTTTCCGGTCAAAGAAGACTGTTAAATTCGAGTCTTGATATCAATACCTTAAAAAATCAATTTTGATACCAATACCATTTTTTTACTTTCCCAAATTTTTTATTTGATATGATTTTATTATCTACATTAATGTCTGGCTTGATCATGTGGACATCATCGTCATCTTCCAACGTTGCGGCCAAATTCTATTCATCTCCCGTGCCAGACATCAACATTGTCTGCGGATCCCCGATCAGGAAAGATCAACGTCTTTAAGCACGATTGGGGCCAAAGGGGTGACTTTTCGATGTTGCATTCTTCGTAGATGGTTGGTTATCAGAATCAGCTCTTGACGACCGATTCTTGATAGCAATAACTAGACCTCTACCTTGAATGTTTCACAGATGTAACCATTTTTCTTACCAGAGTGGCTAGACGCAGTGTGAAGCATCAACCAGCGTAGTGAGACGTTGCATTCTCTGATCAAATTGATCACTTTGTTGGCATGGTCCAGGATGTTGTCTCTAACTAGAGAACCCTCCGTCAGCAACTGTTGTGTGTCCTTTATCAGTTTCTGCAAAGAAAATATGATTGACTGTTGTGAGATATTTTTGGTTCTTGTGTAAATTTCATAACTATTTATGGGTTTTTACTGGGGCTCAGCAACCTCAGTGGCAAGACAGACTCCGTCATCATCACCGGCAACGGAGGACATTAAATATGAGTGGCAACCAGCACTGATGGACATCATATCAAGCCCTAAGCAGTCAACAGAAGGACCTACATTGGAAAAGGTTCCACCGGAAGTGCACGATCTAACAACTTGATACATTGTGAGGTAAATAGCTTAAGCTCTATTTTTAATTGTAGTTTAAACAGCAGGCTTGTATGTGATTTAGCAGGTATCCCAAAGAAAAGTAAACCAAAACCAACTGATTCTGGTGTACGTGTGTTGCATTTAAATGCCCAGTCTATAAGAAATATCAATTAAATGAATTAGCTGTTGTTTTGGATGATGTAAAATGTGTTCTTGTCTTCATACACGGAGCACTGGTTGCACAGATTGGAAGTCTCTTACCACTTTTGCAGTTACCAGTTAAGTGTTAAAAAATGTAAAAGCACACAGTGACAGAGTAATGGAGTGAGCGAGTTCTTGGTTGAATCATTGACTATAGAAAGTAGATGAAGTTCAGGACCATCTCACCAGGGGCCCTATTTTTGAAATGGTTGACAGTTGAGTCAATCGTCTGCACTCAACTCAACCAACAACAGGATTTGGTATTTCTGAAACCCAACAGTTGGGAAGCGAGTTGGGAATCACTAGTTGAGTGACTCGTTTTGGAAATGTAGGGCATACGACCGCACGAAATTCAGATTACGTCATTTTGAACCAATCACAATGCAGAGTTCTTGCGATCTTCGATTTAACCTCTTCTTACCATATTTCGAGACACTGAGGTAAACTGTCAACTCCGTTCTTGAGAGATTGAGGTTATGTCTTGCTTAATCTTAGTGATTGCAAAAGTACCTTAACTTATATAAACTTAAGTATTAAAAATATAATTTACTATGGATGTTTGTTTTAGGGTGTAGCTAACTATAAGTTTAGGCATATCCTAAATACATTATTATTTGCTTTCTTCGTCTCTATTTCGGAACACGTCAACTTATTTTAGTTTCCTTCATCGGTTTGTTTTATGTTATTTTTAATTGTGTTTTTATTTAGGTTAAAGCGGCTATTTGCCATTGCACTGAAAGCATATCGTAACTTAAATTAATTTGATCCCTTTATTAGGTGAATATTGAAACAAACTATGATATTGTTTCTCTCTACCACAATCTTTAATACCTTAAATCATAGGTCTAATAACAATAATTATCTTATTGTATTGTTCAATTAGTATGCCTAGTCTATTTCAAACATACCAACAAGGATAAAACCCTTGATTAAATAGTCTAGTATTGACACAGTAAATAAAATTAAAATGCAATTATTCTACAGAAAACAATCGCATAAAGTATTGGGTGCTAATACATTGACAACAAATACATAACCTCTAAATCGCAATTAATAAATTAAAGCAATAACAATATGGCGTCGACTCAAAACGAGCAATTTTTTACCGAAAGAGGAAGAAGAAAGTGCAGTCAACCGTCCACTCAACAGCACAGTAGGTGGTGAGTAGTTTTGGTTGGATAAGTCGACCATCAATCGTTTCAAAAATACGAAACGATTGGAAATAGAATGACTCGACACTCAACTCAACAGTCAACCATTTCAAAAATAGGGCCCCAGAGTTTACTAGGGTATATTAATTAAAATGGGTTGAATCTATACTTATTTAATACGCAAGCAGGTTTTTTGTGACAATTACTCCTCCGAAACTACTGAACCGATTGACATGTTTTTGGTGTCATTGGAAAGAGCGTAACTTGAAGTTGTGCAGGAAACTTTCTTTTTAGGGAAATAATTAGAGAGTGAGGCCCTGGGGCCCTTTAAAGTTTCGTATTTCTCCATAAGGATAACATGGGAGATAATTTTTATTTACAGAAACATATGTATGTTTCTTGAAAATAGTCAAAGTCTACTACATAATAATTGCTGAGTATTATGACTGTTAATGTATATTACATTTCAATCAAGGATTAAGTACCTTAAAGTTTACTCATAATGGATGTTACTACTTTATTTTAATGCTGGGAATGGTAAAATTTAGTTGAGAATAAGTTACCATGATTTAGAAAACTTTAATATAATAATTTATGTATTTAAAATCACAAATCTTTGACAATATTAATTCATTTGAAACTAAACAGCTGATCAATAAATCAAACAAATCGTCTACTTCATGTGAATAATATTGTAACACAAACATAATTTTTGTTAACCAATAACTTGATTCTTTTTTACTTGTGGGTGTATTTTGAGTTTGCAGTTAGGATAGAACTAAGCCAAGTAACTTTAATGATACTATAAGGAGAATATTAATTTTATGCGGGCAATAACGGTGGTAAGAAGATTAAGTAAAGTATTAATGTGTTCTGTTTGTTTAGATAATATATGCTCTCAAAACGTGAGAAACATTTTTTTATAATGTCAGACAGATTGTGAGATTCTGTGGTTTGTTCACTAACATGATGATGACTGGAGTGGTCAACTTCACTACCATTCCGCGCAGTTTGAGCCAATGTTATCCCTTCCTTTAAGATTACATACACATCTAATTTTCTTTATAAACTAACAGTATTAATGAATTACTACATGGACTTGACAATTTATTGTCAGTATACCAAGGTAAAGAAGAGCGGGTCCTCGAAAACAGACGAAGGCGGAGACACCCATCTAGAAAATCCAACTGAGTTTTTAAATAAAAAATAAAGGTCAGTAGATTGCCAAGGCACAGATTAGACTAATAAAAGGGGGCAGTGGTTTTATTGACGAGGAATATTAATACATCAAAAAGGGCCTCATTAATGGGACAAGGCTTCATGTGATCAGAACGGTCAACAACTTAATAGAATGAAAAGTCCTAACTGGAACAAGTGAGTGGGGACATATTTTGATTTCGAGGATACAAATTTGCCCGTCTGAAACAAACTTACCTTTTAAAATGGAAAGATGCTAATTTCTGTTATCTTTAGCATTTGCAGCACAAGCACTTTAATTAAAGAGCAGCACTGTTCTTACCCAGACCAATTTCAGTGCATGAGCAACTATATTATGTTGTTTTAAGTAAGGCAACATCTTTTAATAGGATACGCATATTCATTACGGAAAATTCTGACCAGGGTAATATTCCTGAAGGTAACTTTATGACTAAAATCGTAGTATTAATGGAAGTGATTTTGTGAAAAAAATTTTGTTTTGTAGTGTTTATTTTTTAAAGTGTTTTCTTCAAGCAGCATTTTATGACCCTCAAAATATGCTACACAGGCCTATTGGTTTGATATGATCAAATTGTTTGTTGAATCTGTTTTTAAAAATCTTTAAAAAATAACTACCCTATAAAATTCATTGGGTGTGTGTATTCTAGTAAAACAAAAAATGATCCCTGGACAATAAATGTAAGACTTAATGAAGACACTGTCAAGTTCAAAATCGACACAGGAGCTGACGTGACAGTAATACCATCCAACATAAAGCTAAGCAAAAAAATTGCAGTCCAGCCTACCCAGAGAACTTTAAGTGCGGCTGGAGGATCGCCTCTTTCTGTTCTTGGCACAATCACTGCAAAACTCTCTTACAAAGGACAATCGTGTATGGAAAAAATGTTTGTGGCTGACAAATGCACAACACCACTACTTGGCAAACCAGCAATAGAAAAACTAAAAATAATACCGGTTATTCGTGAGGTATCGAAAACTAATTTCAACAAATCTGCTAATGATTGGATCAAAAACTTTCCTGACCTTTTCAGTGGTCTAGGAAAAATGAAGGGGAGCTACGAAATTGAACTTAAAAATGATGCAAAACCTTATGCGATATCAGTTCCTCGACGGATTCCAGTACCTCTTTGGGAAAAAACAAAGAAGGAGATTGAAAATATGGTGAATATGGACGTTATAACACCCGTTGATCACGCTACTTCTTGGTGCGCACCTATGGTCGTGGTGCCTAAGAAAGATAGAACTCAGGTTCGAATATGTGTGGACCTTACTATGCTTAATAAGAATGTGTTTCGACAAACTCATCCTATTTGGGGCATTGATTATACGATGGCTCGAATAAAAGATGCCAAAGTCTTTTCCAAACTGGATGCCAACCATGGGTTTTGGCAAATAGCTCTTGCAGAAGAATCTCAAGATCTCACCACGTTTTTAACTCCTTGGGGCCGATACAAATTCAAAGTTCTTCCATTTGGTATCACAAGTGCTCCCGAGTATTTCCAGAAACGAATTCAAGAAACCTTAGGATCTCAACGAAACTGTTTAGCTCACATCGATGACATACTTGTATGGGGTTCCAGTCAAGAGGAACATGACTTGATCTTAAATGAAGTTTTAAAGAAACTCAGAAATGCTGGAATTACATTGAATAAAGACAAATGTGTATTTTCTCAGCCAGAAGTACAATTCTTAGGACATCACCTTTCATCCCGAGGGGTTCAAATCAGCCATGAAAGAGTCAAAGCCATTCTTGAGATGAAACCTCCATCTGATATAAAAGAAGTACAACGCTTCTTAGGAATGATTAATTTTTGTGGTAAATACATACCAAATCGATCAGAAATACTAAAACCAATCCATGATCTACTTAAAGAGAAAAATGAATGGTTTTGGGGAGAACAACAACAGCATGCGTTTGAAAGTATAAAAAAACTTCTGACCTCAGCACCCCAACTAGCATTTTACGACCCTCGCTTACCAACTCTTGTGTCAGCAGACGCTTCTTCTTATGGTCTCGGCGGATTGCTTCTTCAGAAACATCATGATGGTAAATTCAGACCTGTTTCTTACATTTCAAGGTCACTTACAGAAGCTGAAAAATCATATTCAAATATTGAACGTGAAGCCCTGGCAATCACATGGGCTTGTGACAAGCTCAGAGACTATATAATTGGTCGAGAGATTGTAATTGAAACGGATCACAAGCCACTTGTAAAAATCTTATCATCTAAGAATTTGGATGACATTACACCTCGCTTACAGCGAATGAGGCTTCGCATGATGAGATACTCATATTCAGTGACCTGGAAAACACCTTGCACCAGCAGACTGTCTTTCAAGATGCCCCATTCCAAGCAAGGAAACATATGACATGGAAGAAGAAATTGAAGCTTTTGTTCAAAATGTGGTTGAAAACATACCTACGACTGATGAAAACATAAACAGGTTACGGGAAGCTCAGCAAGCAGATCCCATCTTCAGAAAGATTGCAGTATACTGTCATACTGGATGGCCAGAAAAATCACAACTTCCATCTCAACTAGTCCCCTACTTCTCGGTTAAAGATGAGATATCACTGATGGACAACTTACTTTTACGCAATTCTAGAATAATAGTACCATCAAGTCTTTGTCAAGAAATGCTTCATAGAATACACGTCGGTCATCTAGGAGCCACCAAATGTCGAGAAAAGGCTAGATTCAGTTTATGGTGGCCAGGAATGGCATCAGATATAAATATGATGGTAGCTTCATGCCCAACATGCATTAAACACAGAGAAAATCGAAATGAGCCGCTCATTCCTTCCGAGTTTCCAAAACGTCCATGGGAAAAGGCAGCAATGGATTTGTTCAAGCTTAATGGCAAATGGTTCATTGTTATAACAGATCAGTTCTCGAGATATTTTGAGATTGCAACTCTACAATCGCTCACTGCATCTGAAGTTATTGAGAAATGCAAGTCAACGTTTTCTCGCCACGGTATTCCTGAAGTTTTATACTCAGATAGTGGAACGCAGTTTGGCATCACTAGTGCAGAATTCAGAAAATTTGCCAAAGAGTACAACTTTTTATGCAAAACAAGCAGTCCTCAGTTTCATCAGAGCAATGGCTCAGCCGAAGCAGCTGTAAAAATTGCAAAAGCTGTTCTAAAGAAGAACAAAGGAGATCCATATTTAGCTTTGTTGTCTTACAGGAACTCTCCACTGGCCAACGGTTACAGTCCAGCACAGTTATTATACGGACGCAGACTACGGGACAATTTGCCTACCTTACCATGTCATCTGGAGAACAAGCCAGACTTCAGTCATCTCCGAGAGAAGGAGAATCATTATAGACAAAATTACAAACGAAATTACGATCGACGACATGGTGCTCGACCCTTATCAGATATGAACCCAGGAACCAAAGTTTGGATATCTGATTTGAAACGTGAAGGAAAAGTCGTAGAAAAGTTAAACTCACCACGATCTTATAAAGTACTGACGGACAAAGGAACCATAGTTCGAAGAAACCGGTTTCACTTACAACCAATGCCAAACATTCAAAAGGAAAGTTACCACAACCATCAAGCATCAACAAATAGTCAGAAGGATCATTGCTACAACCATCAACCATCAACAAGTAGTCAGAAGGATCATCGATCTGAGGAAGACAACGGTATGTGCTTAACAAACTTTTCAACAGATAACCGTAACAGTCAACCATTAACAAGAGGTCCGATGGATCATCATGAAGACATGCCAAACTTTTCAACGGTTCCTCCAAACACCTCTGGAATGTCTTCTGCTAACATAACAACCCGATCAAGACGACTTATAAAACCTCCCCAGAAACTCAACCTTTAAAGAGGGAGATGTAATGGTTGGCTCTACTGACTATTGTCATTTTAGTTTATTATCATGTGTTAATTGTTTTTGTTTACTTGGAGTTGATTGATACTAATAAAATACTTTTACCTAGATTATTCTATCATGATCAATTCTGATTTAATGGGTTTAATACACATACTTGAACTTGAACACTTATTAATTTACTAAATATAATACACATTCAGCTAGAAAATGGCTGGACTGCTTCGCTTTAAGGCTTTATTATTACCGTACTGTATTTAATTTTCGACGTCGAGTCAATATATAACACGATGAATTTGTTTTCTAAATTCATATGTTATTTTGCGGGGCATTGAGCCGCACAGGTTCACTAGTATTAATTAAAACCAATGCAGTATCATAGCAAACAGCTGATTGATTTATCACTTCACACAGAAATAATGCTAACCGCCTCACAGTAAATGCCAACAAGACTGAAACAATCTGTTTTACTTCGAAAAAAAAAATATACTCAGAGGAAGATTGTGAGCCTGTTAAATTACTGGAGGTCAATTTAGATCAGAAGCTTACATGGGAATGTCACAGTAACTCAGTAGTTTTAAAACTTTCAAGGGCATGTTTACAACATGTACAACAATGTGTTTGTAGAAATACGTTGTTAAATACTTATTTTAGCAATTTTCATTCCCAATTGTATGCCACAATGCTCTGGGGAAATAGTAGAGGTACTATCTATGTTTTTGCAGGGCAAAGAATTTAAGCATTAAGGATTTTGGCCATATTTACCTTATCAAGATGACTGTAAGCAATGTTTTATTAGCAAGATATCGTCCCATCCTCTCCTAAAGTGTGGAAAACATTAGTCAGCCACAAATATTTACAGATAAAGTGTTTCAATAAATTGCCACCAGAGATCAGAAACCTTTAAATCCAACCATTTAAATCAAAACTGTCAACCTGATTTATAAATAAAGCGTTTTATTCTCTTGATGATTTTTTTGCATATGAATTTTAACTTAATATTTATTAGCTTTGATCCAGTGATGCTTTGTCGTTGTAATTTATTAATTGTTAATTTTCATAGTTTATATTGATTTGTTGCTAATTGTTAATTGTGATGTTTTATCTGTTAGCCTGACAAGTACATTGTATTCTTTCCTTTTACACTGCATATTACTGTATTTCTTTTGTTCTTTGACAATATATATAGCAATGTAATATTGAGTTGTGGTGATTAAACCAAGACTCACCACCAGTTTGTTGGCGTGGTAGGTAGACTGCTCCTTTATGTTGGCTGGCTCCAGGGTGTTGGCCAGGGCTGTCTTGGCTGCTTTGTAAGGCTCCCATGAGTCTACCAGGTTTACTGTCATCCCCATGTACACACTCACCACCTACACATACAATGCTAAGAAATAGTTTAAGTAGCCTACAAGTGTTTTTATTTAAGTAAATTCTTCAACCGTTATAATGTTAAGTTACCAACTTTGCTCTGGACCCAGCTATGCAGGACAGGCGACTTGACTAAGAAATAGCTGGTATTAGTCAATAACAGTGCCACACGGATCATCTCACTTCACTGTGGGATGGTTCACTCACTTCAGCCTGCATCCACATTCACCTTAAAATACATAGTACCAAGTTTTGGGTCACTGTTATAAAGAATTTAATTGGAACAATCGGATCATTACATCAACCTTAATGATTAGTGATTACTAGGCAAGTAGGCCTACTTCCGTTGACAATCCTTATAAATAATACGTGAAGGTGATTTCTACAAAACACTACTCCTCCGTTAATAATGGACGGATCTTTACAAACGATGTGTCAAAATTAAGTAATTTTTGTGTAGACACCCCCTTTCACCAATTCCTGTAATAAAAGTCCTCGGTCTTTGCCCCACAGGCAACCGAAATCCCAACGTATTTCTTATGAAGAAAATTTACTAACCCAGCTGTTTAATAAATCTTACTTCAGTGGTGGAATTTGTCAAGTGTCAACTGTCAAGATATTTAGCATCCTGTGTACATGTTCTTAGTTGAATTTAAACAAACAACACATGGTTTAATACAAAGCAAGTATTTGGTTGAATACAAATAAATATTAGAATTTATAATATTTTCTGTAGATTTTTAAAAACCTAATTATTTTCTCCTGTATTCTCACCTCGTAGCGAAGCACGGGCAGAGCAACTAGTAGGCCTACTTTAAAATAATCCAAGTTTTTTTTTACAATATTTTGTTTTAAAAACAAACAATCATCTTCACGAGCGATTGCGGCATCTCCGTGGGCACAGGGACATAATCACCGTCAATCGTAACAAGTTTTTCACAAGACGATGTGGCCTAAATGAATATAAATCAATATTCCATTACGTTTCAAGATCTTACTCACCCAGTTGTCAGGGAAGTACTTGTCTACGATGTTCCTCATCTTGGCTGTCTGACTGTGTAGTGTCTGCGGCTGGAAGAACAGGCACACGTACAACATGGCCGCCTGTGCTGCCAGCGCCGTGCTGCGGTGCTCGGGAAACGGGTATGCAGCGATCTGGTTGTACACATCATCTGACCGCAGCCGTCCAATTACTACATCCACCAGACTCTCCTTCAATGGTGTGCGTCTGCAAAATGATTCACGGGTCGGAATGATGGTAGTAATAATAATAATAATAGTCTTTATTGTCATTCAGCAACATAAAATAGACAACGTCAGAAGTCAGGACACAAATATCACATCATGCTTAAATATATATCATCTTATGAAGCACATAAAACATTTTTTGCCTAAACTGAACATATAGGCCTAAAACATTTTTTGCCTAAACTGAACATATAGGCCTAATATTTACATTTTAAATTGTAAGATGGAATTCTCTTACACAAATGTATAAAAACTTACGTAAATAATACTTCAAAACTAAACAATATGCAAATATTCAAGATTTTTTTTTAAATGAGTCTTGGTCATGCAGGCTGCCTACTAGTGGAGCGTTAAGCGTTAAGAGTTCAGGGTAATAATTATTTGTGTAAAAGAATTTCTCTATCGAAAAAAGGCTTGGCAAATTAACTATTTTGATCACGTTGATTTGAAAAAGATTTGTTATACACTAGTTTTTGATGATACTCTTAAATGATAATTAGAATGGTCAAAAGGAACAAGGTTATCAAACACAATTAGTCTGTAACAGTAGTCAAAGGAACTGGTGAAAATGAACCTTTACTGACCGAAAATAATCTTCAGGATAGTTTGTTGGCCGTTTTCCGCTGATGAGTCCAGTAGATCTAAGTAGCTTGCAAACGTCATCTACGTTACTGCCAGCACTTGATCTCTGAGCACTGAAAAATTTAGGTAAATTAAATATCATCACATGTTTAGGCTTAATAAAATTATCTAATCTGGCAACACGTAAGATTAAGATATGTAAATAAACACACAAAATCAGTCTATTTAAGTTATATTTAATCCTATACAACTTTCAACACTAACTGTAGGGTGGAACAGTACATCACATTTTAAACTTGACTGAAAGATTGACATTACAATTTACAAAAAGATGTTTTTAATGGTTGCCCAACATTTATAAATTTTTTTATGTAGGCCTACCTCTAACCATCTATTTGAAACAAAAACCGACTTATCTCTCGAGCTAAGCAAGAAAGATTATAAATCTACGCTTTGTAGGCTACAACAAATTTTTAGGCTCATTCAAATTTTCAAAAATTTTATAGAAATTATTTGAGATAGTAAGTATTTTCTACTTACCTGTATCTATAGTAAGACACCAGTATTCTCTCTCTCACATCACCGGGGATATGTAGATCTACCACAAGCAGCATCACTCCAAACAAGTAAACTGCTTCACACTGTACAAACAAAATTCAAAGATCAGCACATACATGCTTTAGGTTTAAGATACTGTCAGTTTAGGGGTTTAAAACAACTGGTGCTAATACAGCATCACAATTAATTATTATCTAATCAGCGTAACAATTGGTGTGACTACATTGATTTAAATTACTCAGTACTGGTAATGGTAAGAATGAGATTGAGGCTTAGCAACGAAGTGTAAAGATATAATACTCATCTAAAGCCATACTTTTACACTAGGTCAGTAGGCAGACACTGCCTCCCTACAGGTCTCGTGTTAACACTGCTTACAATCTGATAGGCAATATATTACATTCTGCTGTCTAACAAGACAATTTTTTATGTTAACAAGAATAGGGATTAGACCGGTAAATTACAGCAGGTTCCAGTGGCGTACCGAGGGGTGGGCGGGGGATGAGGCGGTCCCCCACATGCCCCACACCAACATAGGCTCCAAAATCTGGGCCTTATTCCCCTAACGGCAAGCACGGCGCAGCGATTGTAGAGGCTTCGGCCTGGGATGGGGCCTCAAAAGAATGTTTTTTCTCATAGAAAATAAATTTTGCTAATAATTTTTTTTAAATTAGGGGACAACTTTCCGAGTCGAACTTATATCCTCACGATCGCCAAGAGCGTCTCCAAAGATTGTGCAAGATTGTAAAGTATATATATATTATGATGTATAACATAATATATAACAAATACAAATACATCATTAAAAATTATACAAATACCTATATATTACATGTGTGTAGGGTAAAGGGCCCCCTCATCTAAGCTACCCCAAGCCCCCAACTATGACAGTATGCCACTGGCTCGTGCTCATAGAAATGTCACTTATTCAAAATTAATACTGACCAATAGCTGTCGTCCATCCTCGCTTATGAACACACTCTCTAGAGTCTGCTGAATGTAAACTCCATCTTCCAAGTCTTCAACGTAGCTGTTGATGTCCACAGCAAACTTGTGAATGCTCTCAAATGCAACATAGAACCTAGTCAGCAAGTCAATATGGTTCTCTCTCAATTCTTCATCCAAGTCTTGCATTACCTGAAGCATTCACAAATCATGCCACTACATGCCAAATATTTTATTTGTATTTGGTTGTTTATTTATGGAGTGGTTGGAGAGGGGAATGAAAAATGCCAAGGTGTTGGATGGTAAACTAAGAAGTAAAAAGTCCTGTTGAACTTCATTCTTGATTATTATTGCATTAAAGTAATGTAAGTGTACCTTAACAGCAGCTTCAATATGCCTAATTGCCTGCTATTCAAAAACTAGAATTTGGAAATAGAGTGTACATAAAACATGGTATCTTAAGATTGAAATATCAAATGTAGGCCTAAATACCTTTCAAATGTAGCATTTCTAGACCAAGAGTGATTCCAATTTGTATTTAAGAATTATCTGAAACCACATAAATTCTTGTTTCCTATTGCAACCCAATTCTTTGAAGCTTGAGTTGATAACACTTATCTACATAGATCTTGCTAATGAGAGTAAACTTCTTAAATGGAATAAAGTGATTAACAGCAATTAATTAAATTTGCAATACTTACTACATTACTCTCAATTTTTTTATCATATTCTTCTGGGGACTTAAAGTAGGTAAAGTCAAGTATTAAACCTGCGTACTTTTGTTGGTCTTGTTTTGTGTCGAATCTAAAACAATGAGCATTATTAGATATTGTTTGATATAATTGAATAATTTGCATTAGTTTGAACTTAAAAATAATAACCTTTAAAAAAAATAGCCTATATGTGATAAATAAGATGAACTTTGTTATTAATCTAAAAAGCCATAACTTGTACTATAAAACATGCATCTTCTTCAAATGCAATTGAATCAAGCTTCATTTTACATTTTCAAATAACCACATTTTTACAGCTGAAGGGCTAGTAACTAGTCAGTAGCCTTAAGACAGTCGAAAATTTGAACAAATTGATTATCAGTCTTGGTCAGCAGCAAAGCTTTACCATCAGTCCATATCAAGTAGTCCAGAGGTTTTTGGTTCAATATTTCCAATATTTTTACTGTTTCAGCTTATACAGTATATAGAGAAAGTACCGGTATTTTTTCCGTTAACATCTTCGAGTTGAAGATCCGGGTGGAAATATCTGTTTTGTGCCCACCTGAACCTAAAAGTCATTTTGTAAGTAGAAGCAGAAGCTTTCTTGTTTGAGTTTTCACTAATTGTCAGTTTGTGATTTGGTTTCGCCCTGCTTTGCTTTGTTTTGCTTTTTCTCTTCCTGGGTTTTTTTTTTCTTTTTTTTTTTTGTCTGAGTGGGCAAAGGGTTTTCCTCCTCTGTGAGTTTTGTAGTACAGGAGGCTTGTTGGAATTTGCCCTAGACACAAGCATTTAGTGCTAGACACCACATAAATGTACCGTTGAGTGTTTCATCAACTTACCTCATTTCTCTATAGCTGTACCTACTCAAGTTCGTCGACATGTTATTTATGTGTCCGTCCACTCAAAACCTTGTTTTGTAAGAATTTGAACTTATGTAGGCCTACCTACTTAAATATTTCCTAAACTATGGGAGGAAAAATCGCATAAAAGGAATAACTGAGTAAAATAATAATACGTAGGGCTCAAAGGGTTAAAGATTCATGCACACATTACCAATATAACAATCTGAATACAAACCATTGAGATTAGTAGGCTATAGTAGCTTTGACTATTAATACAACAGTACCGGTAGTTATAGATAAGTAGTAGGGTAGTTATAGATAAGTATTAACTACTAGTACTAGGCCATATCTACTATTTATCTACTACTAATTTAATTCTAGATCAAAAGATATAGCCTATGTGCTACATCTAACATTGCTATAGGCCTATGTAGCAATAACTTACCAATATTTTTCGTCTGTTAAATGTAGCATTATTTTGTGTCATCAGTTCACAGTTGTAGCCTCCTGGGTGCGGACGTTTTTGCTCAGCGATCTTTGTTTACAATGGAAGGACTCGAAAGTGACAGTGCGTAGGATCGGGATGCAATTAAGTTATCAACTTAATTTAACTGTTCTGTGGACAACTGGCGTTGTGGTCATGTGGTACGTAAAATGTTTTTGAAGCTAACTTACCATTGCCTTATTTCGCGTTTGAATTATTGATCGTCATCATTAAGGTCCCGTAATAAATATAAGGTACTACTGTACACTGTACTTAAGTTGTTTCTCAAAGCAAGAAGCGGTCGAACCTAAAACTTGCTAAAACCTACTGCCTCTGACTTCCTAAGAATTGCCGTGATAGCTGCCACAAACAATCTCTTTGGCGCGACATTTTGGTACAGAATGCAAATGAGGTTGTGCTACCAATAGCATAAGTTTTAGGAAGCAAGAGCACCGCAATCACTAAAATTGTCTGTAACTTATTTGTAGGCCTATAGCAAAAGTTATATCCTAGCAGGCTTTGCTACATAGTGTAAACCCGGCTTTATTTATTGGCTAGGCCTATAACAGAAATTACATTAGCTTGTTACTTAAACCTAGGCAAGCACCATTTAAATAAAATGTCTAAAGCGATGTTAATTTAGAGCAAATACTTACTTGAATACAGGGGGGATGTAGTCTTTCAGTCGAAGGAGCTCTGCGATAATAGCATTGCCTCTAGATACTAGGTGTAACAATACCTGCCCACAAGTGTTGTTCTCTGCTAGAAAATCATCTGCCATGATTAAGTTACAATATAAATTATGTCCGACAAAAATGTATTCTTTATGTTACTTATTAATTCACACAGTTCATCGAGAGATTAGGAAGGACTTTACTCAAAGTGTATGACCTAACCTATTACATAACTTTACAAAACGAATGTAGGCTAGGTATATGTGCCGCATCTAAACCTAAACACTATCCTGCCCATGATAAAAATCATGCTCATAACCAGATAAAATCAGGTAAAAAAGCTGTATATATATAACAACAAAATTAAATGTCCTCCAATTTGCTTTTGCTAGATTGTTTACAATACAATGTTAGTGATCACTTGACCTTGACACTTATATCCAAAATGGATTGGATTCCAAAAACGTTTGGACTTCAGGAACAGGACGTCTGCTACTTCTTCTTTTATAAAATTAGGTTTCATTAAAATACCTTGTAGCCACACAATGTCAACTTTCTTTAGATCACAAATAAGGTATATTGGACCGGGCCTTTGAATTTCTTTTACATTTTGTTTAATTTACAATCTGTTCAACAAAATAGAACAATAAGCAAATATGATACAATTTAAATACAAGATTAGTCTTTATCCAACAATAAAGCTAACACACAAACTTTGCATATTTGGTACAAAGTTTCAAAGTCCATAAATTCCTAACAAAAAAAAGTCAACTTAAGTCCAATAAATTTAAAGCAAGGTAGTTAGCATGGTACTCTAATTTCTGTATTTGGAACTTAACCTTGAAATTTCTTCTTTGACAGTTTGGGGTTCGACTGTCTCTGTGAAGCACTTCGTTATAATGAACCTATGAACCATTGCGTCTGAAAAATATGCCTTAAAGCTTAAGATTTTAATCTTTGGATGACGTTCAGATTTTATACACTGAATGTCCCCCACAGTTGACAGTTGGTATACGTCCACACTGGTTTTAGAATAATTTTGTATAGGCCTAAATCAGCTTATTTTCTGTTGTTAATTTTGAATTTTTATTTAATAGCCAAGAAAGATTTCTAAATTTTAAATTTAACGAAATTTCTTGTTCCAGAAATGGTTTTTCCAAGTCTTAAACCATATCATAATAACAACTATTTTAGTAGTTACTCTACATACATAATAAAAAAATCAAAGACATAAATGGTGTTTACTCAAGGGACATATAGATGAGCCTACGGTGACAGCTGTGGGCTTCTGATTATACTGTTAATACGATTAGCTGAGGGAACACCATGGTGGAAGGAAAATACATAGGTGTGCAGCTCTTCCCGTCATTTGCTAACGTCACTCGGATTGCAAACATAAAATCAGCTGATGTATTGCCATATTTGTATATATTTGTTTTGATTTGATTGTTATTGTTTTTATAATTTTTCTAGGTGGTAAAATGTTTGCAATCTGAGTGACGTCAGCATATGACAGGAATAGCACACCTATGTATTTGCCTTTCACCGAGGGAACACCATTACCGCAACAATACAATGTGGAGCCATTGGCCTCGGTGGTCCAATGGGCAGCGTGCCGGCCAATGAAGCTGAAGTTACCAGGTTCGAATTCCACCAGTAGCACTAGCTTTTTGTCTAACTTTTTTTTCATTATCAGCAAGATTGGTTAGTTTAGTTAGGTTATGACAGTTTAATTTTATAATCTAAAAAAATTAAAATTGAATCTGAGGCATTTTTAATTTTATTTTATGAACAGAACAATTTTTTCGATTAGTAAACCTTCATTATAGCCAAGTCAAAGGCTCCCTACTACAGCGCTGTTCACGCGGGAATTTTTAACTAATATGTCTCATTTATACCTCCCGTAAGTCAGACATGGTCAGACCCACTGAGCGAGAGACCCGACAGAACGGACAGAACTGGACAGAAATCCAGAAATGAGAAATGGTTCTTTTTCTTTTCTTTCTGGGTTTGTTGTCTAGAGTCTGACTGACTGACTCTGTCTAGTCTGTCTGTCTGTGGCTGTGCAAAATTAATTTCACTTGCACTTGCAACTTGCAGCAGAAAATCGAAACCTATTTTATATTTTACACACCATTTTAGATTTTATCTTGTAGGCCTAGTCGATAAAACCATAGTCTTATTATGTCTATTAAATAGTTGCGTATTGGTCATACTAACAGTTATTTTAACCAACTCTTAAATCGTGAACCGGCAAGAGAGGAGAGGAGTCAAACTTGTTCGTGTTACCCTAGGCCAGGAGAGTCCAGCAAATATGTAAGATGTATAACTTTTAACTTTATTTTTGTACTAGTTTTATTACATTTTTTTTTGTTTTTATTTATTAAATCAAACAATTGCTTTCCTACTCTAGCAACATTACATTAAACACGACACACTAACTTAGTCTGAATATTATAATACCTAAATCAGTAACTATTCATAGGGGAAGGTCCTAGACCTAGGCCTAATCATTGGCTCTAACTTAGGCCTAGTCTATGCACTAAGTTAATACAATCTTATGTTGTTTTACTAAAATAAAACCCATTTGGGTATTTCTGAACTTTCTGGACATTTCTTTATAACGTTTTTAAACCATTTCTACGATCTTAATAAACAAGAAAAAACCTTTGAAACATTTTTTTAAGGCGCGGAAACCACTGCAAATTGCAAAAATATACGGAACTACTTTGCCTCGTCTATTTCCACACATTCACCGGGTCCGCCAACTCTACAATTATGGTTCAGTACATAAAATATGAACACTTCGCGGCAGAACGAGTACCAGTCTACCGCGAAGTGGTCGGAAACACCGAATTCTCTCTTTATCAGATCGTGGCGAGGTGGTTTCAAATGTAACAAAAATGCAACGAGACGGAAGTAAGTCTTAGGTGGATAGTGGGACTTCTCAATGAATGAACCTTCCCTCGCCGATTTCTTAAAGTTGCAACACTTCTTGGCCTGACGCCGAACCGATACCTTCTTTTGGCAACGGAAGGTCAATGTGTCGCGGTTTAGCTCAACGGCCGAATGACAGTTGTCACACTCAATGGAAGATTTAATGATCTTGTGGCTTATTAAAAAGTCAATAATACGATCATCGGACCACTCTATGGCTGTTGTTAAAGAAATATCACAAGAACCGCACAAATCCATCGTGTTAATCTATTTACACTATTAACACTCAACAATAAACGTAACAATCGGACTAAATATGTAAAGGTACGTGTTATTCTGAGAGATCAATGAGGTTGAGGTAATAAATGAAACTATTCTGTTAAGGCAAGTCTATTCAGTGGCTTGTTTATTTATAAATTACAAACTAGTATTGTTAGTAAATTAGCTGATCATTCAATACAAATCTTCAAGTTACAACTTGTAATGTGTAACTTAGTTTATTATGAAACATGCATCTGTGTTGTTTTTATAAATAAATAGTTTATTATTCTGTACTATAACCTACAATCCAACGAGCACCAAGCTGGTAATGTGTAACAAACAAAAAAAGATTCAAGATTCAACAAACTTATTTAACTTATTTTATTGAAATTATGACAGAAAAACATCATTTTATTTTAATGTTATTCAAAATCACCATAAAATAAACAATCAATATTTAATCTTATTAACATAATCAATTAACAATCAATGGTCAGCTGGTAACCAAACCATTCTAGGAAAAGTAGTAGGCCTATCCAGTCAGTAGTATCACTCCGCTCCTCTTTCCTCAGCTAGCGATGTGCTGCTCCGCGCATTGAAAATATAGTTCCGTATATTTTTGTAATTTGTAGTGGTTTCCGCGCCTTAAAAAAATGTTTCAAAGGTATTTTCTTGTTTATTGAGATCGTAGGAATAATTTAAAAACGTTATAAAGAAAAGTCCAGAAAGTTCATATTTACCCCTATTTGTTTATAGGCACCGTAAAACGGGGTGACTTGAGCCCACTTTTGAACTTTGCTTGTTCATTAAAGTAAACCCATTAAGTATTTTTTTATAAATCTTTTACAGTAAACTTAGTCTTGGTCTATTCTACAAATGTGTGGAATAAGATTTTTTTAAAGTTAGTGTAACTATTAACTTAACTATTAAAACTACAAAAAAACTATTAAAAAAAAAAAATATGGGTGGGCTCAAGTCACCTCGTTGGTCGGGGTGACTTGAACCCAGCTGATATATTTCAATGCTATTCTAATGCACTAGACCCACTGCACTGACCCATGAGGTGACTTGAACCCACATATATAGCTGACTATTTTGGTATTTTTTTGGATTAAAAATTCCTGTTTTTTAGGTTTAATGACGGTAAGTGTAAAACAAAACACAAAGTTTTCGTCGAAACTGTAATAAATTTTTAAAAAACTTACAGAAACATTTAAACAAATTTTACTTACCAAATATTGGAGATCTGAATATGATTAATCAGAAAAAGTCCACCAGCAATTTTTGAAAATATAAAAAAGTATTTTTTTCTGTAAATGAAATGTTGCCAATATCTCGTTCTAGTTAATCCGAACCGATTTAGAAAACTTCACAATAGACATTTTGACAGTCATTAATAGACTAACTAAATGTAAAAATAACAAATTGTTTTTTATCTACACACTATTTACACTAGTAAAAGCACTTGTTCTACTTTATGTCTTTGTCATTAACCGGCACTTTTCCACTTCTGGAACGGCAAAAGATCCTCTGGCGGTAATGGGTGTGGGGGCTGCTATTTTTCCTTTAACTTCTGCTTTGCTGTAACAGCACTCATCTACCTTTTCTGGCCATTTCCAATAATTACTAGGACCACTCATGGTCATTGTACTAATTTTAAAGTCTTCCCCTGCATTACCAGTACCGGTACCTATGTCGTTACCACTTAAAAACAGGTGGGCTCAAGTCACCCCAAAATCTGCCAAACTTGGTCATGATAAGGTAAACCCAGGTCATACTGACTTAAACCATTACATAATCAAACATGCTTTAACATGTTTGTGATTTCAAGGAAATAATGAAATGGGGAAAAATAGTTTTATTTTCATTTAAGTGCAAATACCCATTGTGTCGATGACCTTTTTTCAAAGTAATGAAATTCAGATTCGGACGTGTTAACATTATTATTTTTTATAATTATTAAAATGGACAGTTAAAATAATTGGAATCGTTTGTGGTGAAAGCTAATTAGGTAACCTTCAAATTGATATATAAAACCTTTTGATAAATCATTTAGGTTTTCTGAAACGAAAATTCAAAACTTTTTCTTGCGTTTTGGGCTCAAGTCACCCCGTTTTACGGCATCAAAAATATCTTGTGTGCTAAAAAACTATTTCTGATTATAATCAATAATAGGCCAGGCCCTAGGCCTATTTACAGGTATTAAGTTAAACACTATGTCATGGAGAATAATACACTTCTCCCCCACCACCCCCTTAAGTTAATTGGGCTACCTACGCTAAACTTAATATCAATTGAAACTATCGATTGAAAATGTCGATTAATCCTAATCAAAATTTGTAACTATATCAATTATAAAATGTAACTGTCCTAACTAACCAACCCAACCTAACTAACCAAACATGCTAATAGCCAGTGTTGGGGAAGCTACTTTTAAAAAGTAGCTAGCTACAACTACTGCTACATTTCCAAAAAAGTAGCTTAGCTACAGCTACAGATACAGTTCCGAAAAAGTAGCTAGCTACAACTACAGCTACAATGAAATGTAGCTACAGCTACAATTTTAGCTACTTTTCCAAAAGACGTTACTTTTTATTCCACGCACATTGGGTAAATGTAAAATTAATTGCAACTACATTTTTATTGAACAAACATTAAAAAATGTCAGTATTGTATCTAACATTACTTGGAAAACAAATTATTCCTAGATTGTATTTAATTTATTGGCATTATAAACCTAACATTACAACAACAGAACCAAATAGTTGGGTGTCCTATCATATTTAGTACTTATTTTTAAATATTGCATTATTTTTAAGCATCTTAAAATGTAGATTTCATTAAGATCAAAGGACATACAACCAAACTATATTTTAAAAGCTCATTTTATTAATCTAATATAGATTCATTTATAGATGTTTTATATCAACAATTAAGACCAATAAAACTGTAAAAAGATTATTTAAAAATACTTGTTTGTGTTACAGAGCCTAGCCTACTGAAATTGGAGTTTATTGCCTTTCTTTACTTTTAATGTTAAAAACGACATTGCTATAACTTTTAAAGTGATAAATTACTTGTTCTACGAATAACACTTTTCAATGTCAAGAAATCGTCCTTTATTGTCATTATGCATAGGGCAAATTGTGCTTCAACCTAGTTGGTAGAGAAAACAGTATTCAGCAGCTTATCCTGAAATCGGCTTTTATTTTAAACATGTTGAAATTTGTAAAGTAAAAATAACATGTAGGCCTACTTGGCTATGTAACAAGTTGGCTATAGTAGGCTTGTTCTTGCAAGGACTAAACAGATATATTCATAAAAATTGAACTTGGAACTTGGTATTCGTCTTAAACCATAGCCTCAGTCCTATACAAGTACAAGAGCTGTTAGCAGGAGCAAACTATGCTATTTTTTCAATGTAAGTTTCATGTTATATGGAGGGAGATTTTCTCATTACAATTATCATGTAGTCTAGGCATATCTTAAATCTCATCAGGTAATTTCCTCTTTGTTAATTTAGTAAACCTTTGAAAAATCCTCGTAATCTAATCTAACCAAGGAAGGACTTGTGATGATAAACCACAATCAACAGCTGAAGCAAAGGTTGATAGACCAGCTTTCTAATTATTTCAAGGTGTGTTGGTTTCCATTAAACCCCAAGTTGAAACATTATCAATATAATACTGTAAAGAAACTAAATTGATTACTAATTCCCCTGTCCTGTCAATCACTTGCAAGCATTCAATAGCTTCTCTTGTCACCGGTACCGTTTAAACGTCGTCTGCATCTAGCGATTTTATTTTATCTGACAGTAATCATAGAGTAGTAAATTAAGGAAATGAGAGCCAAAAATGTGGATAACACTCATTTAATGGCCTCTATGTCCACACAACGTTGTGTTGTAATAGGGAATGAAACGGCTGCAACCAGCTGTTTGAAGCCAATAAAGTAGGCCTATTTTGTTTTTATCTCAGTTTAAAAGAGGTTGTTTCAAGTATGGTTGAGGTTATGATAAAAATCACTATCTCAAACAAGTTAATGTAGCGAGAAAAGTAGCTAAAATTCCGCTACAACTACTTTAAAAATGTAGCTAGCTACAGCTAAAGCTACAAAATCTTAAAAGTAGCGTAGCTACAGCTAACGCTACAAAAAAAGTAGCGCGCTACTGTAGCGTCGCTACTTGTAGCGCGCTACTTCCCAACACTGCTAATAGCCTAATGAAAAAAACCTAATTAAACTTAGGCCTAAGGTTTACTAATCGAATTGATAGTTTTAATCGATTAGCGTAGCCTAGTTAAGAAACTGTACCCAATTCCCATTTGCCCGATATTAGATTTTACGTAGGCTAACATATTCCCTTAACTTAGCCTAGGCCTATAGGTACGTCATCCAGATGGGTCAATACCTACATATAAAGTTATTTACCTGTAGGCTACTTAATCCTTAGCCTGTATAATAGGTGAAGGCGATTTCTACGAAACACTAAACTTCTCCGTTTATAGCCTAATGGACGGATTTTTACAAACGGTTTGTCAAAATGAAGTAGGTAGGCCTATTGTTTGTGTAGACGCCCCCTTTCACCGATTCCGTTGCCCCACAGGCCATCAAAATCCCAATGTAGGCTATTTAGCCTATTTTATAGTGAGGTTGCTTTACTTTAAGAATAGGTACCTGGCGGATAAAAGCACCAAATTTGGCATGAAGGTGCCTTAGGGTATTACTTATTAATTTTAGCCTAGGAGCCCTTTTGAATTCTTAACAATTTCCATACACGGCACCAAAATCCAAAATGGCGGACAAATGCGTTCAAAAATCACTTGGGAATATATATTTACAAACGAGAGACCACCACTATAAAATAACAAAAATTAACTAAGCCTAGATTATTGTTGTTGTGTTGATTAGCCTAGGTGGTTTGAGTACCTATTTGATTTACTGAATGTTTCTACCGCTTAGGGTCTACACAGTTAACGTCATAACTGTTTAAACAGCTCTTTTTCAATTTTTGACACGCAGTTAATGATGTGTTCTTTTGTTGTACAGGGTGAGGCAGTGTGAGCATTCCAATTTTCTTTCGTTGTCACACACAATGCACACAACACACACAACAGACAATCACGCAAACGGTATAGACATACTGCAGTCGTTCGTTATATAATATTGGCAGCTATATGTACATGGAGACGAAATAGTTTCTTATTCTATGACGGCCAACTTCTAACAGCCATTAATAAATATAGACTGTCAGAGGAAGGTTCCAGGATATGCTGCTAGAGCGTACTCGGTGTTCGATTCGCTGCCGTCGTCGTCTCCTTGCCGTTTGCTACCAGCAGATGCTGCAGCGGTGTGCGCCGTAACTACACAAAACTCTAGGTGGATGCCAGAACATATGCTAACCGCAGCACTGCTGTCGGTCTATATTTAATTCTTTTTAGCGAATTTCCCATATAGGGAATAAGCTATTACCGTAGGTCTCATGGTAAGACCTAGACCCGGGACCGATTTACTTTTTCGTTTTGAGGTCCCCAGAGGCCAAAAACACCATCCGTTCAAATTCATATATATATATTTATATATGTGTCCGTTAGCGCGATAACTCGAGCAAAAATAATCCGATTTTGATGACAATTTGGTACAAACGTGTAAACCTACGTTTATTCGAATGAGTTCGCGAACCAGCATAATCGGACCATGGGAACAGGGTTTTATGGGGTAAAAATGGGGTTTTCCCATTTTTTTAACCTAAAAACAAAAGATTTTGTATTTTCTTTCTCAACCATTTTGTAGAGCTTAAAAAAAGAAATAATTTAGTATATTGAAGCGCTGTTGTATGCCTAACGGTCATGGAGAAAATTCAAAGAAAGTGTAATTTAAAATTCCCATGTTATTCTTATGGAGAAAATGAAAACTGTTGTAATTTACTTGTTTATGGATATAATGTTGATAAAATTTGGCAAATTTATTTATTTCATCCTATACTATTGACATATTGTCAAAAAACACTTTTTACCTTCCCTGTAGCAGCAAACCTAAGCACTCGTTAAATCTAATGTTATTTGAACTGGAAATATATAACTTATGTTTTATTATATGGTAATATTTTAGTAAAAATGTAACCAGACAAGTTGAAATTCGCTTAGTCTGCAGGTTTGCTGCGGCGGGGGTATTGTCTATGATAATACCAATCCCAAAAAAGGAGACCCGAATGATTTAAAAAATTACTGCCCAATCACTACCCTATCCGCTGTTGGAAAAATATTTGAAAACATTGTTACTGATAGACTTAGATACCATTTTTCAAGAATCATTCATCCAGTGCTCGATTTGTAAAAAATGAGGTGCCGGGACTGTAACCTATTTAATGTGATTAGAACCTATTTATGTATACTAAACCTATTTATGCCAATATTTTTTTTATCTTTCTGAAAGAAAGGTAAAGGAACTCCATTCCACCGCATTCCCCCCAAATCGAGCACTGCATTCATCCTCTTACACTTAACCTGACAAACTTAAATAAGCATTTGAAAAAAATTATCATAACATCTTAGTGTCCAAATTAAGAGTGTACAGATTTACGGACCCCCTGCTTTCCTGGATTACTTGTCCAATTGCTCCCTGGTAGTCAAAATTGGCTACAAAATTTGGACAATTTGCTCAATCTTCTGGCGTCCCTCAGGGCTCCATATTAGGCCCATGGCTACTTAACATCTTCATTAATGATCTGGTAGACGCTGTGGAAACCAATGCTCTACTGTTTTCCGACGATCTAAATATCTTAACCGAGATTTCCTCAGTAGAAGACTGCCGCATGGTGCAAAAAAGTCTGGATGGAAGTAATCTTTTAATTCGCCTTGTGCTCGCCCCAGGCCCCCTTTTAATTGTAGCCATGATGAGAAATGGTCATGGGGGACAGGATGTTGTTGTGGAATTTTTATTATGTGTTAAATATCATCGATAACTGCAGTTCCAAATTATTTCACAGGGAGGTTGTTTGTGGGGGATAGCAAACAAGTCTGAACATGTTAGAGTCCCAATGAGTGGTTGGTGCTCTAATGATTGAAATTCACTGAGTCATTAATTCCAAAACTTCCTTTAGCTCAATAATTATAGCAATAAAGTTAAAGCCTTCCAAGGAGTTAGGTGGAGGTTATATCTTTAATTATCTTAGGTCCCCTTCGAGGGTGTGGGTTGACATCATTGGTAGGAAGAACACACCACGCTGGTGTTGTGATGAAAACAAGAAAAGATATTACACATACAACTAACACACATACACATATTAGAAATTATATTTTTATTGCCACTTGTTTCATTTCCACTAGAGTGAGGGGGGTTAAAATATTAGGGATTAACATATACACGGGTACTGTATTTCAAAATGGTTGTAATTTAAAAATTAAATTCAGACAATCAAACCAACAAAAATTCAAAATAACTAGAAAATCTAGAAAAAGTTAAACATCAATTTTCTAAAGGAGGGATTTTGTAGGGGGGGGGGCTTAAGATGGGATTGGTCTCTATTTAATTTTTTTTTATCATTTACGGACATGACCAAGTTATGTTTACCAAGACCTTAATATGCTTGAAACAGCATTTTATTCTCCGAACGCTTATTCACCATAAGATTAACCCTTTGCGGTCAAATGGCGATTATAGGTCGCCGGGCACCATTTTCCCAACTGCTCGAATAGTAAACTATACTCTCCGAAGAATGGGGAAAAAATTTGACCTCTAAGGGTTAAAGGGTTGATCTATTTTTAACTCATGGAGGGAGTTTAGTTGGGAAAATGGTGATTCTTAAACTCTTTAAGGTACTGAAGATCACCATCCCTCTACAAGATTTCTAATTTCTAGCTCTAATGTTTGTGGGTATATCCCCTAAGTCCAAAGATACAACAATCAAAATGGGGTTTTATGAAGGGGGTTGGAGTCAAGATAGGTGAAAGACGTAATAGAACAAAATGTGCACTTTAAAAAGTAGTAGGGCCTGTACAAAACATTTCTATAATGTCATATAGTCTTACGTTTGTGTACTTTTAAATAAGGGAATATTCAAAATTAGGACTTTTGATTTTATTTTAAATCATCCCCCCACTTTTGAAACACGACATATTTCCAGTTTAAGCCTAAATTTGGGGGTGAAGGAGTGAAGATAGGGAAAAATGTTAAACTACAAAGTTGTAGATCATTAAAAGTAGTGACTCCTCTTCTGTCCTCTCTGTTTTTCGATCAGACGGACGGTCAAGCCGTAACAGACGTTTAAACAAAGAAATTCTTGGGAAAAATCACAACATTTGAAGTATAGAGCGATATATAAGGGAGAAGCAATTGAGATAGGAAAAAAACTTTATAATACAAAGTTTTAGCCTGTCTAAATGTAATCGCGGAAAGTGCTCTCCATTCTCGATTAGACCAGGGGTTAAGCCGCAATAGGTGTTTTGAAAGTCACCTTTTTTATAATTTAAAAAAATCCACCATTAGCCTATATACATTTTTTTTTAGGAGTTGGAGATTTGAAAATGTCACTTTTGGAAATTTTCCTGGTGATTTGAGACCAAGACCTAGAATGGTCCCCAGTTTCAACCCCGTGTAGCTATTCTAAAAAGTAATTTTTAGAACTAAAAATACTGTAGGCCTACGTTAAAATACCAAGAAAATTTACAAATTTTAGAAGTAGGATGATTTTTGAAAGTGAAGGTGTGAGATTTTCTTCCTGACCATGAAGATTCTTTCAAATCTTTGCTAGCTCTTGCCGTTTATCAGTTATAGCAATTTTCGTGGTGGTTTAGGACCGATATCTACCTGTAATTGTCAACAATTTCAGATTTCTAGCTAACCAATAAGTGGGTAAACATTTGTATAGGTACTTTACCAGTTACACATCCAGCTTAGTTGTATATACATAAGAGTTGCCGTTATAACTCAAATGAAACAATCTCTTGTTATAGGTACCGAGACAGAACAGGCAGTAGAGGTATGGGCCGAGGTGGCTTCAGAGACAGGGGAAGGGGTAGCCCAAGAGGTGGTCGTGGAGGAACATTTGGCAACAATTCCTTCAAGAATAAGCAGCCAGGCAGTCAGCTCCGAGCTCCTCGGTGGGACAACTTACCATCCTTCCGCAAGGATTTCTACACACCTCATAGTAACGTCACTAACAGGTAGGCTCATCACACATAATTCAATTATATAAGTTGACATATAAAAAAATATTTTTGTGTCAACTTAGCCACAGCTGTGAATCAATTACAGTACCTTTTAGCGAATTTCCCTATAGGGAAGTAAGTAGCTATTACCGTAGGTAAGACCTAGACCCGGGACCGATTTACTTTTTCATTTTGATGTCCCCAGAGGCCAAAAACACTATTCGTTCAAATTTTTATATATGTATATATATATAGGCCTATATATAGACTTATATATATATACTAGCTGAACCCGGCAGACGTTGTCTTGCCTTTGACTATTTATAATCCCGCGGGCTTTGCCCCGTTTAACTTCTTAATTTTCAAGATGATCTCTTTCGCATGGCTCAATCACGTCCTGGTTGAAGTTCGTTCGCTACGCTCACTCACCTTTAGGTTGGAGCTCGTTCGCTACGCTCACTCACCTTTAGGTTGGAGCTCGTTCGCTGCGCTCACTTGCCTTCAGGTTAGCTCGTTCGCTACGCTCACTTGCCTTCAGGTTAGCTCGTTCGCTACGCTAACTCGCCTCCAGGTTGAAGTTCGTTCGCTACGCTCACTCACCTTTTGTTTGCAAATTAGCTGTTGTCATATATGTAAAAGAAATAATAGTGCTGCACCCTGTTGGTAATCCTTGTAACTTTAATGCTATATTGAACATCATAGAACAGAACCAACTTGTTTAATTGAAACAGCTGTTAAGATTCATTAATTCCATTTCTCATAAGGTTAACATGGGAAACTCCAGAGCCACTGGGGCGGAGCCGATTGGATGGATCACGAAATTGATGGTGTATAAACCTATTCTATGACATTCTACACGTATGTACCAAGTTTCGTGGCAATCGGTTCAGCGGTGTCTGAGTTTATCACTGCCAAACAAACAAACATACAAACATCCTCTTTTATACTTATAGATATAGCCTATATACGTCCGTGAACGCGATAACTTGAGTAATTTTTGTCCGATTTTGATGAAATTTGGTTTAAAGGTGTAAAGCGGGATAAACTTGAATGAGTTCGCGAACCAGCACGATCGGACCATGGGAACGGGTCTTTACGGGGGTTTTATGGGGTAAAAATTGGTTTTTCTCACTTTTGACCCTCAAAACACAAAATTTCCCAATTTCTCTTTAGACCTTTTTAAAGAGCTTAAAAAAAACAAATAATTTAGTATATAAAAGTATTTTTGTTCGATTATTAGTAACGGAGAACATTAAAAAAATTGTAAATTTAAAATTCCCATGTTATTCTTATGGAGAATATTGTCAAATGTTGTAGTTTGCTTGTTTATGAATATATTTTGATCAAACTTGGCAAATTTATTTATTTTGTGCTAAGCTATCAATATTTTACTCAAAAACACACTTTATTAGTTTCCTTGTAGCAGCAAACCTAGGTACTCGTTAAACCTACTGCTTGTTTATGAATATATTTTGATCAAACTTGGCAAATTTATTTATTTTGTGCTAAGCTATCAATATTTTACTCAAAAACACACTTTATTAGTTTCCTTGTAGCAGCAAACCTAGGTACTCGTTAAACCTAATGTTATTAAAATATATTTAACTGAAAATCAATTCAGACAAATGGAAATTCGCTTAGTCGGCAGGTTTGCTGCAGCGGGGGTATTATCTTTACATTATTTGAATATTTATTATGTAATAGCTTTTGCTGGATTGTTAAAGAGTTTCCTTTGTTAAGTCATAATGTACCAGAGTTAAAGATTCGCATGTAAATAAAATGTTCTCAAAATATTTGTTCATATAGTGATGCAATTATTTCATACCAGAGTCGTTGCGTTGCTGAACATTGGTGGAGAGTTTATTTTGTTGCTCTTGTAGGTTCGCCAATTGAGGTTCCATTTATACCAGCGACATTGATAATATCGAGGAAGGAATGTAGTTCTTGTTGTTGTCGTTGTTTAGGGTAACCAATATATAGTGATGTTTAATCTGTATGAAATAATTGCACCACTATATGAACATATTTTGAACATTTTATTTAGGCCTACTAACAAATCTTAAACTCCGGTAAATTATGACATAAATAAAACTAAACATTTTAACAATCCAGCAACAGCTGTTACATAATTAAAACAAAGTAAAGATCAAAGGCAGCTGATTCACAGCTGTGACTAAATTGTCGTCACAATATTTTAAGCTTTTAAGATTACAGAAAAATATACTGTAATGTGTTTTACTCCAAGAAATAATAACACTGGGTTTGAAGTGACTTTGCACACTCTAACTCAGGGTTTTTTTTATTTGGGCAATTGATTAATTTTGTTGTATACCCTTTTCAGATCATTTAATGATGTGATGTCTTTCCGATCACGCAATGAGATGACCATCAAGGGCAACAGTGTTCCTTATCCTATTGAGCATTTTGAAGAAGGAAATTTTCCTCCTTATGTGATGGATAGTATAAGGTGGGCCTGCATAACATTGAGTAAAAAAAAAATTCCAATATTATATTATAGATTTACGGACAATTTGAAACATTATTTTACTTTTTAGCTCTCCGAGTAATATAATTATTTAGTTTTTGACATAAAAAAGTTTTACTATAAAATATTTTGTTAATTCTTTTCTTGACACAGCTTTTTAAGTTAGGTACCGGTACCTGATCTTGGTTAAACTAGAAACACATTGAGCAAACCTTAGGCAGCTTCTAAAAAAAAATTAGGATGAACATAAAGTTTAAAATATCTTAGGCCTATATATATATTTTATTTACTTACGTAGCTTTAAGGTAAAGGCAACTTTCCAACATCTAAACAGTACTCCTGAAACAATTTAATCCTGAACAGCTTAGACCTATATTTTTGACAGGATTGTGTTTTCTTACTGACATAACTGTGATCTCTTACTTTCCAAGCCAGCAGTTTAGCATCCCAGCAGCCACCTCAGTAGAAAAGTAAATTAGGTACTTGTAACCAAAAATATTTTTCAAAAGTTTCACAGAAGTTATAGTGCTTACCGACTAATCTTATGGTACGTCTCTTGTAATAAAATGGTTTTAAATTTAAGGTATATTTTGTGAATGATGAATATAATAAATAACTAAAGGAAAAATGTTAAAAAGAATAAAGTTGTAGGGTAATTATGTTTTTATGTTGCTTGAAATGAAATTGCAATTGCTGTGTAGGAGACAAGGATTTTCCACCCCCACTCCTATCCAGGCACAAGGCTGGCCTATAGCCCTCAGTGGCAGTGATATGGTGGGGATAGCCAAGACTGGCTCCGGGAAAACTTTGGCGGTAAGTACCTACATTAGTGACATGTCACTCAAACTGATTAGAATAGTTTAGTGTGCCACTAAGTGGTTAACCATAGCCTTCTCTCGTACACAAGGCTGCGGCGAGCGAAAACTGGCAACGTCGCATTTGAGTCTTGGTGCGCGATCGTCTTACCATTATAGTGAATGGAGGAGTTGCGTACCGACTTACTTATTTGCGCTTCTACTACCTATATCTTTGTATACTCAGCTCATATAATTTATATTTTAGACTGTTAGGTTAACCGTAGAAGAAGATACTTTGTGTTTGTATAGGAGCAAATTATGAAGAGTTAATAAGTTTCTTGAAATCTAGTTTGAAGTTTTGGTCAAGCGTATGACTGTTTCTTTAGCTTTAAAAATTAAACAATCGTGAATTAGTTAATATGTAAATGTTAACTATCCTCATGAATGTCAATAACTTTGCAGACTTTTGAACTTTCAGCAGTTGTTAAACACTTTTCATTCTGTGTAAGTTTTTTTTTATAATGTAAATACAGTCTACAAAATATTTTTTTAAATATATTTTTGTATTCGTTGCAGTATATCCTGCCAGCCATAGTACATGTGAGTAACCAGCCAAGAGTGTCGCCAGGCGAGGGGCCTATAGCCCTGGTGTTGGCTCCTACCAGAGAGCTGGCTCAGCAGATACAGCAGGTGGTGGCTGAATTTGCTGCTACGACGCCGGGACGGGCTCGCCACGCAGTGGTGTATGGCGGGGCTCCCAAGGGGCCTCAGGCACACGCCCTAATGCAAGGTAAATAGTCTGCAAATATTTAAATTTAAATGTCTTAAGCTGAAAGCACAAATTGATTGATAAAATAAGAACAACGTATGTATGTACCTTGACAATCCGACAGGGAAGGGGTTCGAGAGTGTGGTAATACCATAAATGCTAATTATCAAGATTGGTTTTTTTTCTTGACCCATTGGCATGCCGAAATTGGTTTACCTGATGACACACAGGAATTCCTTTTTTCGATATTTTAGTGACTTACAAAAACAACTAAAACTTCCTTAAGTAGGTTGAGTTTTGATTCCATTCGAATGTTGGAAATTAATATTGTTGAGTGCTGGGATTCTGATTGCTTTGTAGGTAAAGCAAATTCCTTTAAGGTTGGACGTCCCATAAGAAGGGTAAGGTATTTTTTGTGTGTATCTCACAATTATATGTCCCAATATTCTACACTTGTCCATTATGCAAAAATATGTTTTGTCAGGAGTGGAGGTGTTGATAGCAACACCCGGCCGACTGATAGACTTCTTGGAGCGAGGCCAGACCAACCTGCGACGATGCACTTACCTGGTGTTGGACGAGGCTGACCGCATGTTGGACATGGGCTTTGAGCCACAGATCAGGAAAATCATTGGACAAATAAGGGTCAGTCCTTTAATGTGTAGAATATGCTCAATGTAATGTGAATGGATGATAGTTTTATATGCCATTCACATTTTTCTGATATTTTACTCTTGTTATGTAAAGTATCATTTTCATTGTCTGACTTTTCTTGGTATTTAAGAAATTTTCTTAAACACAGCAGATATAATCCATCTTATTATTACTCGAAAGAGATAGTACTGTACACATGTAGGCCTAATGATGTGCTTTACACCTTTCCCTGCAAAATGTTAATGTTCAGTTTTTACTATCCTATTTACGTTTTGATCATGAAATATGTGCTATGTGTTCAGCAATATTTTGAACTATCTCCAACAGATAGTGATGTATGATTTGTGATGTTACAGCCTGACAGACAGGTACTGATGTGGTCTGCTACCTGGCCCAAGGAGGTGCAGGCCCTAGCTGAAGACTTCCTCATGGATTACATACAACTGAACATCGGCTCCCTCACTCTGGCTGCCAACCACAACATTCTGCAGATTGTAGACGTTTGCCAAGAGCATGAGAAGGAGCAAAAGTAAGCTTTTGTGAATTTTTTAATCCATAAACTTGATTTTTTTTTACCTGGATAATACCTGGTTTTGTGGCTCAGTAGAACTTTCCGTATATGACCAGTTTCTGACTCTTCGGAATGCCCTTCGACGTCTTTCAGTTCAATCATTGACTATTCTGTCTCGATAGTCAATGGTTCAATAAATCTTCAGTTACTTGTATGTACTGTAAAGTACTGTATTGCCGTTGCCTCACTGTAAATTAAGTTGTTTCTTTTCTGATTTTTTTACTCTAACCATCCAACAATTTATACCATTCAAAAATGGTCCTTCAGTTTAGGGTTTGTGGAGGCCTAAATTTAATTTGACAAAGGGTGCCAAAGAACTTTTACTAAGAACCATTCTGCAACCAGTGTCAGTTTTCAGGCTGTTAATTATACTATACCAGGTAGCACAGTGAAGCAAGATGCACATTTAGCACTGGTATGGTGGGACAGATATGTACTCATAACGAGCAAGGAAGAGCTCGAACGGTGATGGCCATGTAACATTTTTTACAGCAGTTGTAGTGCACAGGGTATTCCTACAGCGTCATTGCAGTAGTACGTGCTGGCAAGGGGGAAAAGGAGAGCAGAAGGTACGACAAATAGAATTCACCCTAGACACCAGCGGCTGGTGATAGACACCACCTAAGTGTAACATTGAATGTTTCCTCTGTATCTTACTTCTCTGTGCAGGTTATAACTAGAGTTTGGATCATATCGTTAGAAGAAATGTTTACTAAAACCACTGATGTATAGCTACGCAAAAGGTTTAATTTTCCAAGTCAAATTTCTATGTTTGTTTTTCTTTAGCTAATGTTCTAGGATTTGCTTGGCAATTAGAAGGTCCATGGTTTGATTCTAAAATAAGTAATTTTCAGATTACGACGCCTGTTGCAAGACATTGGATCTGAAAAGGAGAATAAAACAATAATATTTGTCGAGACCAAGCGGAAAGTGGATGATATTACCAGATGCATCAGGAGAGATGGGTAATGTGTTGATTGAACATTTAGTGTATACAGTATTGGTACTTATGTAATCAGGCAAAAAGTACTGCATTTCCTTTCTCCGTTCTACGTTTGAGTTGTTTAGCTAAATAAATATACTTACAGTATTTATAATGTCAAAATACATTTGAACTGTTCGTGATAGTTTAGGCATTTTTTTACTACTTATGATAAATTTTGTTCTTTTTCAGCTGGTCAGCCTTAAGTATTCATGGAGATAAAAATCAGACTGAAAGAGATCATGTACTACAAGGTATGTTTTTTTTCTCCCTTAATCCCTCAATAAGTCATAATAATTGCTGCTAGCCATAAGAAATTTCACAAAAATATAGTAAAAAAGTTTTACAGAAGTTCCATTGAGGAACATAAGGTTAGCATTAGATGAGCATTCTTAAAAATTTGCAAATAATAACAATTTGCTATTTAACAGAGTTCCGAAGTGGTCGAGCTTCCATTCTGGTTGCTACAGATGTTGCTGCCCGTGGTCTAGGTAAGTTTGACCATCAAATAGATATTTTATGTCAACTTGATAAACAACAGGAAGTATATTGAACTCTTTTAAACAAAAATTTGTTAAAACGCACCAAATTTCACAGTTGTACCATTTAAAACATTTTTTTTTTTTACTAAAACATACACAAAATTAAAAATTACGAATGCATTTTTAATATAATTACAATGTGTTTATGTTTTTCAAGGTTTTGATTCATCTATTAGCTACACTTTAAAGACATTATTTGGTTTTTTATGATCCGTGAGATTTGTTATTAATATGTAATGTATTTTCATTAGATGTGGAAGATGTGAAGTTTGTGATCAACTTTGACTATCCGCAGTCGTCGGAAGACTATATCCACCGCATCGGCCGCACCGGGCGGTCACACCAGACAGGCACAGCGTACGCGTTCTTCACCCCCAGCAACGCACGACATGCCGGGGACCTGGTCAGTGTGTTAACAGAAGCCAATCAAACCATCAACCCCAAGTTGGCTGAGATGGCTACGATGGCTCGAAATGGTAAGTTGAAGTTGTAGAAACTAAAATTTACAGATTGTTGTTTGTGATGATATCAAGCTTACCTGAATAGAGAAAATAGTTTGCTGTCTCTGGCAGTAGAAACTCTCTCTTCAGCTTTTACCTTCCTTAGTTGAAAATGCTGTCAGTGATATTGAAATGTTCTAATATTTAGTGTTAAGTGTAAAGTTTTGTTTTTCTCGAGCCAAATTTAACTCTTCACCATTCAGGTAAGCATGTTATAACAGAAGGTAAATAAAACTTTTAAAAAACAGATTTTTACCCCTTGGGGGATTTTGTGTTGTTATAATGTTATCTTAAAAAAAGCTTAAATATCTAGGCCATTGTGCTCTATATTACATCCCTTAACCAATAAACTTTATTTCTTAAGCAAACGCGCATAATTGGTGAATAGATTGTTGTTTTTTTGGTATTAGTGCTTGCTTAGGAATCGTAAGGTTATCAGTTATGCCATAAAAAATTCAGCTTTTTGATTGCACAAAAATCACTCTGCTGAAGATGTCCTTTTATGTCTTTTATAATTAGACCCCTTCTTAATTGACCCTAACGGGACCGGACCTAGGTCGGATAGCCCAAAAGGTCGGCTAAAACAGGCAAACTCTTAAAACATAACAAAATTATTGCTATTCATTTGGAATTACAGTTAAATATTAAGTTAAATACTTTCACTGGAATAAATTAGAGTTGTAGGCAAGAGTCGATAAAAATTTTTTATTTTAATAACTTAAGTAGGCCTACTGTAATATTAATTGATGCTTTCCAAATATATTGTATTATAGTACAGAAATTTTTGTTGAAATTAAAGATACAAGCAACCATTGCCGAGCATGAAAATTTTGCGATTGAGGGCGGATAATCCGGTTATTGGTTAATGCGAGGTCGGCTAAGAGAGGGTCTACTGTATTATTTCAATACGACACTTATGTCCATATTTAGCCAAAATAAAAGCCTAAGAAGAAAAATCTGTATCCTCTCCTCCTCTACATCAGTGTAAAAAGAAGAAAATCATGTGTTGTGTGCAATTCTTACCAAACTCTGTAATGGTGTCAAACCCCCTAAGCCGGACACCGTTTATTTAAGGTGGGCCCTCCACTTAAGCTATGCCACACATTAGCAGGCTCAATATGGATTGCACATTTATGGGTTTTGAACCCACGCATACCTAGAAAGAAAGACCGCAACACTACACTCGTCAGTATAAGCAAACGACAACACTAATGTGACGGCCCAAAATATTCTCAGACCCATTACATATCAGCTGGGGAGGTTTTTTTTAGATAGACCCTCTAAAAACCCTGTAAATACGTCACAAAAACTTTGCTTTATTTCAAATATAAAAAGAGGTTCTTTAATATTCAACTTTTTTAACCTTCAAACTTCTGTCAGCCTAGTTGCCTCACCATGGAATATTCCATCAACCATGACTCAACGCCAGGCCAGGCCAATGTTCCCAGAAGTGTAACGTGCATGGCTGTAATTTGCTGAGCTCTGCTCAAAAAATTTCTCTCTGAACCCAGTAACTGCGCAACTACAGTTTGTCTAACACCCCGAGTGATAGTTAGGCAGCAGCACTGTCCAACGTTGAACTGACGTCATGCGGCATAGCCGCAACATTGATTGGCTAATGTCCCTCCACGGCCAACTTGGCTACGGACGGAGAGCACTCAGCTGAAGTTAGTCTAAATTCTAAATTCACTTCGGTTGGTCGCCTAAATTTCCGCGCCGCCTTTCCCCATAACCTACTCGGGAGGCTATGTTTCCCCCGTTTTTCTAAACTGGAATTAATCATGACAATCTTCATCTTAGCATTGTAAACCTGTAACTTAACTTAATTCGGAATTGTATTTTCTCACAAGCTAGTACTTTGTGTAATAAATTAATCATTTGTTGCGAAGTTTGTAGTTTCATTCGGCAACCTGTCACACTAGCACCTGTAGGTTAGATTCGATGTACTACTTGAGGGCCACTGGGTTAGCAGTCCAACTAATTCGTGGCAATATACGGTGACGGGCTGGACTCGTTATTTGTTATCGATGGTTAAAATATTATTAGTTAAGTTCTTTTGTAAGACCTGTTTTACTGTATACTATTTTAATCTGCGCTTCCATTTTTAGGGCTACCCAATAAGTTTGGAGGTGGAGGAAATAAGTTTAGAGGTCAAGGAAACAGAGGAAAAGGCGGGGATATGCGAGGAGGAAGGGGAAGAGGAAACCCAGGACGTGGAGGAGTTGGAGGCGGTGGAGGTGGCGGAGGAAACTTTAACAGTTACAACAACGTCCCGAGACAACAGTATCCCAACTTCAACTTCAGCAGACCACCTCCCCCACCACCACCATACTCCGGTCCTGCCTACTAGACTTTGTTTCTGCCTTGACTTAAAACTTTTGGTTTACCAAAGAAGTAGAGATTGTCTGTGATTTTCTAATCGCTTCACTCAGTATTTCTGTTTACTGAAATTTCACTCTGTGATGAAAAGTTTAGGTCAAGTTTTGGTGGAGTTTTTAAGACTTTCATCAAAAGTGTTTGATGTTCCTAGGGTTTACAGCACTGTTAAGTTTTCTAATTTTTGTTTTGTGATTTAAATTTTATGTGATTTTGTTGTTAGTATTAGTGTTAAAATTAATTTTTATGAAAAAATACAAATTTTTCATAAGAGAAAGTTTTTTTTGTTGGATTTGTTTTTGGTTTTATGTTGGGTTTTTTTTCCACCAAGCGATAGTGAGACAACGTTCCTTTTATTTTGTGAGAGAATCTAAGAACCAAAGTATGTTTGAGTATTGCATACTCAGTAGTATTGTGCTAAGTATTATAGTTATTAGACTGGGTTTAATTTTTATTTTTTCCCATGATCGCAATAATTTCCTTATCTCTATTATGGTTATTTACATTTATGACTGAAAATCAGGAGTGTGCAAGTCGTGAATTTCATGAGTTGAGTCGAGTTTACAAAAAACTTGTTAGCATCGAGCTTTGTCAAGTTGAGTTTTTCTATTGTGAAGTGACATTCTTGCTTCAAAATATTTAAATAAAGCTTTCCAAAATGATGAAATGGGCAGGCACTTCATGGTATAAAAATCTAAAATAAAACTTACGGATCAAGTTTTTTTAGACAAATGCAGTGCTCTGCTATAATACTTTATTTTAAACTTTCTCTACAATTAGGCCACACTAATGTTATTTTCACCTTCTAAAACCTCAGTAGCCTTTGAGTAGTAAACTACACCCTTAAAATATAATACAGTATTTTATATTATTGATTTAATACATCCGCTGATTGTAGTGTAATGTTTGTAATAAGTGATGCCTGATTTGACTATAGTACTTCTCAATTAATCAATTGATACCTACTTTCAATACATGCAATTGTTTGCAATCAAAATTTACAACTGAGTTGACAACAGCTAATTTTTACTCCCTAGGGGCTAAAAGCGATAGGGAGTGAAAAATGCTACTTCAGACCCACAACACATGCATTAAAAACGGCTGGTTTATTTTAGTATGACAAAAAATATATTAATTTGCGATAGAGTAGAGATCGTGCTTTGATTCTGTCATACAAATAAGTAAAAAATCCTTCCAGCAAACTCGACTCTCATGAATTTTCATAAAAGTTTAAGTTGAGTACTGAAATACTCTACCACTTTCATTCGCACACCCCTAATGGAAACTAAAGGAAATTGTTGTTTCAATGGCCAAGGTTTATTACACATAGTGACGTCCACTTAAACTATCTCAGATTAAGCTGAGTTCTGTTAACAGAATTAATTTACATCAACTGCTGATATGTAAACTTAGTTAAGTAAAATTAATGTACCATTACTGTTAGGAGATTTGAATTGTAAAACAATAGCTCTATGACTGTGAAATGTTGAGTCGAGAGATCTGAATGTTGTATGAAATGAATAGTCTGACTCTCAATGCCTTAGATTGAGACTGTTGTAGTAAAGAAGAGGGAGAAAAATTGATTGCTGAGGCTGTGTAAAGGAAGTAATTTTATTGTCATATCACTTAATAATACTATTCAATTATTTTTAAGAAAGGTATCCAAATTTCTCAAAGTAATGAAAGTATCTCACAGGATTTATTGGTGTATGGAACACCCTTCCTTGGATATACTAAATTTGTTGAAAGTTCTGTTAAATTTTTAAGATTTAAGAAAATGTTATTGAGCGATACCAAATATTTTGTGTCATCTTTTTAAAATGTGATTTTTTAATGTGATACATTTGGACATTTCTAATTTTTACGGAGGGTCTTTAATATAACTGTGAATTTTTTGAGCACTGCTATGAACATCAGGTGCAGGTAACCAAGGTGAAATTTAGCTGGGGATGAAACAGTAAAAATCACAAAAACACAATAAAATAGATATTTTTGAAAGTCCCTTGAATATTTTAACTGTAGATATATTATTAGTGGTTTAATAATTATATTAATCACTTATATCACCACTACCTTCTATAGTTGCTATAAGTATGTACATTCTCACAAATATCTGTTGTAAAAAATGGACCATCAGTTAGTTAGGCTTAGGTTCGGGAACAGTGTGTACAACTCAACATAATATTGAATCGTTTTATCTCATTAGCTCAATTTCACCGCAGGTAAACTTGCTCGCCGAAGGAGAATTCATGTAGAAAACGCCCATAGTATGGTTATAAAATGTGATAACATGTGTAGGAACTGATTAAAGGACTGTGATGTAGGATAATGAATGGTTTTAAGGATACAGAATAGTCTAAAAGACATGCAAAATTTCTAAACTGTAAGATAAACTTGTTAACATATTACACAATTCTTTATTTTTCAAATGATCTTTAAAGGCAATAAATGTGAAAGAACTTTGAAATATTTGTCTATAATTTTCTGATAACAATTTAAGACATAAATAAACCTTGCAATCCATTCTAAATTGTTAATAATTTGAGACATCTTAGTTACATGTTGGTTTTTTGGGGTTTGGGTATGTGGTAAAGAAATTGAATTGTTTCTCTCTGCACTACTCTCTGTATACTCTTTACTTTTATTCCTGTAAAAAAAGCTCTCACTATTATAAACAAGGGAGCATCCCAGTTTAAATTCAGTACAATTGGGTAGGTAAATGATTAACTTTTCAGTCACATGTGTAATATTTGATCCGTCACACAATAAACTAACAATATATTCATCAGATGTTACAATTTCGCCAAGACAATGTCAAACTTAGTGGCAAAATAAAAAGTAAATTTTACCAAGTAACAAGGTTGCAAAAATATCTGCTCACTTGGATATCACTAGGAATCATGGAAATACTGTAACTTTAATTTAAGCTTAATATTATTAGCCTTACTTTTACTTATCAACCGGTGTTTTTTTTTTTTCATTTTGTAATTTGAACATTTAATAAAATGTTTTCCACACCAACATTGTACTTTTCTACATATCCTTTTCCAAAAAAGATGTATGCTCAATGGTATTTGTCCAAATGTACTTTTCTTTTGTAGGTACTGTATTTTGTAATTTGCTATTATATTGTTGATGGTTTGTTATAACCATAATGTTATAATTATTTTGTTTACGTTTTCCACGTTTTCTTTGCTAATTCATCAAAAAACCATAACAGTTACCTGGCAACTCTTAAGGCCTAAAAAAGTCATTTTAAGATTAACAAATTACAAATTAATTTTTCCAGAACAGCCTAGCATGAATCTCATTTTTAGTATAATATTCTAACAATTTAGAAGAAATCATTAGATCTGTTTTTGAGATCATTGTGCTTACAAACCTTACTCGTAAAATAGATGGGATTTCTCGTTAAAAATTTGAATACACGAGTAACTTATTTGGTGGGATAAGGGTCAACAGTGTTTTCTCTGTAAAAACTATGACTAATAGTTGTGCATTTTAAAGGCAGAATAAAAGAAAGTCTATTCACTGAGACGCGAGAGTGAGCTAGTAGAGTGGTAGAGTGCACGACTTCGGGTCCCTGAGGTCCCAGGTTCAAATCCCGCCTATCACCGATACATTTTTATCAACGTGATGATGCAGAAACTCTTTTAGCCTAGCTTGCAGCATTTAGTAAAACAGTTCTGGGCTAGAGGTAGGATAGAATGAGAAGGTATAGACAGAAAAAAGGAAAAATAATATTCATCAGAACAAATAAAATTAGGATAAAATATATTTCATAATTAACAATATATAATAAATGTTGTGTAATAAAAATATAAAACATGTAGAATAGTAACAATAAAATATTATAATTGCAGTCTACTAAATTTAGTAAACATACAAAGTACAAATTCAAAGATAAAATAACTTATTTTTTAACATATCAGTCTTAAATACTATATCATCATAGAAAAACTTTCTTAAAGACCAAAAGGTATGATATTATGAGCTACACTGCTACACCTTTAGAATATGTAGACCACAGTTCAACTCTAGAAAATAGAATATATATTGAAAAATATATTATCTTACAAAAACTGTTTAAAAATCTAATAGTACTTTTTGGCCATTATTGGTTAAGCAAATTGTAAAAATAATGGAATTAATTTTGTAAAATTAGTTTTATGAACAAGCTTTATTGGTGACAGCATAGTACTTCATGTTGTTCACAAACTCAACTAAGTTGATCAAAATTTTACATGGCTAATACACTCTTGTCCTTGTTTATATTTTATTCTAAATTATCAAACTGCTCTGAGATGTTGCAACATATTAGAACAACTCCTACATTCACATTTGCTGACTTTGTTACAATACATGGTTCTTAAAAGTTTAAGGCACATCATTGACAATAGAAATAGTTATTTGTGTAACTAGTGAGCAAAGTGGCACTTTGCTGCACACGAGAGCAACGTTTACCTATATGCAGAATGATCTCGAGTGCAGCAAAGCCTTTTGCACTCGTGTTACACATTATATTTTTCCTACAGTCACTATAAAGCATGTAAATAATTAGTCTTTCAAACACTGTACAACACGTTTTTAGGTTCAGCTGGCAACACAAATAGGTGCCCTAGAGAAAGTAGTCCCCGGTCCGTATCACTCCGCTATTTTTTCCTCGGCAAGCAATGTGCTCCGCGACTTGAGAAAATAGTTCCGTATATTTTTGTAATTTGCAGTGGTTTCCGCGCCTAAAAAATTGCTTTAAAGGTATTTTCTTGTTTATTAAGATCGTAGGAATGTTTTAAAAACGTTTAGAACGTAAACTATAAACACAAAATGACAGGTTAAATCGTAGTTATAATAGTCAATCAGCTGCTCATAGTATTATTATCTTTAAGTGTTGCCAACCTATTTCCAAGCGTACACGGATTACGTGCATAATAGAATCACGCTGTTTTGTGTTGTTTCGTTGGAATCTTGATATGCGCCAAAGTATAAACCATACGACAAAGTATAAATATGCAGCAATTAGCAGCTTTCTGTACTATAAACAGTACAAGGAAGCCAACATTGTCGGGTATCAAGGGCTTAAAATATTTAGATGAGAAGGAATAGTTTTATCACAGTATATACTTAATATCTATTCTGTGAACTGAAGCAAGACCTTGACTAGAGATGCAATTGTGCTGTCTTCTTTGCATGATGGAGTCAACACTAAGGGAGCTAACCTGTAACAAAGAAACACTTCATAAAAATTCTATTTTAAATGGGAATAATAATCATTTTCATCTCATAAAAAGTAGTTCATGCATGGTAAAATTGCTACAGTAGACTCCCTCTTATCGGGACACCTTTTAACCGGACTACACTCGGCGGAAATGACATCTCTTTAACCGGACAATTTTTATCAGCACATTGGTTTAACCGGACTAGATCGGCAGGAAGTCGGCGGTACTGAAACGACTGTTCTTGTGGGAAAGATTTGAGACCAGTGATCACGTGTCTAAATACAATGCTCTCCTGAATTTAAGTCGAATATCACAGTAAACGGTCCGTTTTAACGAGTTTTTGGGGACGTCGGTTTAACCGGAAAACCCGCTATCTGGACTGGCCTTGGTCCCGAGGAATCCGGATAAGAGGGAGTCTACTGTATCACTGTTTTTTTTATCATTTTTTCCATTATCGCCAAAAACTTAAATTAACAGTAAAATTGAAAGTTCTTATGTTGTTTAAAGGCTACTTTAATTTAAGCACTAGCATTGATGAAAAGAACTTCTACATTTAAATCACCAACCTGTACTAGGCTACACAGGTTATTATTACCTTGGACTTTTTAAAATCCTAATGAGTTCTTTGGTGTGTTGTAAAAAAGTGTCTTTGTCTTCTCCAGGAGTAATTTCTTGCTTTTTTATAAGTTTTTCGAAGGCAATAATTGCTCTAGGGATCAATCCTGTACTTCTGCAAGTCAACTGTAAAAAGGGTTATGTTATATCAGAAATATTGAAACACTTAGATGAGATCAAATACCCGAAATAAGCAAAATTTTATGAATCCGTTAGTTTTATTTTAGGCAAGAGTTACATTGGGCATGCAGATCACGGTGTGACAAGAGATTTCCAAGCTGATAGAGGAGCTAGCTTTGTCGTGCACATGTGTAAGGCTTCTGCAAACTCCTCATGCTACTAAAGCACATTTTTTACATCTAAACATTTTGATCCATACACACCAATACATTTCAAAAGGGGTTGAAAGTTGGAGAGACATTTTCTCTAAATTGAATGTTGTGATTGAATGAAATATATATTTCATCACTCAGTTAATTACCAAGTACCTGGGGACCGAGCTTTGCTCGGAAAAAATCATTAGTTCACTCTGAAAGCAGTCTTAGTATTGGAGATACATAAATCCACTCCCAAACTCCACACGGCTCGCCTTTACTACGTCCTACACCATTTCCTACGTCATGGACCTGTTTCCCTACATTCCCATAGCACTTTAGGATTGTAGATACCTTAATCTAATCGTTATTAACAGTTCCCACACCCCGGACAGCTCGCCTTGACTACTTCCTTCTCCACTTCCTACTTAGCGGACCTGTTTTCCTCCCTTCCCATAGCATTTTAAGATTGCAGATACCTTAATATAATCCTCATAGACAGTTCCCACACTCCGGACTACTCGCCTTGACTACTTCCTTCACCACTTCCTACGTCGAAAACCAGTTTCCCTCCCTTCCCATAGCATTTTAGGATTGCAAATACCTTAATCTAATAAACAGTTTCCACACACCGGACAGCTCGCCTTGACTACTTTCCTTCACCACTTCCTACGTCACGGACATGTTTCCCTCCCTTCCTATATCATTTTAGGATTGTCCATACCCTTATCTAATCGTCAGAAACAGTTCCCACACTCCGGACAGCTCGCCTTGACTACTTCCTTCACCACTTCCTACGTCGCGGACCAGTTTCCCTCCCTTCCCATAGCATTATAGGATTGCAGATACCCTAATCTTATCGTCATAAACAGTCCCCACACTCCGGACTGCTCGCCTTTTAACTATATCCTTCATCACTTCCTAAGTCACGGACCTGTTTCCCTCTATTCCCATAGCATTTTATAATTGCCTTTACTACTTCCTTCACCACTTCCTACGTCGCGGACCTGTTTCCTTCTCTTGCCATAGCATTTTAGGATTGCAGATACCTTAATCCAATCGTCATAAACATAGATCCCAGACTTCGCACTGCTACCCTTGACTACAATCTATCGAGTAATCTTCTGTATAATCTTTGCTAGATATTAACAAGGTGATGTTTTTTCTTTTGTATTTGTAATTTGCTAGTATACTATGGGTAGTTGGCTTATTGTGAACACATGCTACAACTTCAAGTCTGTTGTTTACTTTTTCCTTGTTATTTAATTCAGCCAACATGGTTACCTAGCAACCCATAAGACTAATGTTAAAAAAATGTGATTTTCAGTTTCATTTTTCTACGTAATTAGATTTTTGTTGGCAGTTCTCAGTGCAGTAAACTCGTTTTTAGGCCAGAAATAAACTATATACAACATTTGAAGAAAATCGTCGGAGCCGTTTTCGAGATCTTGGTGCAAAAGCATACATACATACATACAAGCAAACTTTGCTTGTATTAGAGTATAGGATATCCTGTAAAAAATATTAAAAAGTTGTGGCATTTAGATCACTCTAGTAGTTGATTGACTATGGTATAATCTACAAAAATTAAAAATACAACCCCTTAAATCTAAATTCACACTACAATCCAAGCATAATAAACAAAACTGTGTACGATTCCAAGAGCTTACCATAGCAAGGGAGTCACATAAGGAAGTCTCCAGCTTCAAATCCTTAGTAGCCTTTTCTTGCAAGAACTCATGTAAGATAGCCTCTAGAGTTTCAAAACATTCACTGACATTTTGTCCCCTGTAATGAATTTTGTATTGTAATTAATATGTTTGAACAGGATGATACACACATAGATATATTAACTTTGAGAGGACTTTCTGCCTGCAAGGATAAATAAAATAGTCATAGTCTAAGGTTTAACCCTTAGAGTGCCAGGCGAGAAATAAAAGTAACGCTCAAAAATGCCGATGATTTTTCCCGAAGGTCGCGCTAAAAGTGCCGAGCGCGATCTGGCGATTTTTAGGTTAAAATTTCGTAAAAATCGAATTTTCGATATTTCGACCAACGAAAATCGATGTATCGCATCTAGTAACTTTCGACTCAATGTTAATATATGGGTTAAAAGAATCCGAGTATCCATTCGGTTGTTATGACAGCTGTTCGATCATTACGAAACGTCCGGTCAGCCGGACGTTGGCACTTTTGGCTCGTTCTAAAAACGTCCGGTCGGCCGGACGTTGGCACTTTTGGCTCGTTTTAAAAACGTCCGGTTCCCCGGACGTTGGCACTCAAAGGGTTAATCTCAAAACTATTGCATTAAATGTAAAATATATGCTTTTACCAAACAAGAGAGCAATATTTTGTTGACTGCAGGACACTCTGATGTTGCAAGACAGGAATTTGTTATCAAATATGAGCATGCCTATGCTAAACCATATCTACAGACAATGCCTAAACTAAAGTAGGCATTATAGGCACCGTTATAATTAACTCGGGTTTAGTTTTTAAGTTAAGTCAATCGTCTAAATAGCCGAGTAGTTATAGTGCTCGCAGATCTGGAGGTCGCGTTGCCTATATGCCATTTGGCATTGGGCTCTCAATTAATTATGCTATCTAACCAAAGTGTCAACGTTAGATAGTAACAACACCAAGGTGTAGACCGATCCCAAACAGTAAAAAAGTCAAAGTACAGATTAGAATGCTTGATATTTAGTCATAACTGTTTAACGTTTTAAAGCTTTAAAACTATAAAATTATTTGTTGAAATATGTGTTATGAAAATGTAGTAAGAACCATAATGAGACAACATTTATGACAATCCTTCTTATATTTTTAGCTTATATTTTAAGGGAAATAGCAGAGAGTATCCAACTTTTAAAACACTACATATTTTATAGTCCAGGCAAACTAAACAAACTTACATAGGGACCGTTAAAAAAATTGCAAGAAAACGTTTTATGGTTTTATTTTGTAGAGTTGGGTTTGCAGAATGACATACTAAAAGTTGCCAAAAATCGGTGCACGAGAAAACCACTAAAATCACAATTTAAAATGGCGGCTTTTTTCAACATTGGACAAATTAAAAAAACATATTTCACATGCATTTGCTATGCACATTTTTCGAGATATTGACTTGGGACCACCGCCTGTATTTATTGAGTGGTTAGTACTTCATTTTGATAGGGAACATGTTTTTGGCCGCCATCTTGGATCCGCCATATTGGACATAGATAATTTGTTTTCAATGTAATGATAGTGTTGTGACACATCATTACCAACTACATTTTTACACTGATTTCAATGCCGAAATCCGTTTTTAAATATCTTTATTCATTTAGAAGATATATACAAAAGAAAACTCTGCACCATACATTTCTTATGGACGTTTCGTAGTTTGATATTTTTTTTAAAATTATTTTTCTTATATCTCCAGTTCTTATTAACGCTTGTAGTTCGTTCTAGGCTTAAAATATTCAGTAATGTAAGGGCTTTCATTTGAGCTAATGGGATTCGACAGTGCTGAGGTTAAATTAGGAGATATTAAGAGTTTGTACATCCCCAAAGCCAATAGAAAAGATATTGAAGATATTATTGTAAAATTAAAGAAAAATAGCCCCGGTATAGATGGAATAAGAGAATGTGATTTAAAAAAGTGTAATTTAGAAGCCGCTGAAGTGCTGGTTAATATAATAAATGCATCACTTGATGAAGGCAGAATGCCGACTCTGCTAAAAACTGCTATTATAAGACCTGTTTATAAATCAGGTTGCCACAATTCATACCAGAACTATCGCCCAATATCTATTCTTTCTTCAATAGATAAAATAATGGAAAGGTACATTGCACACCATTTAAATAAATACTTAGCAGAAAATGATGTTATAAATAAAAGTCAGTATGGTTTCCAGAAAAACAAAAGTACAGAGTTATTGCTGAAAGATTTTTCTAACAATATTAACAAAGAATTAGGGCAGGGCAATCAAGTAATAGTAACTTTTATAGACTTTACTAAAGCTTTTGATACACTGCAGTTTGATAAAATATTGACAGCACTCAAGGACATAGGAATTTCTGGCAGGTTTTTAGAATGGTTTAGAGACTATCTGAAAAACAGAAAAATTATTGTAAAAGTGCATAGTACATTTAGTGAAGAGGCAGAACTTTTTTCTGGGGTACCTCAAGGAAGTATTTTGGGCCCAATCTTATATATAATATATGCAAATACACTCCCAAAATATATAAAAGAAGACACGGTTTTTATGTACGCTGATGACACTGCAATTGTCGTATCAAACAAAAATATAATAGAGGCAGAAAAAATATGCAGAATGCTGTTAACAACCTTTTAGAATGGTGTCATGATTATGGATTGGTAATAAATGACAAAAAGTCCAAGGTCATGCATGTGCATTCACCTGCATTTAAATGTTCTAATGTAAGCATTACTTACCATAATTTTGATTGTTTACATAATCATACTTACTCACTTATCCCAAAAAGTTGTCAATGTAAGAGTTTAGAGAATGTGCATGATTTTAAATATTTAGGGGTTCATGTTGACCACAATTTTAAATGGGATATACATGTTAATTATGTTTGTAAAAAAATCAGATCATGTGTTTGCAAAATTTTTTATTTAAAAAGTGTCCTGCCATTTAATGTGCTATTGGTGATTTACCAGTCATTGTGTGAATCAATATTAAGATATGGTGTGAGAGCATGGGGCAATGCTTCAAAGACTTCTCTGAGGAAAATTGAGCATCTGCAGGAGCAAGCGCTCAAATGTATTGTTCCAGTGCACATTAAGCAGTTACCAATTATAAAGATTTTTCATTTTGTTATACTGCTACCTGTTAGTAAGTTATATATCTTTTTGATATCCACTGATCATTTATTTGATGACAGCTTGAAAATAGTCAATAATCACCCATATGATGTTAGAAGGAATTATTATTTTGTACCAAAGCACAGGAATAAGTATGGAAGTAGAACACTTGAAGTTTTTGTTCCCAAATGTTTTAATAACCTCACAAATCATATGGTTTTTGCAAATAGTTATAGCATGTTTAAACATTATTTAAAGGAACTTGTTTGGAATGATTTGTTACAATTTTAATTTATTACAATTATGCATTTAATTTATTTACATTTTAGTTGAAGTTAAAGTAATATATTATTGTTATTTATTCCAATAGTTTATTTGTTATTGTTACTGTTGAATTTTTACAGATATTTGTGTCTTTGTTGTCTTTTTTTTGTTATTAATTACTCAAGAGACAATTAAGAACTCATAAAACTGCATGCTACTGATTCAAACTGACAAAAACTGTATGGTAGATAAGAAACAATATTTTTAGTGCAGACAAACCATTTGTGGTTTTTGCACTTTTGTATCCTATGTATTGGCAATTATTGTGTAAATAAATTTCTTGATTGATTGATTGATTGATAAGCTCTTGATCATTAAAATCAGACGAGTTAAAGACCTGCTACGAACCTCAGAACAATATTAAATTTAACTTTTTAGAAATATATTTTTATTAAAATATTTATAACTCGGGTTGTTAATACGTCACCAAGTTCTTTCTTGTCTCAAATTACTCAGTGAATGTTTAGCTTTGATTTTATTAATCACTAAACAAAATCTGACAATTTTAGAATGAGCCATGGACCATAATTTAACATTAAAATGTATTTATTTTGAAATTTGTCTTTAGTTAAGGACGTATATCCCAAACCCTAATAACTCCTGGAAAGTAATCCATAGCTAAAATAAAAGTCAATATTTTGGCGAATTATTTAAGACTATAAAGAGTTTTGGGAGTTATTTAGAATTAGGAATATACGTCTTTAACTAAAGACAAATTTCAATATAAATACATTCTAATGTTAAATTATGGTCCATGGCTCATTTTAAAATTGTCAGATTTTGTTTAATGATCAATAAAATTAAAGCCAAACATTTACTGAGTAATTTGAGACCAGAAAGAACTCGGTGACGTATTAACAACCCGAGTTATAAATCTTTTAATAAAAATATATTTCTAAAAAGTTAAATTTAATATTGTTCTGAGGTTCGTAGCAGGTCTTTAACTCGTCTGATTTTAATGATCAAGAGCTCAAATGAAAGCCCTTACATTACTGAATATTTTAAGCCTAGAACGAACTACAAGCGTTAATAAGAACTGGAGATATAAGAAAAATAATTTTAAAAAAAATATCAAACTACGAAACGTCCATAAGAAATGTATGGTGCAGAGTTTTCTTTTGTATATATCTTCTAAATGAATAAAGATATTTAAAAACGGATTTCGGCATTGAAATCAGTGTAAAAATGTAGTTGGTAATGATGTGTCACAACACTATCATTACATTGAAAAAAATTATCTATGTCCAATATGGCGGATCCAAGATGGCGGTCAAAAACATGTTCCCTATCAAAATGAAGTACTAACCACTCAATAAATACAGGCGGTGGTCCCAAGTCAATATCTTGGAAAATGTGCATAACAAATACATGTGAAATATGTTTTTTTAATTTGTCCAATGTTGAAAAAAGCCGCCATTTTAAATTGTGATTTTAGTGGTTTTCTCGTGCACCGATTTTTGGCAACTTTTAGTATGTCATTCTGCAAACCCAACTCTACAAAATAAAACCATAAAACGTTTTCTTGCAATTTTTTTAAGGTCATATCCTATATTTACCCGACTATTAGTTGGATTTAAATTGGGATGGATATACAGTTTCTAGAGATTTAAATTTCAAAATCTCACTTACGTGTTAACATGTTTACCGACAGCTTCAACCAACGATCCAAACAGTTGTGGACAAAGTTGACAATAATTTGACACTGATAGAAACTGACTAATGCAGCTTAGTTCCATCAGTTCAGGCTGTAGTGACGATACCTTCGATACATACTGGGACAAAACACTGAAAATAATCAACGTACATTTGATAAGTAGGCCTACTGTAAGAAATATTAAAACAACTTTGCATGGTGAAGATAGGATCAGGTTGTTATGCTATTGTAAATCAATAAAAGGTTGAAATAAGTAGTTTTTAAAGGGAAAAAACAAACTTGACTTTAGAGTTGTTATTAAGGAGAAAGGAAAGATTCTCCTAACTATCTCCTAGAGTAGATTATTGGGACTAACTCGCCTGAATAAAGAGTCCCAGGAGATTAATACAACACATAAAACTGATATTTCAGGTAGAATGGCAGTACCAACACTGCATTATAAAACTATAGTAAAAATTACATAATAATGCAGGAAAATATTGATTTAACCCAATCCTACTTCCATTCTGTGGCACAACTAAAAGAGGAAGCAATGAAAAATAATTGCCGAAAAACTATGGATAAAGATCAAATGAAAACATGACTTACCCATAAACAGACTTCTGATAAGCAGGAATTGGACACAAGAGGGGAATTCTTGACAACAATACAGGGAAAATTAGCTTGTTGGCTTCCTTGTTTTTGTAAACAGATTCCAAGAACACCTGAAGCAGAAGATGAGAAACTTGCGAACATACATCGACCAACCCCAAAGAAAACAACGTTCTCAACACAGACCAATAGTTAGGATACCTAAAAAACAGAGACAGTGATATTATTATATAAAATCTATGATAAGTAAATAAATAATGGTAAAGTTATTGAGCAAATTTATTAAGTCACTCTATTATGAACTTCATTAGGTGAAATAATAATGTATCAATTTACAATTTTTTTTTATATAACTTACAACTTGAGCAGATCTAAAGTTTCCCCTGTTTTTGCTTCTGTTCTCATCATGTGAAGGTAGACAGAATTGAGGTTAGGATCAGATTCCACCTGTTGTCTAGCAGAGACCAGCACCGGAACTTTGAACCCTGCCTGCACCAACATGTTGAGAGAACTCTCGTGGAGACATACTGAGGCGGAGAGTGCCGGCAGATCAAGCAGAGAATGAAGTGTCTGGGAACAGCAGAGATGAAAGAGCTCAACAAAAGTTCCAAGTGGCCAAAGAGTTTAAAGATTCTTGACTTGTTTCAAACTTAAGGCGCCAAAGGAAGCATGGGGTTCCTAACATTTTTCTTGAAGTATTAAATTTGCTCTTTATTTAGTTCCAAACAAAAACGTTACTACCAGAAGAAAAAAATTTGACTTCAGTATTAAATTCGTTCACAAGTAGTCAAGAGACTCATTGTTTATATTCACAAGATGATTAATCTATAATATTAAAACGAAACAGTGTTTTTTTATTTCACGATTCTGAATCAACCACTCGACGGATTTTCATGATATTTGTGTTGAAAGAAAGATAATTTTGAAAACTAGGGAATGTCGAAGCCATAATTTTAGTTTAGGGTCCCAGTTCTTTAGAAATTAAGTTTTAATTTTTAAAAATTCTAGCAGCCGAAGCTAAGATTCTAAACTAGCTTTTGGCATAAAATAATATGCTTAACATAACAGCTGTAAACATTCAGTTTTTGTGTCAGAAATTCCGCATTTGGATAAAAATGTAAAGACATACTTAGGGTTGACTTATTTATACTATGTGTAATGCTAATCATTAATACGTTCAATTATTCTGTAAGAGGATGACAGATTAATTAAATACACATAGTAAAATACTAGGATGTTCAAATTATTTTTAAAAGCAATCTTTGTAATCTTCGATTTGTTTTAGAGCAATATAATTTGTTTAAACTAACAGCTGGTTAAATATAAACGATGGAACTATCAGGTTATTTTATTTACTCTTATTTTGTCATTGATTATAGAAAATAAGTAAGATTAGTAGAGATAATTATACCACAGTTTAAAATAGTTTGGACCAAAATTAATTAAACCACAGTACAAATCGAGGCTCTGTACACGAGTCAATAAAAAAGGATAAATGCAAATTATTTTACTGCTCCACTTTCAAGGAAAGATAAGAAAAATAACAATGTTTATATGTTTTAATTCTTCATGGTAGCTTTTTGGTTACAATTAATGTTTGTCTGCTTTAACTTTGTTTGAATTAGGCCCGGAAATATTGATGTCATAAAAAGAAGACCAAAAATAATCAGGAATCACGATTTTAAATTACCACCACAACCTCAGCCAGGTTTGATACAAAGATAAACAGATGGATGACATAGATTGAACACAACGTCAACAATCATCAAGGATAGAACTGATAACGGTATGGATAATAAACATTGACAATTATACGTCATTAGCTTTACTAGCGTGTATACTTTTTATATTCCTGCTACATGTAACCAGTTCTTTTTTTCAAATTAATGTTATTTGAACCAAACAGCTGTTTCAGACAAACAGTTATTGTTTTTACTTTTCTTTGTTTACACTTATTTATTTAGCAATTAATGCAGTGAAATTGATATAAAGGATAGGTGTGACGATTAGTTTTGATGTTAGGACACCAAAGTTAAATTAAGTGTACTGTGAATTATATTGGATATTATCGTTTTATTTTAGGTCGTTTCTATTCAGACCTACTGGAAATTGTGTATAGTAGTTGTATTGTGGTGATAATAATTATGGAAGAGGCAGGTATGCTATGGAAGGTGGTATCGTTGACTAAGTCTATACACTTCTCAATTGACTATTACTCTCTCTACTGTAGGCTACTTATAATCAGTGTGCGTCCGTGCGAATCGGCTGCAAATCTCACTTCAACGCTTTTCACATCGTAAAAATTGCTTTGTACACAGTTTTAACTTACTACTGAATTCCCGTACGTAGGACGAGCTAACACCTCGTTTACTTTAATTTTTAAATGAAAAAGTACTTCTTTGGTTCAAATGTTATTAAAGATTTACAAAGAATGGAATTTAACATTATAATTGGGTAAGAAGTTTACATTGCAAAAACTCTCATGTGCAATGGGATTTATTAAATCTGTATTTTAATTCAATGTGTGAATCCATAAAACACAAAAAGAGTAGTCAGGTATTGAGCTAACAAACAAGGCTTGAAGCAAAGCTTAATAGTAGCCTCTTGGACTGATAATTCAGACATTGCTGGTTAATGACTAACTGCCTGCATTATCTTATTTTTACCGTCACCCATCATACGACTCATGTTATTTTACTGTCTTTATATCATACCACAGACCAATAGTCGGTGTATAGTCTCAGTATGGGATGTTCCTCAAAGTATGGTCTTTGACTCGACAAAACATACCTCGGTTATAAGATTGATATCTGATGTAGCACAAGAGACGATGACCATGAACTCTTCGACCAGTGTTGACGGGTGAGTGGCCAGCAGTTTGAGGATGTTGGGCAAGTAGCGAGCGACCTGGCTGGCCAGACGCACATCATGGCCGAATCTGGCCAACACTGTGGCTATTCTGTGGCTTATATGACCTTGGCTGAACTCTGATTTGACGGTGTTTCCCAATATTCTATCTGTTAGAGTGCTCTCCTTTCCTACACAAATCCATATTAAATTAAGTCAAAAACTTTTTATAGGGACTATAACAAAATGCTGATAAGTCAAAAAGATTGTTTGTTATAGAACCGGATTTTAAATTTAATTCATGCCAGATAAAATAAGATTTTTCTCTGGATGAAGATTCTAGAGGCTTTGGCCTGCTCCTTCTAGGTAGGGGAAGATAAAACGGAATTTTTGTGACATTCATGCAGGATCAAAAAAGATTACTTAAAGATTACCAGCGGAGTTTTATTTGGTTTTGTGGAAACAAATGTCCAGTACCTTGTTCTATCTGGTATTGCCAAACAGTGACAAGCAGCGATGTGAGTTTCAGCTGATCCGCCAGGTGTAGCAGTCTCCCCATCATCAGCTGACACTTCCCAGAGCTACTCGGGTCTACTTGTCCCACTGCAGCTAACACCATCACCACCTCCTCCAACGTCTGTGCAATAACATCACAGCTAACACAGCCAACTGAGTAAGTATTTATGCCTATAGTTGTTATACCAAGAGACATTTTGTTCACTTGAATTATCTAAAACAGATGGTTTTTTAACATTTTATATTGCCTGCTTGTGCTACTGGCCTTGTGCAAAGCCGTTACCAACCTAAAATAGCTTGAAATACTCTAGAGGTAGGTAACCTGTCTTCCTACTGGCTTTGTGTGAACAACGCTTGAGCAAAATAAAACTGACAAAGTATCTATAGTTAGTTATACGAAGTGGCGCTTTGTTGACTTGACTCGATCATTCAAACTGACAGTTTCAAAATCCAGGGTTTCATCTTTTTACTTGAATAATGGACTAGCCAAATATTGTGGACTAGATCAATACTAAAATAATTTCCAATATGTTAGGATATAAAATACTAATAAAATCCACAGTATTTGTAAGTGACTTGAGATCTACAGGTCGCCTATAAAGCTGACCTTTTAAATTATCAGCTAAACATTGCCAAGATCTGTTGTAAAAGTTACTTCTACAATAATGATTGCTCTATCTATACTTCACTCTGTCCATGAATAGTGTAAAGTTTATGAGAGTGTCCAAATAATAGTGTTATTTATGCATTTTAGCGAATTTCCCTATATAGGGAAGTAGCTATTACCGTAGGTCTCATGGTAAGACTTAAGCCCGGGACCGATTTACTTTTTCATTTTAATGTCCCCAGAGGCCAAAAACACCATTTGTTCAAATTTTTATATATGTATATATATATATATATATATAGATATATATATATAGATTTATATATATATATATATATGTGTCCGTGAACACGATAACTTGAGTAATTTTTATCCGATTTTGATGAAATTTGGTTTGAATGTGTAAGGCGGGATAAACTTGAATGAGTTTGCGATCCAGCATGATCGGACCATGGGAACAGGGTTTTATGGGGGGTTTTATGGGGTAAAAATTGGTTTTTCTCACTTCTTACCCTCAAAACACAAAATTTCCCAATTTGTCTCTAAACCTTCTTAAAGAGCTTAAAAAAACAAACAATTCAGTATATCAAAGTGTTTTTGTACGGTTATTGGTTACGGAGAAAACTAAAAAAATGGTAAATTTAAAATTCCCATGTTATTCTTATGGAGAATATTGTAAAATGTTGTAGTTTGCTTGTTTATGGATATATTTTGATCAAACTTGGCAAATTTATTTATTTTATAGTAAGCTATCAATATTTTACTAAAAACACACTACTTTATTAGTTTCCTTGTAGCAGCAAACCTAGGTACTCATTAAACCTAATGTTATTTAAATAGATCAATTGAAAATCAATTCGGCCAAATGGAAATTCGCTTAGACGGCAGGTTTGCTGCGGCGGGGGTATTTTATCAAAAACTGTCTTTGATAGCTCCTGGTTTCATTGGATCCCCTAAGTTTCTACTACTTATTTAAAGAATAATAAGATCCACTCCTCTGTTACTCATATCTTTCTTTAGGTGGAGGTCAATTTAACTAGGATTGCTTTCATAGTATTGAAAGACAGTTGAGCGGAGCGATTATGTTTCATGATTTTTAGTAAAGCGATAAATTAAAACAATGTTTATAGATATAATACAACTATTTCATCAAATTAACTTGTCAACATCTATAACAATTTGTATATGTTAGAGATGTGAACATTATATAAGTTTGATATCGTTTATCGGTATTTTTTTAATGTTTGCTTGGTAATTTCATCTGGTGAACCATCAGTTTTGGTATGTAGAACCAACAGTTTGACGCTGTCCATCCCTGGCTGGTCAAAGACGAAGAGGAGGTAATCAGTACCCCACCAATCAACATTTTCTCAAGCTTGGCCAGATTTGGCAATTCAGGCAAATAATCCTGCATGGATCCATGGTAGGGAAATTTAATTTTTTTATGACTTGTCTGTTTTGAGAGAATTTCACAAATATTTTTCACTATAGCCTACCTTATAAGATCTGTTTTCTTAAATTTTGTACATTTAACATATGGAAAGCATTGTTTTCAAGCAAGTGTTCTACATTCAATTATCTCAAAACATTGCCAGAAGTAGTTGTTCAGCTGATCATAGTTGTAGTATCTTTAAGTGTTGCCAACCTATTTCCAAGTGTACACAGATTAAGTGCATAATAAAACCACTCTTTTTAGTGTTGTTTGGTTGGAATCCTAGTGTCCACCAAAGTATAAATCGTGCGACAAAGTATAAACTATAAACGGTGCGACAAAGTAAGTAAATGCAGCATTTGGCAGCTTTCTGTACTATAATCAGTACAAGGAAGCCAACTTTGTTGGGTGACTGTAGGAAAAGAAGATATTTAGGTCTAAAGTAATAAAATTTTTGAAATTTTAAAAAGATTTATTGATGATAAAGAGATAAAATAAGGTTTAGGCAATATGGAGTAATTACAATATATTTAAAATTACTCTCACTTACGACGGAAAACAAAGGTAAACCTAGGGTTTTAGAAAAAAACTGACTTTACTCTAAAACATTTTTCTTTGAACTAAAATAATTAATGCTTTAACTAATTTAAAAAGTAGTAAAAAAATACAGTTTTTCATACCAAAATCTTTGTAATGTTGTTAAATATTTTTTTGGGCACATGGCACAGAATGAACTTAACCTTTTACCATTAAAAATGAGGGTGGTTGTAGTCAAAAGCTAGGATAAAGGCAAACTTGCGTGATGTTTAAGTGATTTCATAAAGGTTAAAATTAAATAATCAGTGATGCGTAGTGCTCCATTTGTAAAAAATGAGGTGCCGGAACTGTAACCTATTTAAAGTGATTAGTACCTATTTATGCCAATATTTTATCTTTTCTAAAGAGAGGTATCAAAGCTCCGTTCCGCCGCGTCCCCCTTTAAATCGAGCACTGGTGATGCGCATTTATAGAACATATATTTTTTATGTAAGCTAGGTTTTCCAATCAACGTTAATAACGTTGTGTTGTTTTATGTGGGCTACATATAGTTTAATTGATTTTCTTTTTATCATTTATTTAAATATTTTAAACTTCAAAAATGTGAAAATAAAATATCAAATCAATTTGTAACAAGCCTGTTTTAGTAATAAGTGCAACAGTATCACTATAACATAATGTTTGGGCTGTATAAAGTGTTTACAAATCTACTACCAATACTAGATCCTAGCCAAACCTCACTTATCTAGGAGTGTAACAAATGGTCGGGAAAAGACAGGATGTCAAATGGTGACAGGACTCTTAATTTATCAACACAAAACGCCGTACTTATTTTCTTCAGTTATGTTTGATAAAACAGATTATTAAAAAACTCACTAGATTTATGGTACAGAGAATGTTATAGCTGTGATATAAGGTTCTTCAGCGTGTTGAGTTTAAGCACCGTTGCTCTCATCGCTGTCTATGTCTACCAATTCAATCTCATCTTCATTAACACTTATCAGTTCAAAACTTTTACACAAATTTTTCAGCCACCAGTTCAAAACCGCCGAGTCCAAGTTGTATTTTACATTAACCAAGTAAAGCCATTCCGAGTATGAAATGTGTTTCAAAAGTTTCATAAAAAGCATTTTACTTTCTCTCGGAGCAGTGCAGCGAGACAACTTCCACAACAAGGAATTGAAATATTCACTTTTGTAAAGACAGAGTGAAGTGATTCTTCTCAAGAAGGCAATCAGGGAAATGATCATCAAAAGAGCCAAGCACCACCAAGCCAGTAGGAATATCCACTTATTCACCATGTTTCTCGGAAGAAAACAAAAAGTGTCTCGATTTTCAAGCTTTCCCGATGGACTATACCTGTGGAAATAGCACTTAGCCATTGTTGGAAAAATAGTTTCCAACTCTATTTCATTGTAAAAGTAAGTGCCCAAGGATTGGAATCTACCCTTCATGATGAAATCCAGCATACTGAACAACACATATGGAATACACCAGTTTGCTATTTCATACATTACAAAACTGAAAGCCCAACGATGAGCGTCTGCATGTAGCCGTGGCAGAGACAACAGTTTGTTCACAACGTTTCTTTCAGACTTTGCAATTCGTTTACCGTTCAGACTCTTCTCTTTCTTCAAGTTCTCGACCCATTTCGCAGCTCTGATAATCTGATCCAGATAATGTCCACCGAAGTAGTAGTAAACCAACTGGCCGGAAGAACTGAAGAGGAAAGCCTCAAACATGATGAGACTGACCCAAACATAGTATTCGTGAAGCATCATAGCATCGTCCTTTCCAATCTGGTACACAGTCAGCAGCTCCGGTATTTCCATTTCATACGTCAACTTTCCCTGAGTGTAGCAAAAAGTCTCATTTGCCTTCTGAGACTTGTCGTCTACATCCGAGACGCAAAGTATCGGTGGGTACATAAATTCAGTGGCGAACAGAACACAGCACAACATTAAAAATAGGAAAGGTAAATGAAAGTACATAGCATAGAGAAATCCGAAATACACTTTTGGAACAGACGTGTAATACAGCTGGTGCAGCTTGTTAGTAACAGAAGTGATCATGTTGCTAGTGAAGTGACTCGCGACTGACTGCGACCACTGAATAGCTGACACTGACTGAGTCACACAGTGTCGCGAGTGAGATAGCAACTGTGCTGAGCTAGCATGTCTGCACCTGCACCTGCCTTTCCTGGTACTGTGTCACTGCTGACTGTCGAGCAACTATCATAACTGTCAAGCTGTGTTAAATCATCAACTATAAATTAATAAAGTGTATTATTGTTGAAATGATTAACTAAATCTATATCTATAAAAGAGGAAGTTTGTATGTATATATATATATATATATATGTTTGAACGTTATGGACTCCGAAACCGCTTGACAGATTGTAATGAAACTTTCAGGAATTATTAAGCATCTTTCAAGGATGGTTTTTGTGAAGTTTGGTGCAGGTCCGTCAAAAGGGCTCCGCCCCAGAGGGTTTTAAGTGGGACAATGTCAGACTTTTTGAATTACACTGTTTACAAATAAATATAATTTAAAAGCAGATGTTTTCTTTCACCAACTGTTTTGTAGGTTTGAATAATCACAACGTTCTGTATTAGTCATGATTTGAAATAGTGCCACAATGTTTCTACAGAGTGCAGCACAGAAAACTATTTTACTTTTGAATAAGTCCAAATATATTAAACCCCAATCGCAGCACACCTGTGCACTCAACAACGTTTAAATTCTCCAATGTTGAATATGTAAACATAAAAACCTTGATTAAAGTATTATAAACAATAAAAGGGATGGTAATGCCTTAATATTTTTATCTTTTGTTCTATACCCACACAATCTAACATAAATTATTAAGTGAATAATAATCGTGCGTGCTATCTCAGGTATTCAAATGCCATTACTGGCATTAAAAGAAGGAACTCCATTAATACTAATGCGAAACTTAAATCCACTTAAAAGGAGAAATAGTCTTAATCCCAAGAATACTGATGACTTCATCCAAATTACCCTCTGAATTGAAGCAACTACAATTTCCTTTTTTTGTCTTTCTTTCCCAATCACCATTATAAGGCACTAGGGCAAACCCTGACTATCGTCGGTTTAAATTTTGAAAATGCATGCTTTTCACACGGACAGCTGTATGTTGCGTGCTCACGTGGTGGTAGGTACGTCTAAAAACCTATAGAAAAAACAAAAAAAAATTGTTTAGGCCCTATTCACTGGCAATTAAGTAAAATATTCTATTTTTTATTTTTGGAACACACTTTTGTTATTCATTGTAAAGAACAAATTACCATTTACAATAATAGTTGTTAAGCGCAGCAACGCACGCCGGGTAACTGCTAGTAGGTACTAAAATTATGTATTTTATTTTAACATAAGGTGCAGTACTAAGAGAAAATTTTCATAGTTAAATCATTAAGTATAAATTAGTAGGTATTGTATAGTTTATCTATTAATAAATGGGAACAGAACTAGAAGGACAAAACTGTTGAAGAGTTACATCATCTTATAAAAATTAGTATTTATTTTATTAATAAAAGGGACAGTGGTACAAAAACTGTTCTTTGTTAACTGATCTATAAATTATGTTTATTTAATTTATTTATTAACAGAGGGGCCAACCATTTGGGAAAATTGGTTGTGTGTTAAATTATCAACTATAAACTAATATTATTTGTTTTATTTACAAAAAGGTTATTACACATTAAGAGAAAATTGTTACGTAGGTATAAAGTTGTATAGCAACTTAACTATTAAAAAGATGCAGCTTACAAGTTATCCTGTATGTTTGACGTGGTTGAAAAGTTGGTATATTTGACAGAAATCAGTAACTTAAATTAGCACACCCTGTCGGTGGCTCGATTCAACTAATTTAATTTTGATTAAAAAACTGGTGACAAATTTAATATTGTGGAATCACCAATTCTACAATACTCAAAGATTGTATCCACTGAGGACTAATTTATATAAACATAACAATCCATCAGTATGCTCTTGCTTGTCCTCCAGTTTTATAACAAGTAAAAAAAATTAATAAATAAAATCTACCCTTGAAAAAGACAAACACATTTAAACGTTACCATTATACAACCTACATTATCAACTTTTACTAAAAAATACAATGATCTTTATTAAAAAAATAACAATAGACACAACATCCAATACTCTTGCAATAATTTAATGTTAACTGATATTATTTCTTTACCGTTTCCTTTCTATTCCTCTACTGATAGCATGCGTTAGGCCTAGATACAGCAGAGGGTGTATGTGTGTGTGACTGTATGTTAGGGAAGATGAATAAATTTATGTTATTTTATTACTAGTAATGTTACAAACTTAATTGTATTTTTTGTTATTATTTTGTTGTTATTATTCGTTTTTTAGAGGTTGTAAGAAAGGACCATGAAGTACTAAGTTCGCCTCAATAAAGAAGGAATTTCATTCATTGATAAGAAATCCCATTTTATCACATAATCAAGGATCCTCCATCTCATGCCTCAATGTATGAGAGGTTTGGTACCTCGCCAGTGAGTGAAATAGAACACTCCAAGAATATTATGGGAGTAGACCTGGGGTTGCAAGACTACTGTGTTGGCTATTAATTTCTGTAGATCAACTGGTTGACACAGTTCTGATGGAAGTAGGCAAAATAATCAAGTTCATCTAGGAATTGCTTGACAAAAAAGCCCCTCTTCAGTCAATGTTTTTTTCAATTACTTGACACAAGTTTTGCGCAGATGTTCCAGTCTGTTCTGTTAGTTAATCTCTGCATTAATTTCTTTCTCCATGTGTGGAGGTTGCTTTTTTGTTTCCTTCACGCTCGAGCAGTTCATCTCAGGATCCAGAAAGGTAATTTCAGAGGCACTTTTTTTATCTCTTCATGGGCTTTATTTTCTGGGCAAACCTATTTTCTTTAATGATTATCTTTCACAAATGACCATCACTTATGGATGATTCTTCTATCTCAAGAACACTTCTTCTTTGAGGGAAACTCTCCTTTCTCTGAGACAATTGTACGTTCTCAAAGGTACTTTCTCTTTTCCTTTGCACTGTTCCTCTTACCTTTTGTTCTAGCACTGCCTATTATTTCTGGTTGTCTTTCTTTTCCATATTTCCTAGCAGCATTGTTCTCATAGTGCCCTATCAAGAGGCACACCGGTCTGTTGCCAGATGGGAGGAAGGAGGCTGGTTGGGAGAGCGCATGAACCAAGGCACACAAGGAAGGCAACCACCATGACCTCCTAGGGGATGTGCAGGAGGCAGCAGCTTCCTAGTCACCTGATCCCGCACCCAACCTACAACCCAACCTTGTGTGTTTGGGGGAAGGGGGGAGCCTAACAACATCCCGCCCTGGGCGCCAATACACCACGTGATGGCCCTGGTTGGGACCAAGACTACCTCAGTTACCGAGAATCTCTGATAATATGGAGGTAGCTACATGTTTTAACAATATACTAGCTGTTGGCCTGTGCTACGTACAGGAATCCAGTAGTTGATTAAACTGAATATTAAACAGCTAGTTTACAAGCATACAGAAACATTCTGGCAGTTTTAATAGGAAACACCATCTTATAAACAAATATCACTCATCACCTATTTCTTTCATCCGATTATAGGCCTAGGTATACGAAATGCATTTTAACCCTCCAACTGGCAGCGTGACTATAATAGTAAGGTTTTGCAAGGTTTTGGTTAACTCCAAATAAATGGTTAAAAACTATTGTAGAGTGGAATAATTTTTACACCGTTAGTAAGATAAGATTCTAATCTTACACTTTGTTTTAAAGATGAACTTTATTTCACAAAGGTATGACTGTAATTGAGCCCTAATGTGAACAAAAATTTCAAGCAAAGTCATTTGCACCATGTACGCGTCACAAAACTGCCAAACACGGTATGTTTTGAAAAATCATAACGAGGGATATTTTAAAGAAACAGGTGGTACCACTGCAATAAGGAATAAATTTCCTATATTATTACTGTAGTTAGTTATATATTTTACACTGCATAATGCAACTTACCGCTGCCACTACCAGCTTGTCGTGTGGTTGGGTAGGCCGCTTGCCAGCTTGTGCCAACAGCGTGCTGCAGTAACTGCACACAGCATTGACCAGGGCTGTATCAACCGAGTCCCTGGTACAACGCAGGTATTTTCTAATGCCAGAAAAAGCCACTAGGCTCAGATAGTGCAGTTCACTGATACTGGAAACTATTACACACATGTTAACTGATCTAGTGACTGATAAGGATAATTTAGTAAAAATAAATGTTGTAGTAATCAGTTTTTGCTTGGTAGCTGGTAAAAGGTAGCACATCAGTTGTTAAGTGGAATGTTAAAAGATTATTTTTGGCGCAGTATTAAAACATTACTTAAAATAGGCGTAGTATTTTTGTTTATTTACTCTATTTATTTTTTAGGCTAATACCTGATTTACGATGCAGTGATTTATTGTTTCTTAAATATAACCTTTTTAAGATTTGCTTTCTTAAGTATAAATCGTTTAATTTAAAATTGTCTTTTTTAATTAGTTATTTAAATTGGATAAACATTTTGGTTGATTTGAACTGCATAAGATGAATCTAGTTTGACCGGTTGCTGTGGACGGAGCAAAATTCATACTGAGTCGTTTACATGTTTATGGGTTATAAACTTTCTAGGGGTTTTCTAATATGTCTGATAATAATTAATTGCCCACCAAATTTAACGTTTTATCCCGGATTATCTTTAATGTGTCCAATTTTATAAGCATTTGAGGTTGAAGTCTTAAGGTTCTGGAGGCTTCAGAGAATGCTAATGAAAAGACTGATAAGGTTTCTTATATGCTATGCTAATTGTAACCTTTAAAGTCAAGGAACTTTTTGCACATCTGTAAGAAGTAGGTAGATGTTTGTAATTTTTCTTCGTAGCAGCATATGGAGCGATGCCACCTTACAAGTGCTGGCTAGTCAATGCTAATGATTCTATATAGATGCTCATCAGAAACACACAGCAAATATTTACATACAATTAAAGGCTACGACTCAAACTTGTATAATAGGTCTGATTTAAATTGTTTTGTAATTTAAGGGGATATGCCTCCTTCTAAGACTTTTTTAAAATTATTTATTTTAAATGGCTTTTGTGGGTTTATTCTGTTTCTATTTCACCAAATTAGAGGATTTATATATAGAAAAAATGTTATCCAAATCAATTTTTGGTCACTTTGGGGTAAATTTCAAAATTTTAAGAATTTTTTTTAAAAATTTCAGTTTTGAATAACTTTTTTGTTTATCAACATAATGTAAAAAAGTAAACATATTTTACTTTCCCACATAACAATGAACATTTATGTGTATTGTAACTATGGTAACTCAACAAATGCAGCTTTAGTAGACCTTTTTACAATAATATGAAAAATGTTACACGAAAAGATCAGATTTTTAATGTAAAACATAAAATTTTATAGGAATAAATTATTGCAGGATGTTCTCTATACACACAAACCTTCTAAATACTATTAAGAACGTCTGGTTAAAATTTCATTGAAAAATAATAAGTAGTTTTAAAGTTATTCAAACTTACGTAAATGTAGTAAATGAAAAAACGTAGTTTTGAGAAAACGCCGTCATAGACTAACCAACACAAGTAGACTTCTCATCCCATTGTACATTTTGAAGCACGTTTTTCGTGTCTAGTTCATGTACGTGACACAAAGGCGCTAGTGTCGACGAAACTTTGCTTCTATTATTTTAGGGTTAATTTCTTGATTTGTGCTTTACCGTTTGGTTATATAACTAGGGGACATGTTATTGTTTATGATTAGATCGTATTATTTGGTTAAACGAGGTTTTAAATGGCTGTAATAACGGGAAACAAATTGTAAACAAAACACGACCTCTACAGAAAACCGTACAGAACTAACAAATAAAATTGGCTTCAGCTGTTCCATAAGGATGGGAAATCTACTAAGGGAGTATGTTTTATCTATGACGCCGTTTAAAGTTTTCTTTCTACTTATTGTTGCTAGGCGCAACGTCTTCAATTTTTTTATAAAAATCACTGAAAAAATTCTCCAAATCAAATAAAACTTTGCATACATGTTCAGTAATAATTAACCCTACATCTGGCAAGAGGCTCAATGAGCCGAATTTGGCAAGTGTAGTGTGAGATGGCAGAGGCTCATTGAGCCGAATTTGTCATTGGCACACTCAAACACATATTTCGTTGTGTTATGATGGAATAAATTACTAACAACCTATACTGTTGTGAAGATGAGATTACGGGCTTTATTTTTCATATATAAAACATCTACGGGCGTTTCTATATACGTGAGTGGGAAATTTTGAAAACAGGTGATTTTTTATAGTGCTGTGACAGTGCAGTACAAAACTCTTTAGGCGACTTATTAATAAAGTTTTTTTATAATTTAGGCCTATTACTTTTTTGTTTGTACAGTTTATAGCCTATAACCATGCTTGTAAATATACTTTCTTCATTATTAGTTTATTTCTAATTTAGGCCAAGGCTATTTCATTTTTTGGTTGGCAGCCAATTTTTTGCGTAGGCTTAGCCGATTTTAATTTTGTATGCCAAATACAATGTAGGCTTACTTTGTAAATATTTGTAATAATCATATTTAGTCATAAAATATATATTTCAATGTTTTTCAACCCAGTTTATGACTTGTTTTTTTTCACCATATCACTTTGTAATGACTTGTCACTTTTTTCGAAAATGAATTTTTCGGTTGCGACTTTCTACAAAACACTCTATAGGAGACTTATTACTTAGGTTTAGCAAAAAACCCTATATATATTCTAAAAGTACATAAAATTAGTAACAAAATTTATATCTCAGAATTTCATACATGAGGTATTGAAGATTTTATAATCATTTCATTCATGCGAATATGTTATACATTTTTCATAAAAAATGTAGAAGTTGTTTATATTTTGAGTTTTTTAATTTTTTCAGTTGCAATAATCAGTAAAATACAAATATTTATTGAAAGCCCTATGGTTTTTGAGTATAAACATGCAACTTTTATTGACTCTTGGAATTTATTACTATTTTTGACATCACTCAAAATTTTATTTGCGTTTTTTTTTTTGTGAAAACACATTTTGAAAGATTTATTGACTTTTTACTAATCCTTTTACAATTATTCCAAAAGTCTTTATATTACTATGTAGAGTACTAAACTGCCAAACTTTTTCCAATATATCTTTATAAGAAAAAAAAATTGTAAAACTTCTTATAATCAATAAAATTTCAAATTTTATTTTTCAAAGTAAAAAAAAATAAACTTATCTCTTTGTTACTATGACAACTATGAGTAAAAAAATAAATAACTTTCACTAAATTGTTCATTGTTTTGTGCTGAATCATAATATATATAATTTATTGTGTTTTCCATTCAATATAACAGAGTTATTAACAGTTTAATGAGGCCACTACCAAAGTTGACCAAAACCTCTGCCATCTCACAGGTGCACGGCTAGCAGACGACGCCGCCAGATCTAGGGTTAAGGAATAAAAATTTGTCACTTTTGAAAAAAGTCAAAATATTTTATAAAATGGCCTATAGATGGAGGCACATCCCCTTAACAAATTACCTAAGGTGAAAGCTGTGCATATGCCCACAGCAGAAGAACCATCCAGCTCAGTGACATCAGCTGATCTGAACAGCCCACTTGTCGTCTGCGGTGAACGGGAATAGGAGAGCCACAAGATCAGCTGTTTATTGAGTGAAGGGGTCAGATCACCTGGTAGTGTTGTCATTAGAAATCTCAACACTCTAGCTCTGTCTTCTAAACACAATCCTGGACTTGTCAGAGAGCTAGAATAAACAGGGACCACCAGATCAGTTAACAGTACGGTATTTAAAAAAATCTATTTGCATTTTTGACCCTCAAACATGAAGTTTTAAAATTTTGCCCCAAACCATTTTGTAAGTTAGAGCTATCTGGTTCACTGCAATGGCTACGGGTTGAGATTCTTGCAGATACAATCATTAACAATTGATTTCTTCAGGTTTTTTTATAAATAAATTATCACTTGAGAAAAAAATAATACATTAACACAGTATACAGAATTATAAGTATCACACTTTGGTACTGAAATGATCTCTTGAAAACTCTACCTGAAAGTAGAAAAATATGTCAAATAACAGTTGTAATAGGCCTAATATATTTACAATTAAACTGTTTTCTTACAAGATGGTAAATACTATGGTAAAAGAAGGTACTATGGTAATAAGATGGTAAAAGAAGTCATCCGCACTATGTCGGGGGCTGGCCCTGCGGAGCACTGCAAGCCACTTTTTGTCAGACTAAACATTTGCACAATCATTAACTTACACATCTACAATGTACTTATATACACTAAAGCTAATCTCAATGAGTTTTCCACCAGGCAGAATTACCATTTCCACCATACACGAAACAAGGAACAACTGGATATACCACATCACAGGCTGGCCATCACAGGTAATTCTTTTAAACTTATGCGACGAAATTTTCTGCACTGGAAAATATAAATATTAAAAGTGCAGTGCAGTCGCAACCGTTTGCCGGGGATAGCTCAGCCTACAATGGCTGGGTAAAGTTCCAGGGTCTGCGATAAGGTCAGGGAAACCACTAGGCCAATAGCCGGGTCTAACCGGTATAGGACTGGCTCATACACGGGCACTGTGAACAAGTCAAAAACAAGTCACCAAACAAACGTGCAATAATCACTACCAGGCCTACGCCGATTCTCCACACTCCTAGGGGGTCGTTGCTGACTACGCAACTCGGGCTTCGTCCTAACTATCCAATAGTTAAGCCCAGAGTGCCTAAAACACGGTGAGTTACACGACGACTTGCCAATAAAAACCACAACGCGTGTTATCACCAGGCGGGGTCTACTAGGCCACTATAATCCAATACACAACTCTAATGCCCAAGCTAAGAATCGAACAGTCCACTCAATAATCGTACCACATAATAATATACAAGTACACTATAGGTAGAGTGACTACACCACTAGTGGCTGGTCTCAATAAATACCAAGCCAAACAAGCAAAACTAAATGGCGATTGCACTATTAAAATATTGAGCTACTTAGTAGCAGATAAATAAATATTAAATGCGTTCCAAACACTAGATAAATATATTATCTGATAGCCGGTACTCCGCTATCCAAGCTACCAAGCTAACGTGTTGGATTACTAAGCAAGCTGTTCAGGTTAAATTAAAATAATCAAATGAATAACCAATAACAACCCTACTACTGCTACTGCTACTACCAACTTTATGTTACTTAGCTGGGCTTCTGTTAATAGGCTAATAAAACTAGCTACTAGCCTGCTGGCCTCGTGCTTCCAACTACGCACGCTAAATCGTGCAGCCTAGGTTTGTCGGGCCTCAGAGTTATTAGTAATATAACTAACTCTAGGTACAACGCAAAATAATATCTACTACAGTCAATTAAATTATATTATTTGCGCTCTAGCACCTGCCCAGAACCGTCAGGAATACACTTTAATCTTATTCCTGACTAATATAAATCCTAACTACCGTCAGGCTTTGACCAGCACGGTTACAACTCTAACTCTCGCAATAAAACCAGATATTAATATTATCAAACGAATAATATCAAGTCGTCCACTCACCACAAGTGGGTCAGTACCCAACTTACACCAACACTCGGCGCGATCACACCACCAGCATACTCCGACACCACTGTCACGTACACCACTGGACGTCTCCACAGGCACAGGACACCAACACTCACTTCTTGACTGTCCGAGATCCACCACTAGAATGTCTGTCCTAGGCTATCCTGAGAAACTAGGATATCCCAGGCTTATCGGCACTGATAAGCCGGGTCAAAGGGCGCTAGCCAGGTTCGCCGCCGCCGCTTGCCTACCTCAACAATCGGTGCGCGGCCAAATAGCAAATATTTACCCCCCTAGGAAAAATAACTCGTTACATCCCCCACTTACATCGGGATGAAAAAAAAGAAAACGGCCAAAAAGAAAAAAAAATCTTTGAACTCCGGCCAAAACAAAATACTCCAACCCCTAACCCAATGGTGAACCCTACACCACAGGTCTCAAACTTAAAACAAAGAAAAACTCTTCTACTCGCCACTACCAGCCAACGTGGTGCTGAATGATTTGTCATCAGGAACCAGACGGGGATTTCCATTGCAAGGGCCTTCGGGGTCTTCGTCACCAATTTTGACACTGTCTATGCGGCCACCTTGGCCAGAACAGTCATCACCCACGCCCATTCTTACTACCTCTGTCCCACATGTCACCAATCCGAGGTCTCGGATGACATCCATACCCAGAATCATGTCTGTGGTGAGAGTGGGGACGTACAAGGCATCTCCTATCCACCGTCTTCCCGCAGCTTCTCCTGCCAGCCGAAACGAATACTCGGCCGTTGACTGTGTCCCCTCTGCCATCCTCAGAGGATCGATTTGCTTACACGGCTCTACACCCTGGTGCTGAAGATGGTTGGCGACTCCTCGCCCAACCAAGCTAACTACGGAGCCAGTGTCCAATAATGCCTTAAAAACGCTGCCCATCAGCACAACTTCAACAAAGGGCCTTGTCTCCGAAACCAGCCGGTTCTCGTCTACTCCACCAACCAGGCTGTTTAGTTTTCCGAGCCAAACGGACCACTCTTCTGAGGTCGTTCGTTTTGGGTGGCCTTGCCCAGTTGACCTCCTGATGTCTGAGCTGGCCTGCCGTTTCCCGCCCGACATCCACACTGACTCACCGTCAAACCAGGTTTGCCACACCCAAAACAGGAGACGGTCCTTGGTTTACCACATTCTCGGGCAAAGTGACCAATCTCCTGGCACCTAAAACATTTCACCGTCCCCTTTGGACCCTCAGGCGCTCTAGCTGCTGTCACGGGCCGTTGACCGTGGACCCGATCCGACTTCAAAGCTACCCGCCCACGCGACTCGGCTTCCGGAGATGGTCTCTCGAAACTCCGCTTCTCGACGGCGGCAGTTTCGGCGCGCTTCTCCACCTTCTTTTTGGGTGTGTAGGCGGTTTCCAAAACCAGCGCTACGTTTGGAGAAGGAGGAGGTCGGAAGGCCGCCTTCTCTCTTAGATAGGCCTCATAGTCTTCAGCCAACTCCACCATCTCGGCCAGGTTGCTGAAGTCCCGCCGTCGCACCATCAGCTTGTACTCTGGACGCATATTATTGTAGATTAGGTCCAATCTACCATGCTCCGACAACGTACCGCTACGCCTAAGCAAGGTACTTATGGCCACGACATAATCTCGGAAGTGTTCGGTCTCACCCTGCGTCCTTTTCCGGATCTCCTCATCCAAATTCCTCTGATAACCAGGTGGAAGGAACTGGATCTCAAATTGATGCCGGAAAGCTTCAAAAGAATACAGGAGCTCCTTGCAGTTCCTGTACCAAAGAAGTGCTGAACCTTGCAGAAGCTCCGGTAGCGCTCTGAGCAGGTCCTCTGATGATATAGAGTAGGACCCCATCAGCTCCTCAAGACGCTCCAGGAAGGACACTGGGTCTCGTCGGCCATCAAACCTCAAACCCCACTTCCGTACCGTGTTGCATACTTTGGAGCAATCCTTTGGCTCCACCCTGCTGGCCTCGTTCGAGAGTATACCCGAGCCTCGTGGCAGCTCTAAGCTAGAAGGACGGACTGGTCTCTCTGAATTATCATTGGGCCGCTGCCATCCCTCGGGTCTACTTGGTAACCCAAAGGTAGACAGCTGAGCAGCCACAACAGGGGACGTAGGGATGGCGGGTCTTTCGAACCCATAGCCGACCCCATTACTCGGCGAGCCTCTCGCCTGTCGCACCACCAATGCAAGTTGTTCTCGAAGAGTCCGGGTATCAGTCTCCAAAGACAACCCAAGAATCTCTTTGACCGCCTCTAACTCCCTGCTAAGTTCCCCTACCTCTATTTGGTTAGATTCCGTATTACCCAGTACCTGAGGTACGGTTCTCGGGGGGTCAGGAAGCTCCACAGTTGTAGTAGCCGGCGGTACATATGCCGGTGCAGCAGCCCCAGCCGTACACAGCCTATCATCGCTGTACCGACGGGCATTCCGCTGCTTCCAAAACGATGAGAATCGCTGCCGTAATTCCGCAGAAGTACCAGTGGTCACCAAACCATACTGGTCCATCGTTCTCATGAGCTCCCCTTTCGAGAGGTCATAGATCCAACCCACGCGACCGTCCCGGGGCTGCGACCCCAAGGACATAGTCACTGGCGCGGAATAGGTCAACGAAGTTGTCACCGTCGTAGCCACTACCGAAGAAATTGTCGGCCAAACGGGCGAAGACGCCGGCCACAATGACGATGTCGTCATCACCGACAGTTCGGAGCTAACCCCAGAACTAGTCGTAGCAATAGTAGACGTAATAGGCGTACCGCCCAGCACAGACGTCGTACTCGTAGTCACAACCATATTTAAAATTCAAAACACCACGACAAATCCGCAAAAATAAGGGCGTAACCAATTAAAATATATTTAACACCGTTATAATAAATCAAACCGATTATAGGTGTGAAAGTCAAACCACAAATACACAATAAGGGTTCTCACTCAAATAATATTCGATGATAAAGCTCAATTAATTAGCAAAATAATAAATCAAACCAATTATGGGTGTGAAAGTCAAACCACAAATACACAATAAGGGTTCTCACTCAAATAATATTCGATGATAAAGCTCAATTAATTAGCAAAATAATAAATCAAACCAATTATGGGTGTGAAAGTCAAACCACAAATACACAATAAGGGTTCTCACTCGAATAATATCCAATGATAAGGCTCAATTAATTAGCAAAATTAAAATTACTAACTAATATCTATGTATACAACCACTAAATAAATTAGGGTTCACAACACACCACGCTGTAACAGAAAACAGGTTAGGCCTACCCAACCGACTATAAAATCACAGCAGGTCTGCCTAAAACTCTGCTCAACAGCTCAGGTCCGCAGCCAATCTGCACAAGTCCGCAGCAAATCTGCACAAATAAATTTATTTTGTTCGGGCGCCGTTAATACGTCAGCAACTCAGCACCACTGCCAACCTCAGTCCCTGTTCGGGCGCCATCTTGCGACGAAATTTTCTGCACTGGAAAATATAAATATTAAAAGTGCAGTGCAGTCGCAACCGTTTGCCGGGGATAGCTCAGCCTACAATGGCTGGGTAAAGTTCCAGGGTCTGCGATAAGGTCAGGGAAACCACTAGGCCAATAGCCGGGTCTAACCGGTATAGGACTGGCTCATACACGGGCACTGTGAACAAGTCAAAAACAAGTCACCAAACAAACGTGCAATAATCACTACCAGGCCTACGCCGATTCTCCACACTCCTAGGGGGTCGTTGCTGACTACGCAACTCGGGCTTCGTCCTAACTATCCAATAGTTAAGCCCAGAGTGCCTAAAACACGGTGAGTTACACGACGACTTGCCAATAAAAACCACAACGCGTGTTATCACCAGGCGGGGTCTACTAGGCCACTATAATCCAATACACAACTCTAATGCCCAAGCTAAGAATCGAACAGTCCACTCAATAATCGTACCACATAATAATATACAAGTACACTATAGGTAGAGTGACTACACCACTAGTGGCTGGTCTCAATAAATACCAAGCCAAACAAGCAAAACTAAATGGCGATTGCACTATTAAAATATTGAGCTACTTAGTAGCAGATAAATAAATATTAAATGCGTTCCAAACACTAGATAAATATATTATCTGATAGCCGGTACTCCGCTATCCAAGCTACCAAGCTAACGTGTTGGATTACTAAGCAAGCTGTTCAGGTTAAATTAAAATAATCAAATGAATAACCAATAACAACCCTACTACTGCTACTGCTACTACCAACTTTATGTTACTTAGCTGGGCTTCTGTTAATAGGCTAATAAAACTAGCTACTAGCCTGCTGGCCTCGTGCTTCCAACTACGCACGCTAAATCGTGCAGCCTAGGTTTGTCGGGCCTCAGAGTTATTAGTAATATAACTAACTCTAGGTACAACGCAAAATAATATCTACTACAGTCAATTAAATTATATTATTTGCGCTCTAGCACCTGCCCAGAACCGTCAGGAATACACTTTAATCTTATTCCTGACTAATATAAATCCTAACTACCGTCAGGCTTTGACCAGCACGGTTACAACTCTAACTCTCGCAATAAAACCAGATATTAATATTATCAAACCAATAATATCAAGTCGTCCACTCACCACAAGTGGGTCAGTACCCAACTTACACCAACACTCGGCGCGATCACACCACCAGCATACTCCGACACCACTGTCACGTACACCACTGGACGTCTCCACAGGCACAGGACACCAACACTCACTTCTTGACTGTCCGAGATCCACCACTAGAATGTCTGTCCTAGGCTATCCTGAGAAACTAGGATATCCCAGGCTTATCGGCACTGATAAGCCGGGTCAAAGGGCGCTAGCCAGGTTCGCCGCCGCCGCTTGCCTACCTCAACAATCGGTGCGCGGCCAAATAGCAAATATTTACCCCCCTAGGAAAAATAACTCGTTACACTTAATTGTGTGAAATTTTATAATAAGCTGCCCGAGCCTCTTCAGGCAGACAGCCTTTCTCTTCCTCTTTTTAAGTCAAAAATTCATAACTGTCTCATAGCTAACCCATTTTACTCAGTTAAGGACTTCATGAATTATAAAATTAAAGCCGAATCTTTCATACTGTAAATCAAAACTCTCAATCGTTATTCTTAATCTTTGTTATCTATAGATATGAACATGTTTAGTGATATTTTATTTAATGTAATTTGACAATGCCTATTCCTATGTACAACTTGGTCAATGGCAATAAACTTTCTTATTCTTATTCTTATTCTTGTAATACATATATAGGCTTAAATAAAAAAGATGGTAAGTGGTGATCGATTTCGATTGGACACTCCAATCATCATACCCAATAGCCAAATCGATCACCACTTACCATCTTTTATGTGTGTCTTTAGCGTGAATAGTATAAGTGTGAACATATTATTACAAGTGTTATTTGACATATTGTTGTACTTTCAGGTAATTCAATAACACGTACGATGTCAATCAAGAAGTTATTTAGGAAACTTAAATAAACAAAAAAAATAAACATTATCAGGAGCAAACAATTTACATGTGGTCACTGTTACCAATACTTACCCAATCAACCACTCGTAAGCATTGTTTGAGGGTAGAGGAATGTCCTTGTTGATGAGGAAACACGGCAACAAGCCGGCCACAACGCTAGGACTCATTGACAGCTTCACTGTGTCCGTGACACAAGAGGGACTAAGCCAATGACACATCTCCTCCACCTGATTACATTTTGTATATTGTTGATCAATATTAACAGTAGGCCTACACAGTTTTGCTTCTGATTTTATCTTATCTAGCTTATTATCCTTAAAACCTAAGATTACTTAAATATTGGAAATTGGTTTTAGACAGTTACAAAAGAGGTGTGTATTTTGTAAAATGTAATGACTAACAAAAATTGTCATACTTAAGTCAAATTAATTCCACATTAGTAGACACCAGTGACTAAGAAACAACTGGCAATTTAGGTTGCGAATTGAAGCCGCTAGTTGTGGCAGGGCCTACAGTGGTGAAGGAAGTATCAGGGCCTGTCTATTCCTACTGCCCAGATAGGGTTACCGGTAGTAATTTTTTAAAGTCAAAATCCTGGTGAAAATCATTTTGATGAACTTGAAAAGACAATTTGTAAGAAATATTCTTGCCTGAGGTTACACAATTTTACCGAACAACAGAGTGAAAAAATCCACAGAGAGTAAAGCAGTGGCTACACTTGCCAGTTTCGGTCCGGTCCAGTCCGAATGGAAGAGGTAGGCCTAGCTACTACACTTGTACAATATTGTGTACGAATATCATACTTTTAATTTAAAAAAAGAAAACATAAAAACTGTAGGCCTACATGTTTAAGCTAGTTTTTTTTATCACTATGCAGAATGAAAAAGAACACTGCTTGTTGCCAAAATAATGTTATAGGCCTATTTTCACATCTGTGCAACCTAATTTTGTGTAATTTAATGTTGTTGTTGTTGTTTAATGCATTTCTATAACACCTAACAAGTATTTATAAATAAAATGTTTGCACATAAAATTTATAGTTATTCCTTTTAAATAATCTATTTGAAATCAATATAGTTTACAAACTTTTAAATTTGTATACCCATTTCAAACAATGTATATAAGTATTATCATTTACATTTATAGGCCTACTCCTATTTCAAACAATTAAGTAGCAGTACATTTGAAATGTTATCTAAAGAGACAAAGCTTACAGTGACTAATAACTTATATGCCTTATAAGTTAAGCAATTCCTGGCTAGTCTAACAAGTTCATAAACAGTTTTTGGGCGATTGGTGTAATTGTAGATTTAGAATACAACTTACTGTTTGGAAGAGCAGTGTCCGTAGCTTACGAGGCACCTTTGCGCCAGTGAACGCAATAAGAAGAGAGTCAAACGCCCTCTGTACAGGTGGCGGGTACACTCTGTGATGTTGGTAAAAGGCTAAGATAGAGCTAAGAATCTCTGCTTTCACATTATGTTTGTATATGCTTTCCCACAATCTTTCCACGTCCTGGGCAGGAAGTTTCCTGTAAGATCACCAGCCACGCAAATTGTTTTACATGAAAAACAATCTTTGGTTGGAACTTACTGTACTGTACGTAAGTAAATTATGGAAAAGCAAAGTTAATCAACAAATTAAGACATACATGATAGGGTTTAAAAATGCTTTTGTAAATATGATTTAAGGAAATTTGATTGATGTGAACTTATTTTTTTGCACTAAGTAACCTTTTGAATGTGCACAAGAAGGCCTATAACTACAGAGCTCTTCAGAGGTTGAGTCTAGGCCTATACAGTGAGGTTCAGAGATTATTTGTAAATTTATGTACCATAAAGCCTTAAAAATATTATTAACCTAAATGGAGCCTTAGATTGTAATGCTTTAAGAAAAAGTAAGCTGGAACACTATCCTAACATTATTTTTCACAGATTGATTAAATTAGGCTAGGTCGAAAATCCTTACCTTGACTGGATTAACACTTTTCTCAAATCCATTGTCTTAGTCCAATTTATTTGGTTAAATCTGAAATTATTCAACACATAGTTTTTAGTCAAAACTAAACAAACACTCTTATTTCTTTGGTTTTATTTACAAAACATCAATACCAACCAGCTGATTGTGTTGTTGTTTGTTGATGTTGACAATGTTGACATTTTGTCTGTCTGTCGACCAATGGTGCACAGCTGTTTTTTGTAAGCATTGAGTGAGGCCTGTGTAAAAGGATAATGTAAAACTATCATTGAATATAAGAATTTTAATCAGAATTGTATTGGGAAGGGGGGAAGGGGAATAAGAAACAATCAATGATTGAGCAAAATAAATTAATTTTGTAAATAAAATGTACTCTTTGTTAAAGATTTTTATTCCTTATAGTTTAAAACTGAGGAAACATGTTTAAGAATATATATTTTTTATCTGAAGCAAAATAAGACATTTTTTTATGTTAAAAAGATTAAATTTTTTATCTTTAAAAATTTATTATTCAGTAATAAGGCCTATTGGACTAATATTGTTACGATTTGTAAACAGCTACCGGTACCTAATACAAAATCTTATTATGAGGATGGGTGGTATGTGGATGGGAGAGTAAATGAATGTAGTTTTATCCATTGGCATTTGGTCTCTATGGGAACAACAATGGCTGTTGCTTAGCAACCATTTAAATGCCCTGCTCATTATTGACACATCTTGTGCATTCTGATTGCACCAAGAAAAGTTGAGTGACCAGTGAAGTAGGCCTACACATCATTCAGCCATATTTTTATTTTTGGTACTTTTTTGAGCCTAGCTGTAATTTTAAAACCATAATTATTTCTTTCCACACTAAAAATATCAATTATGGAGTTTATTCTAGAATATTAGGAACTATATTTTAATGTTCTTCTTTATGTTGTTTCTATGTTACTGTTACCAAGAATCTTTTAGACATGCCTTACTAAAGGTATTTCACAAAAGTGATTTTTTGGGGGGTTTTTCAGTTAATCTCATTAATCTCAGATAATTAAAGCTACTGCTAAATTTATTCATTGTTAAAAATGTTAATTTTATGCTTCTTGAAACTTAAATAGGTCTTACTATTCAATATTTAAGTATACCTCGGTAAATCATCAACTTGAACAGCTTCGACAATTGCTACTTTACCAGTAGAAAATCTATTCTTTACACATACCGTACCGAATTACCATTATATTGTATGTGCATAAAATGTAACTTATATGAACAAAATTTTACTAAAATTAATTTTAACAAGTGGTTTGCCTATTTGAGGTACCTCTAGATGACAAAGAGGAAAAGATTGCAGAGCAAAAATTGAAGATTTTACAGGCCTATTTGTAGAAATAAAAACATCCCATGTTAATTAAGACGTACACAGTAAAGCTTTGGATAGCTTGGTACACATTATTTATGCCATTTATGGTCTTCATATTCATTCTTTATCAATCATGAAAATAAAACTTATAGGCACTGGTAACAGATCTTATATCTTCAGTTTTTAATATTAAATGTCTTAATCCGATTAAAATACAATACCTAATCTCGTGTTATTTAACATCGGCTTAATAGGTCTAATATGTTTTGTATTGAACATTATTATTTACTTTCATGTTTGAATAGTTTGTTGGGTAAGATTTTGAAGAGGGGGCTTAATACAATGTGATGATTGATGTTAAAATGAACAAGTTCTGTACTTATGTTTTGTTAATAATTTTATTGATAACCTTAATACAATTTTTGCTGCTGGGATCAGCAATAAAACTGATTATTTTTATAGTACCAATAGACTTTTCTTACACTACTCTAAAATTTAAATCCTATTTTTATGTATTTCATGTTTTGTATTGTGCAGTATGCTGATATGAATTAAATGTTTTTATTTTATTTCAGGATGGATTTTACATTTTGTGCTTTTGTTTGGTTAACGACGTACCTATAATCTGTTTACAATCAGATAGTTTTATTTGACCTCGGTCCAGTGTTTTAAAGATAGATAAATAACTAAAACCATTGACTATTGGGGAAAAGACCTGTATAAACCGGAAGGAACCAACTTTAAAATAGTCTTCAGCTGATCCATTGATGATAAATCTATATAAGACAGTTGGTTTAATGTTTATTTTGACCAAAGAAGATAAATAATGAGTTTGTTTTTTAACTAAATATAAACGTCTGATTGGATTAAATTCATGAACTTTAATCCCAAATTTCACAAAAATAATTGTATTTAATACACTTGTCAAATAAAATTTAAGTTCAACAGTCTAGCCTCCTCAAACAGTGAACTCTTAGCTGCAGTTCAAGATGATGTCGGTAGTAACGTTTGAGAAGCCCATATCCAAAGTAGCGCTGCCGGATTGGCACGGCAAGGTAGCGGAGCTACGACAGACTTGCGACTCTCGGAGAGCCGATGCGTTCAGTCTTTGGAATGAAGCTAGACAGCTGCGGAATGAAACCAACTGCAAAACTCAGTGGGACACGTATCACAACAACGTACGACTGGCTGATCGGTAAGTTGGGAGTAAGATAAGCAGATAGGGAAATACCTAGATAGGATTTTGAGTGTCATTTAAGAATAAGATACCTAAAGATTGTAGGTATTTATGAATACAACAAAACGATGTAGCCAGCTAGCCTTGGCTGGTGAAATTTAAATTTGTTTCATTTTCAGAGATTAATAGAGAGTAAATACCACAGTGGATTTAAGTTTGCAAAAAAATGTTGGTAAAATACTCAGTAGCTTGAGATTATTTGTTGGGGGAGTCCTTTATTTTCAGGTCCGTCTTGCCTATGTGGACAAATAAATACAGGATTTAAAAACACCGCCAATCCTCTTAAAAAATAGTGTTCCTGTCAACTATTTTGCAACATTTATTCACAATTTTACAAAATCACAAGGGATGTGAATACCGGTACCTATTTATATATATATAAAAACTAACTACTGTGCTGAATTTATCTTTTTTACAGAATCACAGAGGTCTCTCGCTGGAGAGAACTCATTGAAAGTTGTCTCAAAGCGATTGAGAAGGAAATCGCTGAGTTGTCATCGGAGAAGGAGATTACCGAGACAGAGATAGAGAGGTTGAACTTGAACTTCACGGTTGTCAACGAGTGTCTAAGCATGCGAGACCAGAGGGGAGGAGCCGACCTGTGTAGGGACGAGGGGGAAGCGGAACTGAAACATGTGAGATAAGAGGTTAAATATTACTAAATATTACCAGTGCTCAGTTTGCGGCGGAACAGCAACCTGGTACCTCCCTTATTTAAAAAAAAAAAAAATATTTGCATAAATATAGCTAATCACATTAAATAGATTACAGTTTGGGCACCTCGTTTTTTACAAATCGAGCACTGCATATTAAAAACTATATTTTACCCTCACCTACAATTCTTTAGAAACACTCCCGACACCTAAGTTAACAACTGTACTTTTTGTTTAACCTTTAACTTAGCAGTGATAGAACTATAAAGACGTAGGCTACTGATTTATGTCTAAGTCAAATTGATACAACAAGTTATATTGTTATAGCATGTTATGTGGGGAGCGAGCTGGCGTAGTGGCTAGAGCGCGGGACTTCAGTCCCTGAGGTCCCGGGTTCGATCCCCGCCAAGTCACCAATGGATTTTATCTAAGTGAGAATGCCGCAACCCCTAGGTCTAGCCTGAAGTAATGTGAAAAACAATCCCAGGCTCGTGCCTAGCGTCCTAGGACAAAAAAAAAAAAAAAAAAAAAAAAAATAGCATGTTATGTCACATCATCTATCTTGGTAAAAAATATGGTCTAAAATAGAATGTTAGACATTAGCACAATCTGTGACTTCAGTCACTAAAAGTTAATGGTTTAACAAAAAATTGAGTACCGTATGGCTTTGCAGTACTCTTTTATCAAGTAACAGGATAGACTAACCAACAAAAGTAGACTTCTCACCCCATTGTAAATTTTGAAGCTTATTTTTTTGTGTCTAGTTTATGTCCGGGTTACACTGATCGCTAATGTCGAAGAAATTTTGTTTCTATATTTTTTAGGGTTGATTTAATGATTTGTGGTTTACTGTATATAGCTAGGGAATGAGTTATTGTTTATGATTAGATTGTTTTGTTTTTTTTTGTTTTTTTTTTATACGGGGTTTTAAATTACTGAAATAAAAAGAAACAAACTGTAAACAAAACACGACCTCTACAGTGCACCGGACAGAACTAACAACAAAATTGGTTTCAGCTGTTCCATAAGGATGAGAAATCTACACGGTGACGGTCACTTATCTAAATAAATTAATAGGTATAAATGTATAATTTTATATAATTACTTAGATTACTTGACTTACGAAATAGCATACGCAGGTGCAAAGAAAATAACAAAAAGTTTAAATTAAATTAGTGTTAGGGCGTATTAGAATACTTGCTTCAGAAACCCTTTTCAATAAAAGTTACCAAACCTACATTACTTGAATACCATCCTTTATTGAGCAAAAGTTGTCGAATGACACAAACAAATTTAACTTAAATTGTATAAACCCTCCAAAGGTCGTTGAGTTACTTGAATGAACAGTCTAACTTTTATCCAAACCCTCGAAAAAGTTTGATCCCAAGCAAAGTTGAGCCTCGGCCCAGGCACCATTTTTCATTATAGGCTATTGATGATGCTTTATTCTAACAAAATGTTGATGTTCAGAAGTAAAAAATACAGGTTTTTATCTGTTTCCTTACAAAAAGCGTAAAACATTCAAATGGTGCCAAAACCCACAAAAAATCATGTGCTTTTTTTAACCAAGCAGTTTGTGGTGACAGGAGTTGAGCACGCTGGAGTCGCTCAAGAAGATGCTGACGGACAAGGCAGCCGCAGCGTGGGAGCAGATTAACCGTCTGGAGGAGGTGAGGTTCCAGCTGCAGCAGGATCTGCTGGACAAAGACGAGGCTCTGGAGATCTGCCGCAACAGTCTCGGGCTGGACAAGAACTGCGCTAATATCAGCTACAAGCCAAACCCGCTTCGGCTGCCCAACAAGTCAGTGGCAATATTACAACTTATTTGGCGAGTCCAGTTTTTAGTCAAGTCACAAAAAAGTAAGGAACAGAGGACACACTCCATGGTACACTTAAGTGGTGTCTAGGATACAGTCCAACACCGCCTCCCCCCCTTGCTGTTGTGTACTACAAGGATGGAGGAAGAAAAGATCCTATGTGATAGAAATTTTTCGAACAGTGCCGGCAGTTTGGGCTCTTCCTTGCTCGTTACAATTATATTTTTGGCACAAAATTCCAGAGCTGAGAGCGCACATTGTCCCATAGTGTGTTTACTCTGTACCTTACTTCTCTGTGGTCAAGTTGAGTAAAATGTATTCAATTTTACTTCAACAGTTATCTACTCACTAGTGGCGCGGTTGACTCTTAGTGGAAACTTGGGGTATTATTCCTACTTGATTTTGTATTGTATGGTATTCAGCGCTGTTAACCAGTAGTGGAAACTCTGAAACTATAATAACAAATATTCAATACAAAAACTTGAACACTTGACGTTTTTAATTGCAGCGCAAGGCATAGTGTGACCACAAATTCAAAAACTAACGACCAATTGCAGAACTTGAGTATCGTTGTTATAAATAATAATAAGTATAAAATCAACTCGATACCCCGCTTGTCTCAATACCTAACGTACCGAGTAAAGTACTCAACTTGTCACTTTATTGCAGCTAAATGTGTCTAGCCTGAAATAACAGAAGACTGACTAAAGCCATGTTATCATATCTTTCTATCCAGTAACAGAGGGAACGGTAAGACAAGAGAAGGTAAGAGGCAAGCTGTGGTAAAAACATTTCTCTTATTTCTGAGGCTCGCCTGAACTGATTGGTAGACAAAACCTTGAATATGAACAGAATTATGAAAAATGTGAGAATATTTACTTGTACCAAATGAAAAACTTGCTTATTACCGATTACATTTCATTCGGAACTACTCTACTTATTATAGCATTGCTCACTTATTTTATTTGGAACCCTGCAAAAGCAGTATTTGTAATATTCTTTTTAAAACACCTTCAGATCCAGGTGTGCTAATTAACAATAAACGTTTAGGTAGTATATCGTATAGTTTTTAAAGATAAAGATTGCTATTAAAGCAAGATAAGTGTTTTCTAAACATAGCCTAGAAAAAACCAAACAATCAATTTTTTTCACGCTTTATGAATTTTTCTCAGACTGATATCTTACGAGTCCTGGCTCGAGCACTGTAAGTACCTCAAGTTGAGGGCAGACAATGAGTTGGCTGCGGCTCAAAAGCTGAGAGAATCCATGTACGTCCCAAGAGAGAGAGCCCAGAACGACATGAAAGCCCAGAACGATGCGACAAACTTCGCCTTGAGGAAAAGAATCTACGAGACTCAACGTATCAAGAACGAACTGGACTGGCAGAGATTCAACGTAAGATGGCCAGCTTTAGTTATATAATATAGCCACTTTGATGTGTGAATCCATCTGTCTAATCCAACCATAAAGATCCAATGCTATTATTAATTTTATTAGATTATCTTCGTTGTTGTAGTCTGAAGATCTTGATGTTATGTCACCTTTATGCATTTTGTCAGTTTGTGTGGCATTTTCAGGGGTCTTCTTATCACTAACACTATATGTCTATACTGTATTTACACATGCACACAGTCACTAGTATATTGTGGTAGAGTCTATCGGAAAATGTGACTTTGGACACGTGGTGGATTGGACATTCCTGGTTTACGATGTGTTTGATCTCTGTACCGTTGACAGTTTGTCGCTGTCTTTCTAGTTTTAGTTTCAATGTTGTATATTAATACAAAAATTGTAGAGCTGTTGTTGTCTTCTTTTTTGTTTAGGAGGGTGCTCAATCTAAGCTATTACTGATTCATGGTTTCCTGTCGATAGATACTACCATATATGGACAGACTGATGAAGGAAATTGACAACCTGGAGCAGGCTTTGTTGGACAAGACAAACGCGTTGAAGCTTGCAGAGACGAGGTGTGAGAACCGGTTGTACCGGCCTGGCGCAGAGCTGTGCCGGGACGAGCCTATGCTGGGTCTGCATGATGAGGTGTGTCAACTGCGCAAAACCCAGCAGGACCTTCAGAACAAAATTGATGCGGCCAAGTGAGTTATATGTTCCCCATACAAAAAATGTATACTCTTGACAAAATTAGAAAAATTTCCCAATTTTGTTAATTTAAAAATTTGAAAATAAAACATGTAAAAAAAAACATTAAATTACATGTCCGATTGCTTACAAAAAGGTTTTCTCCAAATTAAATTAAGTTGGAGAAAATTGTGACTGTGCAAACAAATCAAATATACAATGTTTTAAGCAGCCCTAGTCAATATTAGTCGAGTTTATCAACTTAACTAGAAATGTTAATCTTTGTTAGACTTTTTATCACTTTTTACCAAACATGTTTGATGAAATCTTATTTTTTAGGAGTTTGCATGAACTTTCGATAAAATTCCTTGGCAGGAATATGTTTCATTGAATTAAATTTATACATACTTTTTAATCTACTTCATTGAGTATTAGTTATGGCAAAACATTTACAAACCTGAATTACAGGGCAACCTACAACATGTTGGAAGATCAATTGATGGTGATTGACAGAGAGTTGTACAACAAAAACCAAGCATTAACAACAGATCTGAGATGTTTGGACCTCAGAGCTAGATTGTCAACCGGAGGAAGAGCAGAACCTTCTACCCAAACTGATCGAAACATCGTTCTGACAAGAATGCAAGACGAAATACCACCAGAACCTTAGCTCAACTGTAACCATTCAATCTCACCTGGAAGCACTTCAAAATTTAACACTTGAGTAATCACTTAAAATGTTAATCTCCTTCAACTTTCTCCATCACAAGACAAAAATTGTAATGGTCGCCTTTGTCTCTAGTGATTTGTACTTTTGAAATAAAAATGTGGTGTGTGTGTGACTCGTTTGAGTTTGGATTTTTACCTTATCATTGAACCCCAATAATTCCAAATATATTTACAAATTTGTCATAAAAGTGATGTTGAGGGAGTATAGACGAGCAAATTCTCAAACAATTCAACACAAGGAATTCATTTAATCTCCTCAAGTTTCTAGATACGTTTTACACTGATCACAGTATTATGCAACTGTAATTTTTGCAAAGGAGATAATAGAGGACTCATTGTTGGATCTGATAACTGTTGAAGGACTTTTTGTTGTGCAATGTGGCAACCTTGTACATCAGCTGTTGGCTTTAGTTAGCCATGGACAGCTGGGCAGGTAAGGTAGCTGTAGTGACAGGAGCTAGCTCTGGTATAGGGGCAGCCATTGCCAGGACTCTGGTCCACCATGGACTCAAAGTTGTGGGTCTGGCTAGAAGAGTGGACAAGGTTCAGGTACGGAAACGATTTAATTAATTTTTAGTTTTATTTGTCTCATTAATTGCAGTTTTTAAACAATAATTTAACTTGAAACTACTCCAAGGTCAAGCTTGTAAGGACAAGCTTTGTCACTGGATGAATAACTGACTTTGATGTATTTACAAAGTAATATTCTTATTTTAAGATAATTTTCTGCATTTTTGTTATTGCATTATTGTTTGGAGTTTTTTAGAAGAATCATACAAACACAGATAAGCTTCAGATAGCCCTTGAATGTCAACTTCTTTATTGGCCAGTGATTAACTAATTTGAAGTGATTACCTCAAGGGCAACTGACCAAAAGTGGGTTGAATGCCTTCCGAAAGTCTTAAATATTCTTTGATAATGTTGATTTTAAAACAACGTGTTTGTATTAAAGAATCATTATTAACCAAAAACTGCATTTAGGAAAATCCCCATTTAATGTAAACGCCTATTAATGTAATCCATTTTGAATCAACAATCTAGAACGGCTTTGAAATGTCATATAAACTAAGTATAACCATTGACTATACACAGATTAATATTTTTGTATAGTATCTCTAATTTTGTATTTCCTCTCTCTAACTTGGATTTAAGTAATCATATCATTGTCACCATAAATATTTTGATATCACTATTGAACTGTCTACTTGATTTTTGCAATACAATTTCTTGAAGCTTACTGTGATGTACTTTTCAGAGTTTTATAACCACTTAAAAGTTCTTTAAAAAATGTTTTGTTTGGGCCCCTTAATTATTATCTTCATCTTCTTATACCCTTCCACATCTCCTTTTGCCAAACTTTTTTAAATCTTTTACACATTTTGCAAAAGTACGCTCAATACAAGATAAAAAAAATTAAAGAACACATATTATCTTTTGAACTCAACCCCGTGAATATTGACAAAACTTTATTCAAATATACACAGTGTCGTAGCCAGGTTTGAAGCACCCTGGAGCAGAAATGGCTTAAGCCCTCTCTTCTCTCCCAATATTGAGCATAACCCTACTTACACATAAATTACCTTTTTATCAGGCTGCGGCCACACGAGCGTTTTTTCACGCACAAGAGCAGCGTGAAAACACGCGAAAAATATGAGAAGCATTAAATGTAATGGGGAATGCCACACCCAGTGTGTTTTCCCGCAGTGGCGCCTATTCGTTTCAATGCTATTCTAATTTTTCGCGTGTTTTCATACTGCGTTTGTGCGTGAAAAAATCGCCCATGTGGCTCTAGCCTTATACAGCTGCACACGTGTGCATAGTAGTAGTGTGTGTAGTATTAGCATTTTTAAACTCAACTAATGTCAAACAGTTTTATTACTTTTTACGTGTGCTATCTGAGGAATACTTTGTTCTGTTCTGTAATAATATATCTTTGGCACCTTCTTCAGCGACTAATTCATCAATTCATATATTCTGAAAATTATTTGTCATTTATCATGAAATAAAAGTGTTGATTGACATAATTTGTTTTAAAATACATAATAACCCTGAAAGATTATGGAATATCATTAAAAATATAACAGTATGCCACAGGAAAAGATAATCTTAGCGAATAGGAACAAACACCGATGTGGTGATACAAAATTAACAACGCAAATACAATAAATCTGAGACCAACATAAATACCTCAAATAACAATCCGACTAATAAAACGTCCAATTAACTTGTAGCAACTGGCTGAAGAGCTGTCCACCTCTGGAGAACCAGGACAGCTGTACGCTCGGCAAGTAGACCTCAGGAATGAAGATGCGATCTTGGAGGCGTTTGCTTGGGTTGAATCTCTAGGGGGGGCTGACATCCTTGTCAACAATGCTGGCATCTTCTACGAGAGTAGCATGTCAGGTTGGCAGCATCTTTATCAAATGATGAAATAATTATAATAAATTATTGTCAAACAGATACTAAATGCTAAAACTACTGTAATACAGTATATTTTGTAATGCTTAATGCATTTAATACGTTTATTTTAAATTTGTTGCAACTTAAAGTGCAGGCCTAAGCATGATAATATTTAAGAACCACAAAAGATGTATTTAATTATATATAATTTAATACATCCTTTGTAATCTACAGAGACAAATAATTGGGGTATTATTTAGTGGAGTTACATAACATGTGAGTGAGTTGCGTGAAACTCACTAACCTGGTGATTATGGAACAGTGCTTATTCTTATTGTAATGTCCAGGTATTCATTATACAAACCTAAGCTCCATTCCACTTCCACGCTAATGGTGCAGTATGAAGTATCCGTAAGCCATGTACAGTATTTCAAATGGCAGTCTCAGCGACACAAGCAAATTAGTTCCAAAGATAACACTACCTACTTCACTTTTCACTTTTTCCTTAATTTTTAGGTACTACTAGCAATTACCCGGCGTGCGTTGCTGCGCTAACAACTATTATTTTGAATGGTATTTTTTTTAACGATAAATAATAAAAATATATACCAAAAACAAAAATAGAATACTTATTTTACTTAATTTCCAGTGGATAAAAAATGTTTTTTGTTTTATCATTAGGTGTATAAATATGTAAGTGTTTAGGCATACCTACCACCACGTGAGCACGCAACATACAGCATGGGGAAAATATGCATTTTCTAAATTTAAACCAGCGATAGTCAGGGATTGTCCTTGTGCCTTACATAAAACGTATCAATTATCAATCATTGAGATGGGGACGCCATCTAGGTGCGTATTTTAACCCAAACATGAGTGAAGGATGAGTGTGGAATGGTGTATGATGACCTGTGTAGCTTTGTTACTGACTAAGTTTCATTAGTCAGGATCGTTTATTCAAAGCCCAATGATCAGGAACAGCTGGGTCCAGTTTCGAACCATCAAAAAACGACTGACTTTTCTCAGGATCAAAGCGGCGACCTTTTGATTACTAGGCGAGCACTATAATAACCACTCAGCTACCCAGCCAACTAAAAAAACGTAAAAACCTTTATCTAAGTAATAACTTATATATTTACTAGCTGAACCCGGCAGACGTTGTCTTGCCTTTGACTATTTATAATCCCGCGGGCTTTGCCCCGTTTAACTTCTTAATTTTCAAGATGATCTCGTTCGCATGGCTCAATCACGTCCTGGTTGAGGTTCGTTCGCTACGCTCACTCACCTTTAGGTTGGAGCTCGTTCGCTACGCTCACTCACCTTTAGGTTGGAGCTCGTTCGCTGCGCTCACTTGCCTTCAGGTTAGCTCGTTCGCTACGCTAACTCGCCTCCAGGTTGAAGTTCGTTTGCTACGCACACTCACCTTTTGGCTGCAAATTAGCTGTTGTCATAAATGTAAAAGAAATAATAGTGCTGCACCCTGTTGGTAATCCTTGTAACCTTAATGCTATTGAACATCATAGAACAGAACTAACTTGTTTAATTGAAACAGCTGTTAAGATTCATTAATTCCATTTCTCATAACATGGGAAACTCCAGAGCCACTGGGGCGGAGCCGATTGGACGGATCACGAAATTGATGGTGTATAAACCTATTCCATGACATTCTACACATATGTACCAAGTTTCGTGGCAATCGGTTCAGCGGTGTCTGAGTTTATCACTGCCAAACAAACAAACAAATATATATACAAACATCCTCTTTTATACTTATAGATACACCTAATATAAAGATATAGATTGTAAATAACAAATTACCATTTAAAATAATAGTTGTTAGGGCAGCAACATGCTGCGGGTAACTGCTAGTTATATTTATTTGTAAACATTATAGTTCGAAAAGTTTGACATTGGAGCCCTTAAAACCCTCTGGGGCGAAGCCCTTTTGACAGATATGCACCAAAATTCACACAAACCATCCTTGAATAATGCGTAATAATTTCTGAAAGTTTGATTACAATCTGTCGAGTGGTTTTGGAGTCCATAGGGTATATACATATACTGTTGGATTGGGAAATGTAAAAAAATTTAAATTATCAAGAAAGAAGTCTTCAACACATACATACATACATACTTCTTCTTTTATAGATAGAGATGATTATTCTAATTTTAACCATACAAAGTCAAAGTATAAATTATCAAGACATATACACTAGCCTCTATAGCTTACCGCTACTACCATGTACTATATTTTTGGATTATAATTCGACCCAATATCAAATACGACTTCAAATTGAGGAGAGTTTACGTCTAAAGAAACAAATACGGTATCAATAAAAGATATAAAAACACAAATATATAAAAACACTAAGCCAGCATTGCTTCTCAAAAACATACATAATACTGTACCTATATATTTTTAGAGGGCGAGACAGATCGGTGGCGAGCCATGTTCGATGTGAACGTTCTTGCTGTCTCATTCTGTACCCGAGAATACCTGAGGTCAATGGAGAAGAGGGGCAACCAGAGGGGACATATTTTTATGATCAACAGGTACCAGGCTTAACCAAGGTGATATGAGACCAAGGAAGTAAAAAAGTGGGATTAATGAGCTATGTAGCTTCATCTACAGATGGCACTGGTAGTCATCTACTAACTAGGATGATTTAGAAAATGCATTCAAATATTTAATTTTTAAAATTGAAACACATAATAGGGTATTATTGCCCAAACTCTACATTCCTTTTCCTGTCTCTGAAGTTAGTCAGTAATTGACGGAATGCCTGACACTTTGCTAAAAACAGTCTAGTATGGGTGTTGTAGTATGTAAGTGTTTGAAATTAAACCGATTCTTTCAAATCAGTCACTTTGTTCGGGCCACTATGTTTTGGCAGTACAAAAATCCTAGCTGGAAAACTCATAATTATGGGACGACCGTGCGCTTTCAGCTCTATTTTTTTGTGCCAAAAATATACTTGTTACAAGCAAGAACGAGTCCAAGCGGAGAGCACTGTGTCAAAACTCCTATCGCTTGGGACACAGGGTCTTCCTCCACCGTGAGCATTGTAGTACATGGGAGAGAGAGAGGTGGTGTTGGACTTTGCCTTAGACACCAGGGATACAGTATTACCTAATAATGAATGACTGATTTTAATGGAATAAATCATTCATTCATTACCTATTACCATATCTTCATCATTTACCCAAAAGGTATTGGTGGCGTTAAAACTCTCAAATTACACAAATTTCATACATTAAAAAAAACTCACATAAATACAAAACATACATTTACAACTTTGGCATGTGGAGGCAGGTCAGTAAAAAAATTCTGGAAATTTGTCATCAAAAAATTCATTTAAGGAGTAGTAAGCTCTGGACTTGAGGAGGGGGGCCAGGTTCTCTAAGAAAAGTTTGCACTCAAGCTGTTTGATATAGCTAGACAATACTTAAGTGTACCATTGAGGGGTACCTTACTTCTTTGTGTAGTTTAAGACCAATTAAATAACTTAAAATGTATTTTTTTCGTAGACTTCAAAGTACACTTCTTAACTTACTTCTCAATTTGACAACTGCTCTGCATGAAAAATGTTTGACTCTTCCAATACATTTGTAATATATGTCTACTGGAAATAAACATGTCTTATGTCTTTTATTGTTACATAGTGATGACATGTGTTAAATGCCAGTGTTGCAGGTCATCTTACAGAATACCCAAAACTCCAAATGTATGTAGCGACCAAACACGCAGTCAAAGGCATGACCATGTGCCTACGACGTGAGCTGGCTGACAAGAAGAGCACAATCAAAGTTACTGTAAGCTTGATTTAAAACATGATGGACATTGTACCGTGTGTCCTTAAAATACCCCTTTGGCAAACTATTTAAAGTATGAGTATACCAACAAGACATGAATGGCTTGATGTAAAGAGACCTCTCCCCATGGCTGACACGAACTGCTATTGTAACCAACCATAGATAATCGGATCGGACTGATCAGAGGTAGAAAGTACCATATTATCTGTAAGAGTGTTGACAAACAGGCAACTTTGAAGGTTCTAAATTCAAGAGTTCAAATCTAAGCTCATCTATGGTTGCTTTACCTCCATATCACAGTTGAGAAGGAGAAATCTTCTTACACTCTTTCAGGTGCCTGGTTTACTGGCTTGAAGGTATATGAAACTGCTGACTTTCTAATAGCCAACGACACCGTTTGGTCCCCAGCCTTTTTGTGGGATTTGATGTAAGTATACCATCATGTCCTGAGCCAAGGAAGGCCACAGGAGAGGTACTGTTCCATTAAACACAGTGAACTATTTGGACACTAAGTAAATGATAAGGTAACTCTCTTTACAGAGATATAAGGTACAGAGGAAACATTCAAAGGTACACCTATGTGGTGTCTAGGGAAAAGTCCAACACCGTCCTCTTGCTCTCATGTACTACGACGCTCATGATAAAGGAAGACCCTGTGTCCTGTGTGATAGGAATTTCCGCACAGTGCTTGCCGCTCGGGCTCTTCCTTGCTCGTTACAAATATATTTCTGGCACAAAATTAGAATTAAAATTCATGATTTAGCCCCTGAACTGTTTATTAGACTAATATTAGAGTAACAACATTAGAGCTGAACCGCATGGTCGTACCATACGTGAGCTTCCTCTGTACCAGTACTTTACTTCTCTGTGAAGAGAGCATCCTTATCATCATTTACTCAGTGTCCAAACAGGTTATAGTTTGGACATCTAGAGGTTGGATACTCAAGCTCAAGTGTATGATATTTAAGTGTATGGGTTACTTAAGTGTTGGGTGTGTCTCTTGGATACAGACAGATGATAGAATTAATCACTGGACATGAACAGATCAGAAAGGATCAGCAGCATCATGCATCAGCAGCACATCTGCATAATGGAGTTCTGTTGCACAGGGAATGTGAAGAGACTGCTAAAAGTGTCTGCTGTGTTGCTGCTTCAGTAGCTCAATGAGAACTACTTTAGGGAGTGTGTCAAAGAGAGTCTTCTGTCTGAGGAAGAGTTGATCAGTATATTGTAGTCATTTATCAGTTGCCTGATCATAGCATCATGAGGAAAACTTTACTACTTGGGGTATGATAAAAAACAACTGTGGATGAAATGCATGTAGGGACCTTGATCGGCCTTTTTAGATTAGATGAAACAGCATTGTATTACTTCATCTATGATTGTAGCTTGTAAATAGGATGAAGCACATGTAGTAGTGGGGCAAAGGTAGAATGCTGACATCAACAAATAGCTATAAATTGATCATTTTAATTTTAGAGTCAAAATAAATCTTCATGATGAGTACAATAAAACAATAATAGCTACTTCCCTATAGGGAAATTCGCTAATACCCCCGCCGCAGCAAACCTGCCGACTAAGCGAATTTCCATTTGTCTGAATTGATTTTCAATTAAATATATTTTAATAACATTAGGTTTAACGAGTACCTAGGTTCGCTGCCACAAGGAAACTAATAAAGTGTGTTTTTTAGTAAAAAATTTATAGCTTAGTACAAAATAATTAAATTTGCCAAGTTTGATCAAAATATATCCATAAACAAGCAAACTACAACATTTGACAATATTCCCCATAAGAATAACATGGGAATTTTAAATTTACAATTTTTTAATTTTCTCCGTTACTTATAACCGAACAAAAATACTTTTGTATACTAAATTATTTGTTTTTTTAAGCTCTTTAAAAAGGTCTAAAGAGAAATTGGGAAATTTTGTGTTTTGAGGGTCAAAAGTGAGAAAAACCAATTTTTACCCCATAAAACCCCCTGTAAAGCCCCGTTCCCATGGTCCGATCATGCTAGTTCGCGAATTCATTCAAGTTTATCCCACTTTACACCTTTAAACCAAATTTCATCAAAATCGGACAAAAATTACTCAAGCTATCGTTCACGGACGTATATATATACATATATAAAAATTTGAACGAATGGTGTTTTTGGCCTCTGGGGACATCAAAATGAAAAAGTAAATCGGTCCCGGGTCTAGGTCTTACTGTGCCACCTACGGTAATAGCTACTTCCCTATAGGGAAATTCGCTAAAACTAATCAAACAAAAATTAAACAATAAAAATTTTTACCTACTAAGGTGCCCACCTTCAATTTAATTGATAAATTGTCTGAGGGTAGTACCGTGGTACTGGTAGCTTTCAAAGACCAAATACAAAGATTTTGTCAACATGAGCCTTTTTACTGATTCTATAATTATTTTATGTATCATCTTTATCTCGATTATGCAATATTTCCAGAGCATAAGTCCTGGACCAGTAGAAACAGAAATATTCAATGGAACTCAGTGGGAAGGGCTGGAGAACAAGATCCCTATATTGAAGAGTAAGGACATAGCCAAAGTGGTTGAAGATTCTCTCTCCGCTTCTTCTGTCGCCCAGGTTAGTTCATATAGCTAACTAAACCTCTCTAGCTTTAAAAACTCGACAAAGTAACTCTTGCCTCTCCCATTTACCCAGTCTCTATTTAAATAGGGTTTGAGATCAAATAAAGCCAAATATAACAAAAGTAAAACCTCAACTTTTTAGCCATGTGCAAATATAAGTTTTCATGGCAAGAGAAAATAACAAACCATTTAAAATTCATTTTGTAAGTGTGAATACAAGTTTCTGGATTTAAATGAAAATAAACATTTCAGAACTTCCAAAAAGAGATATGTTTTTTTTTTATTTCGGTAGTTTAGACCCTGGTGTTGTTTACTATACTGTATAATGTCGACCTATGATCGGAAACAAAGCATCATTGATTCATTGTCTGAAAAAAATTGTGTGGCTGAGCTTAAGAACAATACATCCAGGATTGAATTGGCAAACTTTAAATTAGAAATACTTGTGTTTCAGATTTGCGAAGTTGTGATGACTCCAATACCCACAGATTTGGGAGTTTTCTAACCTCTGCTTGTACTGCATCGAACGAATATAGAACCCATGTATAAACATTATAAAGTTTTTTTTTATCCAGCAATAACATTTATCATCATGTTCTTGGTAAAATCCAAAATTTACTAGTGAAGAAAGAAATCTTATGATATGCTTGCTTTAAAGTAAATAGCCTCTTCAATACTATGATGAAATCATAATAAATATTATATTACACTCTCAGGATTCCCTTAATTGTTTCTGTCTTGTTCTTGTTGTTCTTCTTAATTCTGTGTATAGTCAATGATTGTGGTTATATAGCGTTTTACTAGCTTTGAGGTTATCAATTCAATTATTTAAGATTAAAGATATTTAAGATTAGATTTAAGCCACTACAGTATGAGCATATTTTTACCCAAATATGTATTTTACCAAACATTTGTTTGTACCTATTTGTATTACCAAACAACATAAAAACTCACCTTCGCCAAAAAATAACTTCAAACAAGCTATTTTTACAAACAAAAAATTATTTTTTTTAAACAGGCCAAACATTTTTGTATAGTACCGTAGGTACCATTAACATTAAATTTTAGACAAAACATATCACGTGTGTTTTTCCTTGGTATAACAATTTATTCATATACAGTAGTGTTATATCAAACAACCTTGTTTCTGACATCAAACAGCAAGTCTGATGAAATACAAACAAATTTTGGCACGAGACTTTATTTTCAGTCGGCCTCGAAATGTTTTCTGATCGTAGTGATTACATGTATAAATAAAGTAATAAAATATTAACCACCGCATTCCAAGCTAAATATAAGTCTGGTTTAATAATCCTATGCAGTATTTGTTTACTTAAAGTTAATTGAAGCATTCAGCTGATTGATTTTAGTGATAAGAAACAATGTATCTTTGGTCATTTAAGAAAGAACCGCTCCTAACTTTTATAGGATGTTTCATGTCTTCATATGAGCTTTGAAAAATGTAGTGGTGATTTCTAAGGACAGTTTAAGCTCTTGTTGTTTATCCCTTAATATAAGTTTGACTTAGATAAATTATAAATGTTCCCTAAAACATCCCAATGCATGGATACTAAGTTTGACATAAGTACTGCATGGAAACAGATTTGACAAAAAATCTATACATCAGTACTACCTAAGTTATCCGTCTTAAATCACATCTTCTATATATATAATATGCTAAGCCGATTTTTGTAAACAGAACTCCTCCCTCATTTTTGGACCGATTTTGATGATTAAAGTGTCAAATGAATTGCCCTGATCTATAGTTTTGCAAAGTCTTTTTCGTTTTTTGAAATCTTTATTAGTTTGGACAGGATATTCCATCAAAGTTGGATTTTCTCCCATAAGATTAACATGGGGGAATCTAAATATTTAATTGGAAACTTTGTCTCCATTAATTTGAGAGAACGACTGGGCGTAGAAACTTGGTAGAGGTGTCCAAAGAAAGGTCTTGGTCTCTAGATGAGTTACCAAAAGAAAAACTAAGTGAATCCTGTTAGGGCTCTGCCCCAGAAGCCCTCCACAGATTTGTTTTCATTTTGTCCATGTGGATAATACTTTTTAATGAAACAGCTGTTAATTTTTGAATTGTATTTTAAACAACACATATTTATTGGGAGTTACTGAATTGTCCAAAAGAAGTATTTGCAATGTTATTTTCTGATTTTAAAATTGATTTCCTTCTGTATCATGTCATATTTTGCAATATAACGTTCCATTACGAAATCAGTAGAAAATCCTTTTATCACAGTAACTCTCATTTAACATTTATTTCTTATTGAACTATCTTATATCTATTGTACGGGTTGGTGTCTGCCTTTTTCACCACTTTTGGCTATATTTTATCATATTATTCTAGACAGATCATCATAGGTTCGTGAGATTATTGTCATACATGTTTTCAATCATTGGAAAAATCTTCGATTTTGTAATACAATACAAAATAATACAAGTGCAGAAGTGTCTTTTAGCTTTAACATTAACCCCACAACCGATTTCTCAAAACTATACTAGAGGGTAATTCATTGGCACAGAAGTACGATATGAACTGATGCGACGTGTCGAAGGAAAAATCAAACTTACACTGTGAGGACCTCCCTTTCAAGTTAGAACGTGTCTCCTCAACAAGCAGACATTTTCTCTCAAATAAAATCATAGATTAATCCTTATTACACTGTGACGCAAAATTCTAGGGGGGGAATCAACTAATATTCACCTAAGTCAGGCAAGGCCTACCCCTAGAACCAGCCACACTCAAATTTCTTCCCCGGAGTGCTCAGAAGGAGCCGAGAAAAATCCAGGGGTCGATACGAAGTTGTCACGGCTTTGACTGATCAATTTATTTAAATTTAATCGAAGGCTCAGAGCTCTAGAAGCGCTCAGGAAATCCTGCAGACGCTCAGTTGGAGTTATATCATCCCAGCCTTCGTAAAAGTGTTTTGGAGAATTTTGCCTAACTTTTGAATGACTCTGTAGGGCCAACGAGTATTCAATCTTAAGCCAATGTGATTCGATTACTCGTAATGAACTTTAAAATATTTAGTTGAAGACGTTGGTAATTGATCTAATATCGAATAAGGCAAAACAATTCCTACAGAGTCGTCGGGGCCTAATTAATATAATTGAACGGAGAATTTATCGTGATGTCGTTTAAAATAGATTTAATATTAATTTTCGTAGCTGATTGTTCAAATCAGCCTGCTCCCAAGACTAGATTCTTTCACCCGCCAAAGACACGTCCATGTCACTGGCCCGGCCATGACGGAATTAGTACATAAGAATTATGCTAATATTTAGTACCTATTTCGTACTATTTAGTACCAACAAACAAAAAATTAGTACCCCACTCGGTACCGGATAACTAATTAATTTAGGATTCCGGGCCAGTGACATGCTGGCCCGGCCATTTTCGAATTTGATCCTAATATGTATACCATCATTTAGTACCTATTTCGTACTATTTTGTACCTCCATTAATATAATTTGTACCTCAAAGAAAACCAAGCTACGGGCCCGTTAACTGTACAGGTCAATGACCCCTCAGCCCGGCCATATCGGAACCTATGGTTATAAGCTATACTACTATTTAGTACTTATTTCGTACTATTTTGTACCTCCATTAATATAATTTGTACCTCAAAGAAAACCAAGCTACGGGCCCGTTAACTGTACAGGTCAATGACCCCTCAGCCCGGCCATATCGGAACCTATGGTTATAAGCTATACTACTATTTAGTACTTATTTCGTACTATTTTGTACCTCCATTAATATAATTTGTACCTCAAAGAAAACCAAGCTACGGGCCCGTTAACTGTACAGGTCAATGACCCCTCAGCCCGGCCATATCGGAACCTATGGTTATAAGCTATACTACTATTTAGTACTTATTTCGTACTATTTTGTACCTCCATTAATATAATTTGTACTTCAAAGATAACCAAGCTATGGGCCCGTTAACTGTACAGGTCAATGACCCCTCAGCCCGGCCATATCGGAACCTGTAGTTATAGTCCAGGCGCTGAGGGGGTTTGAGCATGCATAAAAGTGTAACGAAATTTGACTTTTGATTGTTGCTATGGGTTCCTAGTAGATGAAGAAAATCGATGTTGTCGCATTTCTAGGTGGTTAATAACATAGGGGGGAGGGGGTGAAGTTGGGGGGCCGCCCGGGGGGCCGCCGCGCACAAAATAGCTTATATCTCGAGAACCAAAAGTCATATGAATACGTTAGACATGTCAAACTGTGCAGAAAAATGCATTCTACAAATAGATTATGTAGTAGTTTCACGGAAATTGACAAGAATTTACTAAAAATTATATTTTTTTAATTTACGATAAGTATAATCAGGAGTATAATGGTTTTTGTTGTTGTTTAGAACCACTAATTTTTTAATTGACAACTTTTGAGAGTAGTACACAATAGGTAAATAGTACTTCTGTATAATGAAACTATTGCGGTACATAACTTAACAGCTATACAATCCTCAGATCCAATAAACATAACACAAACAAAGGCGCAAAACGCGTCGCGGTCATTGTTCCTGCTGCCGTAACTATTAATGGCGAGTACAGTTCAAGCTGAGACTTATATTATACTTTTAGAAAGATGGAGATTCTGAGGATTCATTTTCATATATATAAAATAGTATTGAGCGACTATTATGTAGCGGGAAATATAGTTTGTAAAAGAAGAGAGTTCAAAATATATTTTGGTGGTGGATCGTTTCCATCACCATCTGAAACTGCAATAAATTCCCTACAATTTATGTATCTCCAAATCTGAGGTTGGTTATAACAATTTTATGTAGTTTTGAAAAGGTCATAAAAATTATGTTTAAAGTAAAATTATATTGAATTTGAAGCAACTTTGTTACAAAAAGTTATAGGTTATTATATATTTACATGAAATAAGGTTATTTGTAAATGTTCTATATTATAATGTATTGAATTAATTACCTATTGGTCTGTTTGGCCATATATTATACAAGGTTTGATAAAGAGAGATGGATTGACATATTGATAAAAATAAAAACATATGGTAAAAATTAAATTATTCTATTGAACATTTTTGTGAAAATACTAAATTGTTACAGCAGTATAATATTTATTTACTGTTGATGCAATAAATTTATTTCTCATACAACAATTAAATACAATTTGTTAATTAAAATAGTTTGGTAGTTTTTTTATAATTATATTTTTATGCGTATTTAAAAAAAAAAACATTGATATTTCTACGTTAGGAATCATATTTTACACAACCTTAACATTTGGATAATATGGATAAAAACATTATTTTTATGATTTTTGCGGGTTGATTTAGACATTTCTAATTTAAATAATCCAAAAATGTGCAAACTTCTTGCTACTATGCCTAAAAGCATTGCTGAAAAATATATATTTTTACATTATTATATTCTACATTTATCACTGAAACATAATACATAATAGATATCTACTTATATGGGCATGTAACTGTTCTCTGGTGAATCATATGGTACCACTACAAAAGGGCCAAAATATAACCACCACTGGTACCCAGATAGGGTCAAGGATTGAGAGATAAGAAGTAAAATTATAATGCTTCGAACTTCAACTATAACTTCAGCTGTTCAGGTCAATTTAATTGTTAACGATTGGTGCGATGATTCGTTGCATTACTGTCAGAGACAATGAGGGGTAAAGAAAAAATTACCTCTCTTTTTAAGTTTTGAGTAGTGGTTTTTGGTAATTAAAATACTGTTGCAGGTTAATTAATGCACACAACTCGCGTAAATAGTGTTAACGACACTCGTAGAAGTTTTTTAAGGCACTCGCCAAGTCTTGTATTTAAAATTTTCAACTCGTATCGTTTACACTACCTTTACGCGATCGCCGAAACAGCTGTTGCACCAATTGTGCAGCCTGGTCAGGTGATGGAAACGTTCAACTACCAAATTTTTTTTAAACTCTCTTCTTTTACAAACTATATTTCTCGCTACATAATAGTCCCTCAATATATATATGAAAATGAATCCTCAGAATCAAGTCAAGAAACTAATAGAAGCTTATTCAGAACATAAATTAATTCAACCTTTCAGAAAATAATTCGAACATAATTTATATTTCAAAACAAAATTTAATTACGCTATATATAATAACAAAATTAAATTCAAACGCCGCTCGATCACCCCACCTGGGATAAAGATCCATGCAATATAACCCCTCAACCTAAATTAGAACTATTATAAGA